TGTTTTAGCGGGCGGGATTCCCCATGCTGTTGGACCAACCGACATCCGTAATATTGACACGAGAGACGGGCCGCACGCACAGGGAGGAAGCCATGATAGCGTGGCTATTGGTTATGGCTATTATTCCCGCCGCCTCTCTGCGAGTGGGACTTCATCCAAGCATGGGTATTATGTTTGCTAGGTATGTATCAAATTCTTCCGTACGTACGATTAATCGCTTATCAAAAGCTGACGAAAAAGCCTCGATTGATAGCGAGAGACCTCCAGACTGTCGGGAATATTCTCGAAATCCTTCGGGGATCCTTACCGGCCTTGATGAGGTACCGAGCTATGTAAGTTGCCAAGTTGCTAAGTTTCAGAAGATCCCAGTGTGAGCCCATGTTAAGCCCGATATCCCAATTTAGCCTTGTGATGGACGTATAATGGACGTAATGGGTAAGGTAGCCCGTCAAGTTTAGTTAGAAAGTGATTGAATAGTGTCCACGCCGAGAGGGTAGCAAGGGCTCTAATTTAGTATGTATGTATGGTGTAGTTCTGCTAGGTACTGTCATAGATCTTGGAACAAGTTAGGCTTCTGATCCTACTACTACTCTACTACTACTGTACATACTGTAATCCAGGCTTGGCTCCCGAGTTGTCGGGGACGCCATGTTCCGTCTCGGTCAACTAAAACTGGCGTGATGTGTAAAGGCTGAAACTAGAACTATTAATGGCGCCAGGGCTAGTTGCGCGTCTTTATTTTTTTTATCATCTCCTATTGCTTAATTAAAAGTCTTAGGTACCTTAGGTAGGTATTTATCATGTAGGTATTTGATGATATGGCAATTATAGGCGGCTCATTAAAGCCCCTTGTGTAAGGACGGAGAGAAATATCAAGTCTATTATTAGGGACCGTTGTTTATTTATTTATTCATTTATTTATTTATTTGAGCCTATCATTCAGCCGCATGGGGTGGTTATATATTTGAAAAACCCTAGTATTTTATGTACTAAGCCTTGCGACTCACGAGCTGTAAAATTATTAATTATTACATACCAAGTATACAAACTATGTATGTAGAAGATCAAGGCGTTCCAAAGTATGAAGAAACCTGTTTCTCCTCGGCTTTCTGTATGTGTTTAGACCTTGCTAGCGGCGTAGAAACACGTGCTTCACTTTTCCCCCTGAAAGGTCATGGGTAAGGCTTGGGTGAGAAGTGTTTTGGTTGATCGCAAAGCAGGGTTACCTTTTTTCTCCAGACCGGGGTGATGCAGGTCCCGTCACATCGGTCACCGTCGCATCCGGCTGTCAATGGAAGGGTGATCTTGTCGGGTTCTCTGCATCGATTGCGTCTGCGTCTGCATCTGCGCCTGCGCGAATGTCGCCCTATGTCGTCCTTGAAACATGTGAAGTCAATATCGATATGACAGGTAAAGTCTCTTCGACACTTCGGCAACGATATGTTTGGGCAGCCTCAGAATTATTACCTTGGAACATGACCTAATTGTACGCGACGGCTGCGGCCAATGTAGCTGCTACCGGAAGGGGCCGAGACTCACCTGTCAAGTTTAATAGGCTGGTCCTTACGTCCTGATGCCTGACTCCCGACGCCTGGTTGTTCAAGGGTTTGCAAAATTTTACTTCGTTCTCGAAGCGAAGCGAAGGGAATTATCATATTATCAGAAGACCCTTAAAAGCATGGGGAGCTTGTATATAGCTCAAATTCAGTAAGTGGCTTATAGCCTAATATGAAACAATGACGATGGAATATTCCGAAGGGCCTCCGATATAATTTTTATCTTGGTTACGGGATTGCGTATTGAGATGTCTTGCAAGATATCAAATATGCAAGAACTCGGCATTGGATATGATTATGGGTTCTGCGTGTCCACTGTCCGAGCAATTGGGTTCCAGCCGGCTGCATACGATATCTGATCTTAGTCTATGATCGTCTGTGCCCTTCACCCACAGACTCTGCAATCCGGGGAGTCAAGTTGAGAACGCATAATCATAAGCGATATCTCTTGGTAATACAAGGTCTTGGTGACACGCGTAGAGGTATTAATGGTCGTTCTTAAGAGTAGTATTTTTTCTTAATGAGGCTAACAGATCATGGCTAAAATGTTCATCGTCGAGGGTCCTTGTCGGGTGGCCCGTCCCATGCATGTCTGTCAAAGTTGTGCCTTGCATATGCACTTCAACATCACTCGGAGTGGGATTGGTACCTACTTAGATGAGCGATCATTTGGGATGAATGCCTAACTGGCGGGTTTGAACCTTTCTCAGGTATTATCCGCGTTGGTTCGTTCGGGGTTACCTTATATTAGGTACGAATCAACATACGAATTATCCAATCGTGGGACGTAGACAGTTACATGTACAGCAACACTAGGTACACTATGTCCGACGTGTAGCAGTTTAGAATAAGAGGCACAGCTGGGGAAACATGTTAGATCGGCATTGTAAATAATTGCTGCCATAGCTTCCTATTCGACATCACATTTTAAGATATCCTAGTGTTCGAATTACATTAGGTTAGTAGCTCGTTTGAACTTTTTCGGGATTCGGTCGAGTTTCCTCTTCAAAATTCGTCACCCAGCGGGACGGGATACGCCTCACTTCATCTCAGGTGAACCCCCTGGATATCTTAAAAAAGGCCAGCCCAGTTTGCCAGTATGCACATAGGTACTAAAATGCTGCTAATATTCCCTGTAAATCCCCTGTAAATTACTTGTGACTGGTCCACATTCCGCAGTTCGTCCGCTGTCGCTTGTCTGATGCGCTAACGCGCCGAATGTGCGTAGAAGCGGTTCTTTGCAGATGCCAAATCCTACGTTAGGTGGTGTACGTGGCTAGGTAAGTGACGAGAACAAAGGCTTTCTTCAGCAAATCGATAGTCTTGATATCAGATGCTCAGTGGGGGATATTTATTGCATGAGAAAACAACCATTGAGAGTTCTCTAATTCAATAAGCAGCTAGCCATCGCCTTCCTGTAGCTGCAACAGCTTGCTTCCAATTAGACCTCTCCTCCTTAAGGTCGCTTAGTTTAACGGTAGCTTGACGGTAGCTTGTCACCTACTACATTGCCATCCCTTTGCCGTTAAGCCCCGCCTCAACCCCCCGTTTGGATTGCCGTTCTAACCTCCCTGGGAACGGCATGGCCTTGCTACGGCAAGGTACCTAGCTGGGGCCTGCCTTGCCAAGAAGCCAAGCTATTACAGCGGGCCATTGGGCAACAGTTCCATATTAGTTACCTATCTTAGTTATTCAGGGGAACCCTCGTTTGTTACCTTCTCTTGATTTTAGCACCTGCTTATTCCACGGATTTGGAACCGCTTGGTCAAATTTTGACCCCTGATAATCTTGTCGAGCGTGTCTGTCACTTCTATGCCTGTCAATTTGTAAGTTAGCACGCTCATAGGCTGACATGCTATTAAATGCTTGTCTACGGCTAGTTGATTGGGCATTGCGAACACGAGTAGTACGGACATGGAAGCATATACTATGTAGTTATGTACAAAAGATAGAATATGTTTTCTATCACTAACTACTCCACATATACTATGCAAAGGACTATGTAGTAGGCAACGCACATCCTCCCGCGTTGTCTACCCTTCGTGTACCTACCTGTCTACCTACCTATTACTTTTATCCTGGCGTCATGGTCTGGCCCTGTATCCCATGTCGAGTGGGTATTATTACGGATTACTTCGTTGTGTACATACGACGCTAGAACCTGGTTGGTTATAGGCTGTTTTCTTTGCTTCTGGATATCTTGTCAACTTGTTCTACGACTAGTTACTCTCTATCTTGCTTTTTTCTTTCCGTCTCAGTTGTGACAACGCTTCGGTACGGTAGCGAACCACGAACTACGTTCTCTCCTTTTGCTTCTTCTCTTTTCTCGGATTGTTCTACCCGTTTCCCAGCCCATTCACTCTGTCTTACCTATCTTGTCCTTGCGTTCTCTGGGGAAAACCCATTACCATTACCCCAACTCTTGCATATTCGACCGAGCGTCTTGGACGTCCGGCATAACGCAACGACTGCCAGCCTATGCTTTTGATTATATTCATATGAGCGCGAACTTTCTTCTTCGACTAGCATATCTTGACAAATCGTTTCATTTCGTTGTACAACTTTTGACTTGTAATTTTTCTTGTAAGTTGAAAAACGCCGATGTTGGGTTTTCTATAATACATTTTTTAGACCAAAAAACTATAATAGCCACCTGGGTACTGACTGTAATCTTTCATAGGAACTAGTTCACCTTTAAGGTGCATGCTTTTAGTATATATTTTCATATATGTACACGGTATCTCGAGTCTCGTCCAATAAGTTTGAGTAAGCCGGAGCATGTCTATACTGGTTTTAATTCTATAACGGCCTGCCAAGCATAAGGGTAATGCGTTAATGCTTGTTCGATTTTACTCTTATCAACCGTTGCTACTCGACCAAAGAAAATACAGAATGAATTAGGAATCGTATCTAAGGAAGCTTAGGTAAGTAAAGATAATATCTTACTATTTTACCTCTTGATCTCCCGAATTAGATGCAGATCTAAAGTGTATGGTCTTATGCCGTCCAAAGCATTAATGACCAACTGTAGCAGAAATGACAGAATCACACTCTGTAAAATAACTGACCGAGGCTGACAATACAAGACAGTCGGTAATTTCCATTACTTACCATTTATTACGCCTGGTATGTTCTAAAATGTCCAAGCTCACATCCATTCCTAGCATCCCATGTCTTTGGAGGGATTAGTGCTAATTGCGGAGTTAGTTGTATTAATGCAGAGTCCACTTGCACATCGTCACTCTCTCCCACGCAGAACAAATCACCCCACTGGCGACAGGGGGTACATAGTGGAGCCCGGTGTTTGGACCCTTTTCTAAGATTGAACAAAAGAGGTGCAAATCTGGAGTCGATGTAATTTAGCCTGCTCTGCTCTGTTCTGTGTCTCTTAGACGCCGCCATCTTCGACCGGGAAACCGGGCTAGATCGTGAATACTGGCAGATATGGCCGTGTGGGAAACCGAAGATGAGTTAAGCAGCGTTGCAGCTTCACCACTGCCGGCTCCCATTGATACACCATACCGGACGCCCTCGCGAAACTCAAAGAAGTCGCGTCGTTCTGCTACTCCGCCGGGGGGTTCAGCTTCTTCTCCTCCCCCGTTGCCACAGATAAGATGAGAGAAGAAGAGCAAGCGATCATCGAGAGATGTAAAAACCGACGAAAGTAACGGCATTTTCGATCCTCGCCGATTTACACCCACCCTTCATGCGAACCTAGTGTCAGAGATTCTGTCCTTACGAAGAGACCAAGAGGAGAAACTCAAGATAATCGAAAGCCTTGAAAGCTCACTACATGCTACTCAGGAGGAACAGGAGTCTCTCCAGACCAACCTATCCAATACCTCCAAGGAGAGCAGGTCTTTGAAGAGACAACTATCCCTGCTCGAAGGAGGGACTTCGTCAGCTATAGGCGAGTTAGCAAAGGAACGTGATGAAGCGGTTGACGCGATAACCGAGACTAGGAGACGGCTCGAAGCTGCGCAGAAGAAAGTCCGGACGCAAGAAGAAGATTCTCAGAGAGTCCATGATCTCTGGGCCAAGGAGAAAGATGAGTGGGACGAAGAGAGGCGCCGATACGAGCGAAAGATACATGTTGCCGAGAGTCGTCTCCGAGTCGTCCTGGAGGAGGTTGCCAATTTACAGGCAGCACAAATCAACGGGAATCATGATAAACCCGAAAGTGATATCGAGAAGGAAAATGATGGTGTCAGCGTACGAACGATGAGCATGACTAATAGTGTCCGGTATTCAGTGATGAGCGGACCCGGCTTTGGCAAGATGAATGGATACAGTCTTGCTGATGAGCTCAACTTCGACGACGACGATGATTACCAAACAGATCCTGATGGCCGCCAAAGTGTGATATCGCTTGCAAGACACCACCGAAATCAGAGTCGAGACAGTATGATGTCTAAAACTCATCGACGTAACCAGAGCAGTGATAGCCAGATACGACCGGGTAGCATTGTACGAAGCAGACTATTTATGAATCAAACTGTACTCGACAGGCTCGAAGGCGGAATTCGCGAAGACGACGAGACCTCCGTGGTATCTCAGAAGGTACAGTATACTGACACGGGCGTTCAATTCTCACCACCACCATCCCCTAGGACAGTACCGACGAAGCCAGCAACGCCAGAGCCTGTCTTGAAAAGTGAGAAGCCGATGGGCCTAGAAAGTCCATCTCGAGTTGAGGGTGAGATTGAAGCAAACCAGAGTCGCAAGAGGGTATATGTGAATAAGCCAGGACCAATGGAATCTCCTAAAACAAGACCGATGGTATCAGCCGCATCTCAAACATCAGAGAAAGCGCCCTTGCTCGCTACATCTCAACCAGTAATCGTGGAGACGAAGCCCGCTCCCGTCACAATTTTGATGTCGGCTGCCACTCAAACAGAACCTGCCGCGCCTAAACAACAGCCAGTTACTCCTCCACTTTCGATACCGAGCATTAGCATAGTTCCACCAACTAGTCGACCGTCGAGCCCGCGCGAGCATGTTTGCCTCAGTACGTCAAAGACTTCGGATGCCAGGTTTCTATCTTGCAGTCAAATCCCATGAGGTCGATTTCTGTGCAGACAGATGAGATCAGGGTTGACAAGAGGCTCGATAAATTACCGCCACATCTTCATCCGTCTGCGATCACTTCAAGGCCTACGTCCCCTACTACCTACCGCTACTCCTACTACTGCGACGGTCGATGAGAGCAAAAATTTCACACCGGTGCCTGGACACGTCCCTCCGCGAAACCCACGTCGCCTCGAAAGTAGCAGACGAAGCTTTTCAGCAGAATTACCTACTTCGCCCCCAGCATCACCAAGCGTTGACGACTTAGAAACGCGGGACGCATATCCTGGCAACAACGATGATGGTCCGTTATCCAGTGCTAAGGCCCCCGTTAGGCGACCGCATCGTATAAGTAGCTTATTTGCGGGTTTCGATGTTCAAAGCTCAGATGAGCAGGACGAGTTTGATGAGGACCAGAGCGACTCCGAATACCGTACGGCACTTGCCCCGAGACCCAAAACTGGCCCTAGTAAACCTAACAAGCGAGTAGCATCAAGCGCAGTCTCTGCTTCTCCCGAACAAAGTAAACCTGCCGCTAGACAATCGACGAGTGTTATAAGCAAGATCGGAAGTCCAGAAGTTTACAGTAGTTTCCGTCTCGCTGAAGCCCCGGAAGGTCTAACACGAAAACCTTCTCTCAAGGTGGCCACTGGAGCAGCTGGTAGACCGTTGTCATACAGTACGGGTTCCCGAGCTAGTGTTATGCGAAAATCTGCAATGATTCAGAGCGGCATTGCCTCGCATCAAGGCCTTTCGCGGACCCCCGACTTGCTCGAATCGAAGGACCCCCCGTTCCCAATTCCCACGAGAGCGAGCTCAAGGAAGCCACCATTTAGTATCAGTGCCCCGAGCGACGGCCAACGTAGTCCTACCTATACTGGCGAGCATTGGCCTCGTAGAGGCAGGAAAGCTAGCGTGTATAGGAGTAGCAGCATCCGCAAAGCTCGTTCGGCGGCAGCGATACCCCAGAACCAGAGGCCCGGAAGACGTGGTAGCCGTTCGCCACCACCGCCCATGTCACCCTCAGAGGAGGCCCCTGAAAGCCCGGGTCTCCCGCCGCTGCCGACCAACGACATCACCACCCCTCGACGAGATCGTGGAGGATCTCGATACCGTAGCCATAGATCTCAACCTTCTACCAACACTGCGAACACCGAAAATACGAACACGGGTTCCGTCGGTAGCAACCAACAATCATCGACTGTAGTAGATGCTATCGCGCAGACAATGGTTGGCGAATGGATGTTCAAGTATGTTAGAAGACGTAAGTCGTTTGGTGTAGCCGATGGTACCGGCCGCGGGGAGGAGAATAGCAACGACCGCCATAAACGGTGGGTATGGCTCGCGCCTTATGAACGCGCGATCCTGTGGAGCAGCAAACAGCCTGCATCTGGCAATGCGTTGATGGGCAAGCCAGGCCGGAAGCGTAAGTACTGTCGAACTACTAGGTTTAGGACGACACCGCTGACCAGATTATAGTGATCATACAATCTGTGCTTGATGTAAAGGATGACAACCCCCCACCCAAAGGCAGCACCCTGATCTTCAATCGTTCTATCCTTATCTTAACACCGCAGAGAGCATTGAAGTTTACCGCCACAACGGCTGAGCGTCACTACCTTTGGTTAACAGCACTGTCATTCCTGGCGCATTCACAGCAAGATGTCCCTGAGATCATCCCAACAGCTAACGCGCCAAATATCGGCCCGGCGCCAGATTTCGAAGCGCCTCAGGCAAAAACCAAAAGGGGCGGCATTCGTGACTCGATTAGGCTAACGAAGGGAAAGAATCCTGCTTTGATGGCCCGTCATGACCCTGTCCCAACCACCAATCATCTAGAGGAAGCCCTATCAGCCCAACAAGATACGTTCCCTCCGGTACCTGCTCATCAACGTGACCTGTCGCGCGACGCAGCGGAACCCCCCTTCATCCCGCGATTCCATGAAAGGTCACATGAACGAGTACATGAACGGGCAAACCAGGTTGTTCTTCACGGTCGTAAGAGGAGTAATACTGGTGGCCACATCCCTCCGCCGCTCTCGTTCCGAGGCTTTTCGGGACCGGCAAGCCATAGCAGCTCTTACCATACCTCGACCAACAGTACCGCGGGTAACAGCGTGGATACGGCGGGCTCGTCTGAGATCTATCAATCGCAGGGGTCCACCAACATAACCTGGGGTATGAGCACCGCCGGTTCCCAACGAACGTCGGAAGCATCATCTCGACCACCAGGTAATTTCTTCGAAGCAATCGGCACCGTGCGGATGGAGGCTTTCATTAGCCCGTTGGCATTCCCGCGATTCGAAGATCATCCAGACGAGCAAGAGGAGTGGCGATACAGAGCCCGTCGACGGAGTAAAGAAGCTCGTCGCCGCCGTAGTCGGAGCAGACATCGGGATAGCTACGTTTCTCGTGGCACGCGCGGCACCGATTCTTATTATTCCGGAAGTAGGGCAGGAGAAGAAGATTACTTCCGAGATGATCCATTTAAAGGATTCTAATAAGATCGCTTGCCCTTTTAGTACTTGTGTTGTGCGCGGAGATACCCAAATTCATCGTATTAGATGATACCATTCGTTTAGCAAGCAGCAGGAGGTCAGGGATTCTTTCTACAATATGGTTTGTTTTTGTTGGTGCTTTGGAGTTTTATACGTCTCATACTATTGTAGATATTGCCGAAATCTCGGTGTACGAGTACGACGTGGGTTTCCTTGTCTCACATTCTTCCGCTTCTTTTAACTTGTAACTTATTTATCATTTGTCGTCTTCCTCTCTGTCGAATATTCTTGTACAGTAATTTCAACTAGTTTTCAGACTATGTTATGGGGTTGGAAAATGGAAGGAGTTGGATGCCTAAGGATAGGATCTGAACAAGGACCAAACAGGACAGGAGGGTGGTTAGGTAGCCCGGTGTTATTACCAAGGCAAGGAAAGCAACCTTAGATGAGCGATTTGCTTGGGTCTCAGGACCGATTCTGGGGTTAAAAAATAGTCGGCTCAATGGGGTTGTTGGTATATTATCTGAGGATAGGTTTAATCTAGCTAGAAGGAAATAAGGATGAAATCTCCTGAATATTGTTGTGCATGCGTTTGGTTTTGATTTTGATTTGAAATGTTTAATATAGAATGATTACTGTACGGAGGTACTTAACTAATGTACCTACCGTTTGCTTTGCTGAAAATTTCGGGTTTGTACATGACTAATGGATGTTGGACATTGAGAAGGAGGCGGGAGGGGCAGAGTTTCGCGGGACGTGCCTCGCTAATTCGATACCGGGAAGCCGGGTGGATCATGACTACCCAGCGTGGCAAGGTGAGGCTTCTAAACTTATGCCTGAGCCTTTAATTCTAGGTAACAGGTACACCTGAGTTGTCTCATCACGCGAGACGGCATCCGCCATTCTGCTACTCTGCCCTTCCTTCTAGATCTTTTTATTTTTATTTTTTTACTTTGTAAACGTCATAAAAACCTACGCAACATACTACTCCTCGTCCTGCCTCGCTGCATCTATACCTACAATCCTCATTCCGAACGGGCACCTGTGTTTTCTTCCCTCCATATCCACCCGACTCATCTTAACAAATACGCCTTCGCTCTACAACCTTCACGATGTTGAAGATATGGTCTATGGTAAATCGCGCGAGTTGTTGTATCTTACTACATAATACATTCTAACGCTTATTGTATAGAAATCTGCCCAGCAAAAAGCTGAAAATGCTGATGGCGCAGCTGGAAAAAAGAAGAAAGTCACACCCGCTCAACTACGGGTACAAAAAGGTAACTATCACCATTCTGCTATTAGGTAGTAGTTTATCTTGATTTTGGTTCACTGACTATTATTGTTATCACTTTAAATTAGATCTCTCCGAGCTATCTTTAGGATCGACTATGAAAACTGTATTCCCCGACCCGGATGATATCCTCAATTTCGTGCTCGAAATCACACCAGATGAAGGCATCTACCAAGGCGGATTATTCACCTTCACATTCACCATGGGCCCGAACTACCCGCATGAGCCACCCAAGGTGCGCTGCCAGCAGAAGATCTACCATCCCAACATCGATCTCGAGGGCAAGGTGTGCTTAAATATTCTGCGCGAGGACTGGAAACCGGTACTTAACCTGAATGCCGTCATTGTTGGTCTACAGTTCCTATTTCTCGAACCGAACGCCTCGGATCCTCTAAATAAAGAAGCTGCCGATGACCTACGTTCGAGCCGCGAAAACTTCCGAAGAAACGTACGTGCCGCTATGAGCGGTGGTTCGATACGCGGAGTTACATATGATCGTGTGCTTTCTGGTAGGTAAAGACTAGAAAGATCTAAATGACTTAGCGACGGGGCATTTTGTGAACAAAAAGGCGCTTCAGTCCAGTCGGACTACACGATATACTCGAGCTGGCACAATAAGAACCCCTATACAAATTGGCTGATGCTCAAATGTAAGGGGGCAAGATGAGACCAAGGGAGAAGTTTTAGACTGGCTTTGCGGACGGCACATAGCAAGGCGTTTACGAGGGGGCCGCATTTACTCCAAGGTATCAAGGAGACTCTTAATTTCGTCTCTGCTTCCGACGTTTTGCAGCTGTAAATTACTTTATGGCCAAGCATTATGCTTAATTCTTTACGTGGACGACCAACGACCACATCACGATAGATAGATACTGGTATATGAATATGACGAAATTATAACTACAGTATTCACGTGGGTGTTCTTATACATCCTCTTTAGATTCTTAATTAACCATAGAGGACTCTCGAATAGAATTTAGGTGGTATAAGTATATACATAGGCAGACATCTGATGCAATTTATGATTGTTGAGATTTCATCGTCACCGCCTATTGAAGACGTGGGATATTCCCTTACTTGCACATCCTACCTAAATCATAATAGTACCTGTACTAGAAAGTGGCTTTAAAACTATACTTGTATACAGGTTATTTTAGGAAGCCAGGTGTACCTGTACGATGAGACCACTGCACCCCAAAGCCCGCTCTAGCCAGACCGGACCGGTGATTAACCCCACCATTGGCCTGCGGGCAACGGATTGATTCGACTCAGCGCCGAAGTCGCAGTTTAAGCTCTCTGCAAGAGCTCCCAAGACCCTGGAAAAAATGAAAAATAAAAAAATAAAAAATAAAAAACGTGGGTAAAAAATAAAACTTTGATCCGTGAAACAACAGCGCATTTATAGACATCGTAATACCCATTAAGTTGTCTTTACACCTTTCCTCACCTCAATCTCCACTCAGTAGATTTTTCACGATGGCTTCCAGAGGCTTTTCCAAGGCTCTTCGTAGCCAATTGGCCCGTCGAGTGGCTTCGCCCGCTGTTCAGCAACGTTCTTTCGTTGCTGCGTCCAACATCGCCAGAACTACTATCAAGGCTCGTCCCGCTCTAGCTGGTGCCGTTCAGCAACAGGTTCGCGGTGTCAAGACCATTGACTTCGCTGGAACCTCCGAGGAGGTCTACGGTAGGTTCAGTTAAAATATTATATAAGAACATTATATAGGTGTCATCGACTAATACTTACTGATATATATATAGAGCGTGCTGACTGGCCTAAGGAGAAGCTCTTGGTAAGTCTTCAAACCTTATAATTAGGTTAAGAGAAATTAGAGACAATAGCTAACACCAAATAAAGGAATACTTCAAGAACGACACCCTCGCCCTTATCGGCTACGGTTCGCAAGGTCACGGCCAGGGTCTTAACCTCCGTGACAACGGCCTGAACGTTATTATCGGTGTCAGGAAGAACGGTCAGTCGTGGAAGGATGCTGAGCAGGATGGCTGGGTTCCCGGCAAGAACCTCTTTGAGGTCGACGAGGCTATCTCCAAGGGTAGCATCGTCATGAACTTGCTCAGTGACGCCGCCCAGAGCGAGACGTGGCCCGCTATCAAGCCCCAATTAACTAAGGGCAAGGTATGCTAATATGAGTCACCAATTCTAAGAAGCACAAAAAGTTGACAATTTATAGACTCTATATTTCTCGCACGGTTTCTCGCCTGTCTTTAAGGATATCACCAAGGTTGATGTTCCCAAGGACATTGACGTCATCCTCGTTGCCCCTAAGGGCTCTGGCCGAACCGTCCGATCTCTCTTCCGTGAAGGTCGGGGTATTAACTCTTCCTACGCGGTCTTCCAGGATGTCACTGGCAAGGCTGAGGAGAAGGCTCAGGCCCTCGGTGTTGCTGTTGGCAGCGGATACCTCTACAAGACCACCTTTGAGAAGGAGGTCTACTCTGACTTGTACGGTGAGCGTGGCTGCTTGATGGGAGGTATCCATGGTATGTTCTTAGCTCAATATGAGGTTCTCCGAGAACGTGGCCACAGCCCCAGCGAGGCCTTCAACGAGACCGTTGAGGAAGCCACCCAGAGTTTATACCCTCTGATTGGTGCCAACGGTATGGATTGGATGTACGAGGCTTGCTCTACTACCGCCCGACGAGGTGCCATTGACTGGACCCCGAGATTCAAGAGCGCCCTGAAGCCCGTCTTCAACCAACTCTATGACGCTGTCAGGGATGGTACCGAGACTAAGCGATCGCTCGAGTACAACAGTCAGAAGGATTACCGACAGAAGTTTGAGTCTGAGATGGAGGAGATCCGCAACATGGAGATCTGGAAGGCCGGCAAGGCCGTGAGGTAAGAATTACTTGGAACTAGGAAGTCCAAATTTAAGCAACTGTGATCATGGCTAATCAATTTCTCTGTATAGATCTCTCCGACCCGAAAACCAAAAATAAGTGTATTTGGCGTTAAAAACTAAGAGTATCGGAACGGTAAACTAAAAGGTGGTGTGGCATATTCCCCGGGGGCAAAGGGAGCTTTTGTACTTATATTTGGGATTCCCCAATGTCGTCTCACGAAGATCTAGGGATATTCCCCCCCAAAAGTGTTCCTAGTCGAATTTTCAATAAAGCTTTTAAAAATCAATCGTCTTCAGGTTACTTTTACTCGTAACGGATCCTCAAGTATTGCTTCTCCGTTATCGGACCTTAATAACAAATCGTAGATTTTTGACTGGATGAAATATCATTGTTAGGCTAGCCTTAAACATTTACCAAGTCCTTGCCACTTTTGGTATAATCTTTTTAGCTTTGACTTGTGAATATCTAAGGAGGATTGGCCAGGTATACGATAATTAGACCTTGACTTGCATAGCCTACTTAGGTACCTTACAAGACATTCATTTATTCACTTATCTATACTACCTTTAACAACCTTTCTTCCCGCCATTTAGTTTTAAATACTAAAACCCTCCTTATTGGCCCCAGGACAAGGCCGAATCAAGGAGTTCAAAGCCAACTATGGCGGACCCATCCACGTCGCCGCCCCTGACGCGGGCCTCGGTGGCAGCGGCCCGGGAACTTATCAAGCCGTTCGTGCACCGGACGCCGGTGGTCACGAGCACATCGCTTTCGACGCTGGCTTCCGGCGCGGATGCGGATGCGGGAAGGGCAAATCCAAAGCTGAGGCTCTGGTTCAAGTGCGAGAACTTCCAGAAGGTAGGCGCCTTTAAGGCCCGCGGCGCGTTCCATGCTATCGAGAGGCTGAAGCAAGAACCTGGCTGGTTAGAGGGGGGAGGGCCGGAGAAGGGCGTTGTTACGCATAGTTCTGGTTTGTTTTGGGGTTTCTTATTTTATTTTATTTTATTCCATACTTTCGTCTCTATCTTGGCTCCGTGGAGCATAGGTTGGTTCATGAGGAATACGTATTTCTATGTTGCCTCAACCTCTTAACAACTCGGCCGTATTTAAGACCGACTTAGATACTTAACCTACCTCCTAACTAACCACCACCAACCAACCAGGGAACCACGCACAAGCCCTCTCCCTCGCAGCCCGCACCAACGGCATCCCCGCATACATCGTGATGCCCAAGATCTCGGCGCCGCCCAAGATCGCCGCGACTAAGGGGTATGGCGCCCACGTGATTTTCAGCGGCAGCACGAGCGTCGAGCGCGAGGCCGTCACCGCCAAAGTCATCGAAGACACTGGCGCGCGCCTCGTGCCGCCCTACGACCACCCGGATATTATCCTGGGCCAGGGCACGCTGGGCCTCGAGTTCCAGGAGCAGGTCGAGGCTCTGATGGCTGAGGAAGATGGGAAGGAGGAGGTGGGAAAGAAGACTGGGGGGAAGAGGGGGCTTGATGCCATTATTGCCCCGTGTGGTGGCGGCGGTAGTAAGTGTCTATTTTTGATTTATATTATTTTCAGTTTTGCTTTGAGAGTCCGGCTGTTCTAGAGATATACATATGTCGTACTTGTACATGCGACTGGTTTCTTCCTTCTTCCATTCTCTTAAACACCCTATGCTACTAACCATATATACTCTCCTCTTCCCCCTTTAAAAACAAGCCACGACTAACACTAACCTCCTATAGTGCTCTCCGGTGTAGCTCTCTCCTGCGAAGGCACCGGGATCCGGGTCTTCGGCTCGGAACCCTCATTCCAGGGCGCCGACGACGCGAAGCGAGGCTACGAATCGGGCACCCGCGTAGAAACCGTGTCTTCGTTAACCGTAGCGGATGGTCTGCGCACGCCGCTCGGTCGTATCCCCTGGTCCGTCATCTATGAGCGCCGCCTTGTGTCCGGCTTTTACAGCGTCAGCGAGGCCGATATCATCCGTGCGCTACGCCTCGCCTACGAGCGTCTCAAGGTCGTTATCGAGCCCAGCTCCGCCGTGCCCCTCGCCGTCGCCCTGTATAATGAGGACTTTAGGGCAATGGTCGAACGCGAGGCTGGCGAGGACGGTTGGGATGTAGGTATTGTGTTTAGCGGAGGGAATGTCAGTTTAGAGGCTTTGGGTAAGCTATTCTCCGAGAGTCCTGAAATAGCCAAGTAAATATAGAAATTTTCTCCCTTTGAAGACGTGGTGAATATATGATTATGTGGATTACATTTTGGTATCTTGGGGTTAAACTAGAAGGCCTTGCTAATACTCGGCCTATATGCCAGAGAAGGCAGCGCTATATGACTAAAATAATACTCTACCTCGACCTACATGCTTCTCAAGTTTCATCATATCGGCAGCGTCTCGTTATGTCATGAGCGAGGCGTCTTAGGCTCGCTCTGACTAAATAATCTAAAATGATTGTTGGGCTCATTTACTTAGAGCCTTGTCCATCTGTTCCCTCCATTTCCGACTGTTCTTTCGCAGGAACCAGATCGATAAGTTGCCGCTCAGCCAGGCGATCAAGCCGACCATAGTCATCAGCCATCCAATGCCCATTGCATTGATGAGAGGTTGGCCTACTATACCACCCACGCAACTAAATATATTCCGCACGAAGTTATTAAGAGCAACACCGCTACTACTTCTCTGCGGCATGAACTCGGTGAGCATAGTGGTAGCAGCACTAAAGACAAGCATACTACCGACGCCGAAAAAGAAGTTAGCTACGGATGGAGCCATCCAGTGAATTCCGTACTGTATTGTCCAGCCGGACCAGATTAATGCCCCGGGATATAGTGTGGCGGAGATCCATGCATTCTCGCGCATACGATCCTCAGGCAGATAGATGAGCTTCCCATTGGCGTCGTATCTTTGGGCCTTCTCCGCTGCTCGGACCATGATCCGGTCGATCCATCGTCCGCCAAGCAGCGACGCTGCAAAGTAACCTAACGAGCTTGGCAGGTACAAAAGTCCTATAATAATAGCTGAGTAACCATAGGGAGCTGACGAGAATGCCGATTGAATGGATATGTTGAGTACGTATAACGACCCAAAAGTGATCGCAGCATAGTACACTGTAATTGCCACAGCGGGGAAACGCAGGTACATGATTATCTCAAGCGGATCGACAAAGCATTTCTTTAACTGTACGAATGCCTGTTTAGTGTGCACCTGCACGGAGCGTGTAGTAGAAACACGCGACAGGCCGTCAGGGTGCGATGGCTCGGCTGCAGCCGTAGGCTTACGCTTCGCCAAGGTCTCCGGGACACAGAACAAGACAAGGATGAAAACGACAGCACCATAAACAGTTAGGAACCATACGGTACTCCTCCAGCCAAACCCTTCTGTGAGAGCGCCGCCTATGATCGGGGCCAAGAGGGGTCCCATAAGCGGTCCAAGGTAGAAATATCCCATAGCGCGGCCGCGTTCCCGGGGTTCCCAGCAATCTGCGATTGTGCCGGCGCCGACAGCTTGGACGGAGGCGGCAGCACCGCCCGATAGGATACGAAACACAATCAGCATGCCAATATTGACGCTTAACCCGCTCAGTAGTGAGAAGACAATGTTTAAGAAGAAGGACGAGAGATAGATATTACGACGTCCTAGGGTTTCGGAGAAGGAACTCCACCAGAGCGGGAAGATTGACATTGCTAACATATATAATGCTACCGTCAAGTTTACGACTGTTGGCGAGGCACCGAGGTCCTTTGACATGTCCGGAAGGGCAGCTAATATGATCAGGTGAGTCTTCTAATATACCTTGACTAAAGGGGGGGGGGGGGGGGGGGGGTTGTGCTACACTATAATGGAAGGTATATATTGCTTACGATAAAAGATGGCAGAACCCATTGGCGCTGCACACGCCGCTAAGGCTATGAAAACTGTTATTGTCCATTTCACTTTATTTGGATAATCGTAAGGTCGCTCGACCTCTGGGATGAAAGTCAATTGCGCAAGGAAGCCTCGCCGTTTCAATCTTGGCACTATAGACAGCGGCTTAAACCGAGCAGATGACGCCTGGGACCTAACTCGGTCCATTGGTACTGTAGCCGCAACCTCTTCGTCCACCAAGATGCCATTTGGAGTTAGCAACTGGTCAGGGACGGCGTCTATAGATCCATCCTCCACATCACGGTCCGTGGTGGTTATAGACGCGGCAGTATCGTCATCATCCTCTGGGCGTTTTCCTTGCAACTTATTGTTCTCTGTTTTCTCATCCATATTTTCTGAGTCGACAGCCATGTCAAATTGTTTTGGCTCACCAGAGCAATAGTGTTTAGCGGTGTGTTCGCGTGAAGACAATAACTGGTAACCGATATCGGTGGGGTAAGAGAAAAAACTAAGCGAAATACAGGTATTATGATATTAGAAGGCTCTTAGTGTAGGGAGCTTCTTCAGTCAGTCCGTGGTGAAATCCTGTACATATGTGAGGAGATAGCTATAACGATAGGAATGGGTTGGTTAGAGATTGGATGTTAGAGATGATGAATGAGTAAAACGACGTTAATATTGGTAAATATACCTAGGTAAATATTGTCTATTGTCGACGTTGTTGGATGATTTGCTGCTTTAATTTTTGTGTGGGGAAAGTCTGCAGAAACGGGAATTGTAGTGCATCTAAAAGTTGAAATGCCGACAAAACCGAGACTATGACTGATGACTACTTGGGTCAGTGATTCTGTTCGGGTATTGATTCCGATACACCAGACCATAGCCGGCAAGAGCGATCTCCATCGCCTAGGTCAACAAGGTTACAATGAGGTCCTCAGCACACTATTTCGGATGTACCTAATGTATGTAGCATCAAACGGTATCCGCGTCTATAAAAGATGTCGGCGAAACGAATAGTTCCTCGGAATGAGTGTAGGTTAGATAGTTGATAACGACCATCCCAGTATTTGACTTGGAGTTGGATTATCTTTCATTGGATAAATTCTACGACAGGGGAACAGATTTACATAAACATGTCCCGGAAGCTGTCGGAAGCTGAACTGGCAGCTGATAATTGGAGACTTGTCCATGAGAGGCTCTTATGAAAGTGATTGTCGGAAGTTAGATCCCCATCGGCTATCGCACCTTGAAGACGTAATGTATTACGGATGTTAGTATAGTAGATCTTATTGGATGATGATGTTGAGTTGCACAAAAATCGTAAAGTGTACCTAAGGTACCTAATGGACTACCTACCTAAGGTATGTAGAGGCTGAGATCCATTGTGGCTTACCTTGCACTAGTCTGTGTAACCGGCCAGGTGATAGGGTAAAATCTTTAGTGGGTACCAAATTGCATTCAATTATTCAATTGATACCAGTATTAACCACTCATATCCTTTCCTCAATGCTATGAAATGATGCTTCCGATAATAGGCACATACACATACACACATTCTACATTGTAAATATCTGCATGCAATGTCTCTCACAAACGCATCCCCTTCGGAAGCTGCCAAATCAGCCAAAGAAGCATCGCATGTACTCGCTACATTATCCGAGTCAGCGAGGAACGATGCTCTAACAGCTATCCACGATAGCTTAACTGCTGCCAAGGATGACATACTTGCAGCCAATGCTCGTGACCTCCAAGCTGCACGTTTAGCAGCAGAGCATGGTCAACTAAGCCAAAGTTTGGTATCAAGGTTAGACCTTGGTAAGAAAGGGAAATGGGAGGACATGCTTAAAGGAATACTTGACGTTAGAGGCCTCGAAGACCCTGGTGAGTCACTAGCAGAATTTGATCCAATATGTTAGGTACCTAATAAAACTAATTGTATTAAAGTCGGCAAGATTACCTTAAAAACTAAGCTTGATGATGGGCTAGAGTTGACAAGAGTCACTTGTCCTATTGGCGTTTTATTAATCATATTCGAGGCGCGACCTGAGGTTATTGCCAATATCGCTTCCCTTGCAGTAAAATCAGGCAATACTGCTATCCTGAAAGGTGGTAAAGAGTCAACAGAATCCTTCGTTGCCATTTCCAAGGCCATTTCTGCAGCTCTGGACAAGACTAAGGTGCCCAATGGTGCCATCCAGCTGGTCACCACAAGAGATGTAATACCGCAGCTGCTAGATCTCGACCAATACATCGATCTTGTAATACCCCGGGGCTCCAATGAATTGGTCCGATATATCAAGTCATCCACCAAGATCCCGGTCCTTGGCCACGCCGATGGCTTATGCTCCATCTTTCTCGAGCAGTCGGCAGATCCGAAGATGGCTGCAGATGTGATTGTTGATTCAAAGACTAGCTACCCCCAGCGTGCAACAGCTTGGAAACATTACTGGTGCAGGAATCTTCTCTAGACACGCTTCTCCCCACAGTAGCCGAGGCCCTCATTACAAAAGGCGTTGTCTTACGCTGCGATACCAAAACCAAAGCGGTACTTTCTAGCAAGCTATCTTCCGATCTCTCTACAAAACTCGAGGATGCCCAGAGCGCCGACTATGATACTGAATTTCTCAGCCTTACGCTTGCAGTCAAAGCAGTTACAGACATTCATGAAGCAATTACCCATATCAACATTCACGGTTCCAAACATACGGACGTGATACTAACTAGCTCTTCGGAGCTCGCTGAGCAGTTTATGTCGAGCGTAGATGCGGCAGGTGTATTGGAATGCCTCAACTCGCTTCGCCGACGGTATGAGGTACGGTTTCGGGACAGAAGTTGGTATCAGCACAAATAAGATCCATTCTCGAGGCCCCGTAGGCTTGGAAGGCCTCATGATCTACAAATACAAAATCCGAGGGCAAGGTCATGTCACAGCGGCATACGGCGAAGGCGAAGGAAAGAAGAGTTATAAACATGAAAAAATCCCTTTGTAGGTCGTTGCGCTCTAGGAACGACGTATGTTGAAATCTAGTGGCGTTTAGGAAGCATGGTGTGTGGGTAAAAAGTTATGTAGAAAAGGCATTGGATTCTGCTAATTATATGGCAAGACCATAGTAGTTATCTAACTCTCAGTCCTTGGCTACTAAGAGTAAAATTATATCTTCCTAATACTAGTTGTCGAAGAGGCCCCCTATGCTTGCCGTACTATTAATATAATCAAAGGAAACTATAGATTTATATTGAGCCATGCGCTTTCTGTAAAGTCACCTGTAGGTTAGGTACCTATCAATATATCATGTCATTAGTTAGGTATTTTTATTCTATTTTTTTAGGGTAGTTGGTGAGGCAAAGTGAAAATAGGGAAAGGTATGAAATTTAGTCGTACCTCAGACATGAATCATGGAACGATACTTTTAGAGAGCCCTGGGTAAACATATCACCGTAAGGGGTATATCCGAGTAGTATGTGTGCGTAAGGTGTTTAAGATATGAGATTATCGAGTATGATAGTAGTTGAATTGATAAAATGGAAAAAGTTCGGAGTTATCAGAGATTATGATAACTTCGTATATCAGCATGAATATGTACTAATGAGCGTTATAATATACCTAGGTATTGATTATAACTACCGTGTTCCCAGGAGCCCTTCACGACATTAATACAGGTCGGCCAGTAAAAAATAAGTACTTCCTAGAAATTTTTAGAGCATCTTTAAAGGAATGACCTTTACAAGTCAATTGTTTCAAGAACGTTATCATCTTCCATCTCCTGAAATGCCCCTTAAGCCTTTGAAGGATCCCAGACCTTGGGGCCGGGTATAGTATAGTTCTATATTTCACATTAGTACATTAATATCCAGAGATTAGATAAATGGTGAGAGATATTCCGTGCCTATGGTAAAATCAAAAGACACACATCAAGAGAAGATACATAATACTCACAAAAATACTGTGTCCGACTTTGGGGTTATACAGTTCGCCCGCCATCCATAAACCAGGGTCATCCGCGCTATATGCACCAGGGAATTCGACAAGGTAATCCTCGGAGGGGATAGCATCGCCGTCCCCAATGACCTCTAGCTGTGCACACTCAGGGTAGAACTGCAGGCTTGCCTCGAGATTTATGAGTTCGTGCCGAATCAAGTAGTTACCAGGCTTCAGGTTAGGAATGGTGATGTTCCAAGCACCAGTGGTGTCTCCGCGTTCTATTACATAATCTTGCCACCACCGGTCCTTGGTTGAGATGGGCTTATCCGTGCCGTACTCATAGGCACCCTCCCATCCCTTAGGGTTGTAGCCTGCCTCCCAGATTTTAAACCAGCGCTTCCCAGTGCCATCCCATTCATCGCACTATTGGTAGTTAAGTGCTTCCACTACAATATAGACTACGAGGTATCTGGGATCATTGCTCGCATCTACAGTTGGGAAATTGGTCTGGGAAGAGATACGTTGTGACAATTAAGGGAAAGTACTCACGGGTCCTTGACAATCCGCCATATACACCATCATCGGTCCCTGGCTGTGTACCCATGTATACTCCGGCCCGGAACATTTCATGGGCGGGTCTTCCTCGTCGTAATTTGGCACCGATGGCGTTTTTGGGAACGGGACAGGCGGCGAGGTGGGACATAGAGGTGGGTAATAAGAGGCTATAACCTCGCTACCGGGCCGTACAGTCGCATGTAGTTTGGTGATACTAGTAGCGAGAGGATTTCCTCGGTTGCAGGCGAGATAGGGGTGGTCTGCCCGATAGATTGGGTCGGGCCACCAGCGGCGCTGGATCGACACCTGGCCTTCTTCCGGGAGCCAGGGGTAATGCCTAGTAGATCTCTTTAGCGAAGAAAGATCGGGGAATTAAATCGGTTACAGGGGTTGTTGGTTGGCTTACCCAGGGTACTCCACGCCGTCAATGGTATAATTGTATAAACCTCCATGGCCATAAACCTTGGAGATAGCCGCTGCGCTAACAATGAGAGAGATTGGCTTCATATTGCTATGATCCGTGAGATCCACGACCGAATATCTAGCCAAGTTAAATGATGTAAAAACGAACTAGATGCAGACGCAAATTTGCATGGATATTTTCTTTGGTTAACTACCTGTTAATTCCTCACGATATATATACGTCTTCGCCCGGGAGAATAAAGCCCTTGGACAAGAGTTCCCGTCCTGTGAAGCTCAGAGTGACCCCTATTCAAGAATATAGATATGCATATGCGCTGCAAGATCCCGCTGTAGATTCTTATTCGCATACGGTAGCTTCCAGGCCTAATTCTGTCAACTTACGCGGGGTTCGTAAGTGAACCAACGGGCCAAGACAAGAGGTGCATTGTATTCGATCGACGGCTAAACTACGAATACAGACCTCTATCATAAGGGGATTGCTAACCGTATCGTATTTGTATAGGCTATTCGAGCCAGCATGATGAGAAACGGAGTCATCAAACAGCTTCCTGTTTGGCATCACTGGAAAATATTGATTCCGATTGACTATTCGAGGCTCCTGCTTGCTCATATTCATTACCACTGACAAGATAGAGATGATCCGAGGGCCCGAGCAGAAGTAGAAAATATTCTCAGGATAAAAATAGTAAAAATTGCAGTTGTAGTGAGAGGGTAAAAGATGTCGACGGCATAGCTGATTCCGTACCGTGACATAGACGAGGTTACGACTTATAAGTATATATAGTAATTAGCCTTACTTGGCTTGTGAGTCTTTCATGGTACTAGAACATGACAAAGAATGTAACAGAGACCACATCGAGTTGAAGGATAGAGAGTGTCAGTTAATACTAACATAGGTAGACTTTAATGATAATTGATATTTATATAAATACTCGATCTAGAGGGATAGTTGCAACACATCTGTAAGCTCTATTATAGACTTATATTATAGCCAATTTTCCAAGACGATACGGTAGTGGTTTATATGACTTCCCCCTTAGCATAGTAGGATATAAAGAACTAGTTGAACGTCTTTAAGTATATCTTATTGGGTGTTGGAGTAGTTGATAGGTATTAATAACAAGAGCATTACAGATGCCCCTTTCAAAAGTTTTTACCATAGGGAACCCCTATCAAGATTGTCGCCAGCTGTCTGATACTTGGCCAGCAACTGTCGGTGATTTAAAGATGTATACATTATTATCCCTTAGGTTTACTACTAGCCATAGCGGGGCTATATGGGTTCGTGGAACGATTACAACCCCCCTATAATGATGCCATGCATAGTAAGCGTTCAAATCAGACCTAATCATTCCAACATCGTGGAATGATTCCAATATCGTGGAATGATTCCAAATTGTGGAACGGTCTTGTAAAATGCAATGATTCCGCAAATTCACGTGACTTTCACGTGAAAAAGTGGGGTAAAAAGTCAAAAAAGTCAAAAAAGGGGAAGACTGGTCCTCGAACCCACAACTCTTACGTGTGTAACCATAAACCCCACAATAAGGTTTAAAGTTTTAACGTTTGAGCTAATGGGACGAGGTGGCCAATCTCATCGAATTATTTCGAAAATTTCATTTGATTTTAGACCTTATAACCTTTACTTCGGACAAAGTAAAAATTTTACTTAGAAAAATTTTTAAAATTTTTTTAAATTTTTTAAATTTTTTTTAAAAATACCCTGCGGAATGATTACAAATTGTGGAACGCTTGGCATATTTGCGGAACGATTCCATATGCGATTTATTGATTATATAAGAAATACCCCACTAATATTTGGATTTAGCCAATTAGAGGCCTTAAATAGGTGGAGCGTTCCACCCTTGCCAACCGTTCCGACATATTGGAATCATTCCACGAACCTACATTTTGCCGCTATGGAGGTTTTACAGCCAAATATAATTTCAAAATAAACCAGAAAACTTAAATTTTGAAAAAGATTCTTTTTTATTCATAATTTCCATTTTCAAAGAATTTTAAATCTTTTTTTAAAAGCATTATATTTTATTGAAAAAATAAAGTAAAATAAGATACATATGTTAAATAAGTAAGCAGCTGTTGCCAAGCTTGGTCAAAGCTTACCGGGGGGGGGGAGAGGAGTCTTCCTATGGTAAAAACTTTTGAAAGGGACATCCGTAATAAATAATAAAATCTAAAGAGAAGTTGCTTTGGGTTTTCTTAGGCCTAGACTAGCTTCCTCGCTACTCAGATCAAATGTAGCAATATCGGGAAATAATTCCTGACGTGAATAATTCCTATGCATTGTCTCCACACTGAAATCCTTAAAATACTGCAAGATGCAAAGCGAATCGATCCATAGAAGCTCCAGTCTCACGTGCCGAATACTGCTAACCGTATTCTAAAGACTTTCGTGCAAAGCCAAGAGAGGGACTTTGTCCTTTTCCCCTCTTCTGAACTCCCGGTTCCGTAGTGCATACTTCTCTGGCTCTGTGCAAATTGAGCCCGTAAGACACCAGCATAAAACTGATATGCAGCAGTTAAATGATAGTGAAGCCAACTGGTCGTCGATACGAGGTTAAACTGGCTGCACATAGGGATGGCTTGGCTTGCATATATTTATTTTAATACTTATACATTACATTGATAGTATTGAGATGTAGCCTGGGGATAGCTTCCTAATTCACTCCTATAATAATGCGAAAGAGTGAAAAAGGGGCAGGTAAAGTATATGTATCTAGTTATTATCCAGTTGAATATGCGTATATCTGCTGTGGTAGCAGCAGGATATAGTGGAACATAGGGGCACATAGATAGAGGAGAATATTTCTCGTGTTGAGACTTTTCACTGTGAGCAATCATTACTCTATTCATTGAACTTTTTACCCAATCTATACCTTTCGTGTTGTTGTAATAGCAACCATCCTTCAAAAAAAAGCAATGGGTGTGGATGACTCACGTAATTTTATGTTGACTGGCATTGATATTCCGTCTAACGCACTAAGAAAAGAAAAGACGAAAAAAAAAGATTACTGTTAAAAGTTGGTAAAAGTGGTACGATATTGCTGCATCAACAACTTATAGACTACTAATGTATACTATTTTAGAGATCTAACCTACCTTGCCTCCTTGATGGGTCGTCTGCATTAATGCATGCGCTAATTACCGAATATAACCACCAATATCCACCGGTTTGTCAAGTATGGAGAGTTGTTTTTTAATAAATATTCATGAAGGCTGCGATGAGTAATGATACACCTTGACCGGACATATACCTTGGACACCAATTACCACAAGACTGGTGGATTTGACGAATGGAGTTGTCACAAATAATAATGATACCATGCAGGCACCGATCCGGTATAGTTACAGAGTCTGCTTCGCAAAGGGCGGCAGATCAGGTCACGCATTATACGGACTTGTCTTCGTGATGTGTCTGTCCACGTCGTCGCGCACCGGACCCGACATCACGGGGTTTTCAAAGGAGAGTTCCGCTGGGGGCTAGGGGCTGGGGGAGGAATGAGGGGCTGAGTAGAACCACATGCGATCGGCTCTTCCGACCTCCCGAAGTTCTCGTGGCGCCGATAATTGTTGGTTCGATTTGACGTCAGTGTACCACAATCGCGGGTTCGTGCTTCGCATCATGGACCGTCCGTTGTGGGTGAAGAAATGGGTTTTCATGCGGATTCTAAAGTGCAGAAGCAAAGAAGGTAAATCGAACACCCCGCAGCGGGCCGGGAGCCCAGATTTCCAGATTTCTCTTCATGTCCATAGGCGTCCGTCGGACACGCCAGACCCGATCAAGGAGGAATGTTCGAGAGTTAAAGTGGAATAGAGGGGGTGAGGGGGAGGGGAGGAAAAGAAAGAGGGAGGAGGGTCAATCTACCTATTGTTCTACCTATTACATGGTTGATGAAATTGCCCTTATCTCAGGGAATGGTTTGGAGTTGGCGGAAGCCAAATGGCGGTGACGATGTGGTCGATTTTCTCTGGCTAGCTGAAGGGCCCTAGTATCCACTTCGCCGCCTCATTCCCCGGCGTCCGTTGTCCCCCTTGTGATCTGGGCTGACCATATGAATCGCTTGACTAGGATATCGGAGGATGGTGGAGCCTCATCGTTGATGTAGCCATTAACAACTACAGGAGAAATGCATACTCTATGCATATCTGGTGGAGTTGATGGAGTTGGGCAGCATCACCGCCTACACAATTCGACAAATAATAAGGGGTTTCATTCACTACCAACACGTGCTAAACATTACTAGCAAGAAAAAAAGAAACCCCCCCTTCTAATTACTATTCCCTTTTCCTCTCTTTGAAATCCCTAATCCCTAAATATAACTCCGAACGAAATCGGCCCTCCTTCTTAATGCCCCCTTCTCTCTTTTCTTCTCTTTCTTCTGGCTTCTCTTCTCTCTCGTCAGAGATGGGACCACGCGATCAAGCTACTATTAGAAGTGACTCAGGCTATGGGGACGATGCGTCCGAGGTGCCGCGGGACGGGCCAGATGCTCATCCGTTGAGTAAGTTTGATTTGTAGTTATTGGAAGAAAAAAAAAAGAAGATCTATGATTTACTATTTTCCCCGGTGCGAGCCTGTGCAGTTGGATATGTGAAAATATTTGTATCGTGTATCGCTGACATTTCATTCCGCAGCCCTTAAGGGATACGACATCGGACCGGCGTCCAAATTGCAAATCGGCGACGTGAGTCTATTCTGATCTACCGAAAATGTAAAATTGGAAATAAAGAAGAACGTGCTAAATATCGTATTTTCTAGGTCTTCGAATTTCTCTGGGCCGACGCTCCGGAGTTCGAATGGGAGTGGAAATGTCTTGGATACACTCGTTTCATTGTTTTGCGCCATAGCGATACCTTTCCTCATCATTGCGCTTGCATGTAAGTCAACGACCATACCACTCCAATTCACCAACATTACTCCCATTCTCTCAATTTCGCCGATACCATGAACTCCTTTTTGAACTACTCTGGGTGTTTACGGATAAACACAAGAAAAGCGAACGAGAGTTAGCTTCACTAGTGATCGGTTTCATCAATATTTGACTGACCGTGACCCAAATCAGACCTATTTCCATAGGAGGCAAACATGAGTTCGCCAAGCCTGGCATTGACCATTTCCAGCAAGGATACGTCTTCGGCAACGGTGATCCGACACCGGGCCTCGATCAGGGCGGTGTAGGGCAACGCCTACCGTATTCCCCCGTAGGAATTGAGCTGCGCCCCGGAAAGCTCCGCGTGAAAGAAGACTCTCGGGCCAACTATGCCGATATTGTCGACGTCGACCACGATGCTCAAGTCATGGTTATTGGTGATGTGGTGCGCTACTTCGATCGAGTCAGGAGGAACGTCAATAAGGCCTTCATGCGTCAGATTCTGAGGAGGGCTCTGGAAGAATATAAGCGTCATAGGGCGAATCAAGCAGAGAGCAACAGGATGTCTAAGATTCCCCAGTCGGTACTCGACGGCGACGAAGCTCAATTCAGCGCCTCAGAAAGCGTCGTTCCACCTTCAGAATCAGCAAGCACAATTGGGGAGACCAGATACGAAAGGGAAGGGAGGAGACACAGGAGATATTCAAATTCCAGTTTAAGCTCTCGAAGGCCGAGAACCGACTCACGGACTGGTAGCGTCAGACCGCCTCGGGAAGCCCCCCAAGAAGGCCGGAACGAAAATTGACTACGATATGAAGTCCATGCACAACGTTGCGATGGCCGGATTGAGATAAGAAAAGAAAAAAAGGAATCAGGACTAAATTCTAATTCATGAAAAGAACCTTACCCTGCATGGATTTGGCGTACGGAGAGGAGTTAACTCGAGAAAGAGGACTCGAGCATTTCCCAAGATGCAGCATGCAACAGAACAACATAGACAGGCAACAGGTACGACGTGTATATTACGATTCTACGACTCCCCCGAAGTTCAGATAAACGACAAACAACACTTATAATGATTTATGCCAGATTAAACTAGTTAAGACGCGAAAACGCGCACCAATGGTTATGAAATGATATTTACCTTATACCAAGCATAGGAAACCCTTCGTGGGAAAGTGGGATTACCTGCAATATTTTTGCAGAGGACCAGAGAGCCGGGTTACGCATGTGATAGGCTGTTTTAGCATTGTCGTCCAGTGGTTTATTTATTATAACTCCACTGGTAGAGTTCTTGATATCTCATGAGCTTGAAGATAACCCGAGCCACATGATCATCCACGTTAATAATATATAATGGTCTCAAATTATGAGGATGCGTGAGAGTGAATGAGCTATAGTAGAAGCCATATAGATAGGGTCTGCAGCGTATTTAATCTGATTTAGCATCCTGTATGTCTTACTTGCCGGCGCGAATTCATCCATCTGCCTTGCGATCTGACCCGAAAATGACACCAAAGTCCAAAAGTGGGACATCCGATCTACTCTCCGATCATTGGATCCCTTGGTCTCTGGTCCCTGAAGCGAACCGAGGCAGCCGCTAAGAATGAAGCATTTCCAACGATCGGGTAAGATTAGTTGCATCTACAGGGAAAAGGATCTCTGGACGAAATTTCTCGGGACTATTATATGTGGGTTTTGGGGACGAATAAGTCGAGCACCTCCTTTATTTGGGGGATATAACAATGCAAACGGGCCGATCTACCGGGTGGTCAGAAGCAGTACGACCACCGGATATTGACTCATTGGCTCGGTGGAATTTCATATTACCGATCCAGCATTATTCTAAGTCCCGACTCCGTCGTCATTGATGCAACCTGGGAATTAGACCGTGTCTTCTTACAATATGATGCCCAATATTTCAGCGCCAGGTATTCAGGGAGGCGGGCAGATGGATGCAATGTATTTGATTCTTATCTGGAGGCCTTGTCGATCCTCGCTTCTGGGTAAATACCGACATGCTTGTAAGGCTTTCCATATGATACATGACCAATGGGCGCGCCGGCTTGTGATTTCGAAGCTGTGAGGGTGGGTATAATGTATTAGTCGTCCTATGGTATATATCGTCGCTGCATCCCCCCCCCAACTAGGGGCTTTTTAGAGACTTGGGTAATCAGTATGAATTAGTTGATTCGTTCTCGGAATCAGATCGTCCAACATGATCCCAGAAGCAGATCTCTGGGGAAGGCTTCCCCTGGAGTTGATCGAGCGGATCTTAGACCTTTTGGTAGACGACTATGACCAAGACCCTACATATCAATGGACGACCTTACGACATACAGCAAGAAGACAGATGCGCCGTATCGAACGTCATTTCTTGTGGTATTGGGTCCCGAAGCTAACTATTACGCTGTACTCGGGGCCACGATGTCAAATCGATTATAAACTCTCCAACCATACTAGTGAGGGCGGCTTTGAAACTAGTCGTGTTCGATTTCAAACTTCGGGAGCTAGCCTTTCGAGTTCATTGAACAAAAGGGAAATCTATACACTGTGGAGTCAATATAGCTTCGAGAATCGAGTCGCGCATCTCAGATTAGGCGAGGGCATCTTAAAGAAGGGTATGACAGGGGGCTATATTGTCAACGACACCGACATCGCCGATCTAAAAGTAGAAAATGATGGCCTCGATATCATATTTAACTGGCGGAAGACGCTTGACGCACTTCTTCGGGAGGAGGTAATGATGCGTAGGCTACAAGCAGAGATGGTATGCGATCTCTATTCCCACCTTGCCCAGTCTCTCTCCGAAACCCTCTGCTTATCGTCGAGTAGGCTTTGGATAAGAAGACGAAGTTAGCAGCTGAGCATCGGTGGCCGCCATTTCCAAGGATTCAAAGGCTAGCCCTGGTTAAGCATTTCGTGCTGGACATACAAATGGCCAAACGAGTTGCTGTCCAACAGCACCGCCTGAAGCATTATGATGCATCCAACGAGATTAAGTTAGGAAGCCTAACTCACGAGTCCCAACATCTGCATAAGCAATCTCTGCCTCCGTTGCCTCCAGTGACAAAGCCGAGAAGAGCGTGCTGCGTAATCTGCTCTCGCCAAACGGGTCCATCCATATTCGAAGTTGTCTCCTGTGAGGAGAGCGTGGTGCTCAGCCTAGATGGATGGGAGAAACTCGGCAAAGAGGAGCTACTCGACTTGTATGCCGAGGCGTACGGCTGGAACTGTTACCGATGTCTGGGACAAGAGAACAATATCGAGTGGCAGCAGATAAGTAAGAATGACTGGCTCACCGTATGCGCCAGCGGTGCTGAGAAACTGCATAACGTACGAAGGTGGAACCCTTGGTTCTAGACGCGACTATGAAAGTTTGAACTGTAAGGTTGGTTTCTCTTCTTGAATCGATGGTATAAGTTCTAAGTTGGACTACATTAATATAATGTATAACTAGGAAGAAGAGGTGTACCTTAATCATATTTTATAGCTATAGGTTGGGGGCTGCTTTTCGTTAGGAGGTAACGAGAAGTTAGAGTGTAAGTTTGCTACCTTAGGCTATCAGTGCCTAGGCATTCACGAGTTTATATAGGTTAATGAGGAAATAGTACCTAAAGTAAATGCAACTATGCCCAAGTTCTAAGGGTTTCAGACCTCGTGTATCTTAGACTGCATTCAAACAAAAGCTCTAAGTTTAGCTAATGATTTCCACTAGATTGTTAAGTGTTAAGTCTATGACTATGATTAATCTTATAGTTAATAAGGTTAATTTTTAAGGACTCGTAAATGGTTGGGCGAGTAAATTAAGACCATATAAGGACCTCGCAGCAAACCTCCTTGGCCTCTCCCCCCGGTGGAATCTCGCACACCACTAACCATCTAGGTCAGACACCAATACTCCCTACACGCTACAGTAAAGAAAAAAAACAGACAACAGGTAATCAATCTTACCGCTTTATTACCACCAACCCCACGATGTCCTCAAGCAACGTCGCCGGTAGCAATGATCCGTCTGGAGCATCCAACTGCAAGAAGGAAGGCAATGCGACTCATTCGTCAACCTCATATTTCTGCGGACTCTGGCATCCCAATTGGCCGTTCTCAAAGAGTGCTTACCACAGTTTCGTTGCTAGCAATGATCCAAATTTCGTCGCTAACGCCCGGCGGCGGCCTCAGGTGCAGCCAGAGCCGGCGAAGGAAAAGCGGTAGTGCCGGGGCACAAGGCCACGGCGCAGAATCCCAGTCGAAATAACGCCGTGAGGCTTAGAACACCATTTTGAACGGGTATTTTACCAAATGTATGCTAGGATGAGGGAGGAATATCCCAATAGGGACTGTTGGTAGAAGGCAAACAGAAGCCTCGGTATTCTTACCGTAGTATGTTCGTTTACTAGCGATTTGATTTCCGAATATATTATAACACGAAACCAATTTTCTTTTCGATAATAATGGTATGATAGTCGATTGTTTCATCGTATTTCACGGGTTAGTATGAAATAATAACTCTACACCTAGATATTTAGGTATGCATTATGCTATGATTTGCTCACTAGATAGTTAGATGGGATATAATGCCTACCTACGGTTTCCAGCTCCTTTACATATACCTTACAAGATAATAGTGTACTTGAAATACCCTAAATCCTATAGTAATCTAAGTCTAGCTGGCTTACGTGCGTATGCAGGTGTAAAATAGATACATACCTCCTAACTAGAACGTATAGGCCTTTTGCTGATCACTTTCTATATATCCTATTAATTACTTTACATTAAACTATCAGTTACCTATTACCTAGGTACACGCGTTTATTCAGAGTACTTCTCCTTAATAGGGTCAATTTAGCATTCAAAGGTAATGGAGCTATCTCAAGTCACATCTCACTTAACCTGAAACCACGAAGCAAGAAAGAGAAATGTTGTTGTATAAAGAAGCGTGAGCCTATCTGAGGCTCAGATACTGATACAGCCGCAAGCTCTTTGTTTTCATTGCCTTAGTAGGTAGTTTTAGGATAGCTTAATTAGTTTCTTAGATAATAAGAATTATTCATATAATCCTATACATGGAAGTACATAACACGATAACATTCTTGATAGCTACCTAACCAGGTCTTCATTTATGCCATAGATATTTGTTAATGGTGCTTAATATGTACTACCAAGATTTACGGGGGTATATTGTCTATCTTCATATCTCGTGAATTCGTACATGCACTTGCCCAACGTCTACTAGTTCGTTATAGAACTGTACGATATACACAATCGTTTAACCACAGTGGCTTGCTATTTCAACCTAAGCCCTGACCCCAACATTTCTGTAATATTCTGTTGCGGTGCTCGACTAGATTTGGGAACTCGCTGACGATTTCAGTAAGCCTCCTATCTTCCCATGCTAATCCCTCATCGAGTAAGAGGTGTGTATAACTGAACACTGTAGAGTCAAATAGACTTGGCTCTGGTGCCTCAAAGAACCAATCCCCCGAGCCTAGCACCGTTGACAAGGCCTCAAAGGCTTCCCTCGCCCCATCATATAGCTTCCTCGAATATATAACCGGCGTCCCTATAGATCTTAATATCTGAGCCTCTGCCGCATGACGCAATTGGTATAGGATTGTCGCTTTCACGATCTGTGATGCGGAAGCCGGTGTGACGTAGAGATGCGAAAGTAGGGATGAGTTTGGGCTGGATAAATATAAGGAGTAGAGCCACGCGTTACGTATTCGGTGGTCGAGCAGCGATTCGTAGGCTTCAAGCTTCAGGCTTGGGACTTCGGAAATCTTATGTGTGCCACTTTGAGCTGCATATTGTTCTAGTTTGTTGGATGGTATAGGTAAAGGTGGGTCGAAGCTGTTAGGACTCGACGAAGGAATCAGAAACGGCAATGCGCCTGTTGGTGAAGCGTGATTGTTTGAGGGTATTACTTGGAAATCGACCCCGGATAGCTTGAGAAAGGTCTGTATCGACTATTAGGTATATAAACTTGGAGCTTAGACAATATACTTGTAACATACTTGCCATTTGAGGCAAGATGGATTGAAGCTAGGTAAGCTATCTAGGGCATTTTGGTCGGATATAAAGACGTATAGAGTCGCTACGTCTCTAGTTCTAGGGGAACGAATAGGTAGCTCGTTGGGAGGATATGTTATGAGGGGAAATCTCTTGAAGAGTCGAGCTAAGGGAGCTGGTATGGTTAACCAGCCCGATGCGCCAGAGGGCTTTGGAGTAATAGCACCGTGGGGTTTTGAAGACATATTAAAGAAACCGTGGCGCGTATCAGTTGTCTTGCTTGTGAGTGTTTATAGGAGTGAGACTTGAATAAGTTAACTTGCGACTTCGCGCAGTGTTTCTAGTCGCATTCAGTAAAACTCCATCATTTGAACCCGCAAAAGAAGTCATAGTTTGGTAACTTCATATCTTATCGATTAGATCTTGATACGATGTACAGAGAGATAGGACCTAGGTATGTACTTTGTAGACCGAGGATTTAGCGAGCTGACGAGTCTGCGAGTCAACGAGTTTCCGACAAATTCGCGTGTCCTAAACCTAGACTCGCTAGATTCCGCTAGTCTCGGGCGTTATGTGGATTATGTGGGGTTATGCAGACATTTTTCAGGGTCCTTGTAGTGCTTAAATGGGTATTCCGAGGTACAATGCCTGTATATATGATGCTTTGACGTAGTAGGGAAGTATTTAATAGGTGGGTTAAAATCAGATGAGGTGTTAAAGACAACATGATTAAACATACCAAAACTTGGAGATAAAAATCTATATATCGCTTAGACTATGTAATATCCCTTGGCGCTATCGATATTAGGTATGAATCTAAGATGTATATACGGAATAAGATGTACAAGATTGGCGCAGGAGGATTCGCGCGAAAGCAAGAGACCCGTCGATCACAAGCTAATTCCGACAATGTCAGACATCCAGAGTCCGGGCGCATTGCGGGGTGGAATTCTATTTTACCTCATCTGTGGGGGCACAAATGGCACATTAAATGACAATAATTATGTACCGAAAGTCAACGTAGGATAGATGTACTTCCGACTTGCAGAGTCGGGCATCAACTCAGCCCATATCATCCTATCTGAAAATATGTTGGCTGGTATCGTTAAATGCCGATTGCTATCTTGATGTTTCTTGGTGGTCAGATATAGTGACTCACGAGTTTCGAAGCCCATCCATAATTCTTCGAGAACATGGCGTAAATTTCTATTCGTTCCATTTGTTTCATTGCCAAGGAAAAAAATACATGAAATATTGGAAGATGGAAGAGCTGGAATAATGGAAAAAGCCAACTTCTTCGTCCTCCGGTGGAAAGATATCTCGGCATGGTGGTGGGGGATGCGATAGTAATGGACTAGACCACTGTAATTTTAAATAACTTTTAATCGCCTCACTTGCGCTCGTCGGTGCACGAGCCGTTCATCCGTTTACAAGAGACTACCGATGACGCTAGAAAGTCTAAAGTAATTGAAAATAGCGGTTATATTCTCGATAGACAAGATCTACCTGCTCATTTGAATCATAGACTACAATTATTACGGATTCATACGGATTCATATGGATTCAGGCGGAGGACGGACTTATACTATTTCTGGGTATGGTCGACGAGATCGACTAATTATCCCACTACTAAATCTACTTTTCAAATGTACTATGATGTAGATTCTCAGTAATGAGATCTGAGATCAGTAAGGGGGATCGAAGCTTAAGAAGCTTAGGAAGCTGAATATGATGTTCCATTGCCAAAGTCGCATTTGGGTCATCCCTAGCTACGTGGTACTCATTGCTACGACACCTGACGAAGTCTGTTCAGCTTTCCCTGCGGGATGCTGTTAATAGTTTGGTTTATCGAATGAAGCTGAATATAAGTCTAAGTACCTAACCTTCTAAATGACTTATATATCTGGGTAATTTATCTACAGCTTATAGGGTGAATCACCCATATGCATGTAAGCCAGCATATAAGCCGGGACAAATAGTCGCTGTCGCAACTACTGATTACTAGGATCGACATTGTCTTTATTTTCTCTTCCCTTGTTGAGGGGTCAAGTACTTGATCAAATACTTGGAAGATTCGGCAACTAAATATTAAATACTTACCCGAATAGGTTATCCTCGGTCATGTCATTAATCTCCGGTTGGTGTAAATAGATATCATGGCCACGCCTAACTTAACTAGTACGATACTGCTACGATAGAGGTAGATATTGTTCCGGACGACCGTTGTTACATACCCATACTGCTATATCGCTATATCACCATATTACATTAGGTAGAATATAAAATATAAGCAAGGTAAAGATGTAAGATGTACGGTTAGGTATACATACATGCATATGTACAACGTATTTTGTTCGGATCTCGCCTGACTTGCTGCACCAGACCCTATATGCAGTCCCCTCCTGAACCTCTCGAATAACTTTTTGGTTACTACTATATATATTAAATGGCTCGATATCCATAATTCTGAACTGTTCATCCAGATCCAGCCCATTCGACAATCTGCACGTACTTGCAGCCCGCTACTTGAAAAATTAAGGGCCGGTTGGAAAAACCCTGGTCTTAAACGTGCGTTGCGTGCGTTATTGAACTCGGAATTGGGGGTCAACACAGTAAAAGACCCTCTCCTCCTCCACTTTAGATTGTTATCAAACAGCCTTGCAACAAACAAAGGGAAACTAAAAAAAACAACTGATCACGATACCTTAATACCTCAATACCTCAATACTTGAATACTTCAAAGATTAGATACATATATCCCCACGCTACCTACTTCCTTCGACCATAATTTTTTATTTTACTCTCAAGCAAGAGATTATTGAAAATAGGAAATCAATCATCAAGATTTTCCCCCAACTCAACCCACTTTCTCTCTCTTGGGAAAAAAAAAAAGGGAATTACGACACGATATACTCCTCGCCTTCTTGACATCCTCCACACTAATTTCGTCACCGCCTAACCCAAATCAATTCTTGCGTTGCATTCTGATCGACGACTTGGCTTATATAGTCAGACTCGCCTTTAAAAGCCTTTACCGCCAGCCTGCTGTTAGTCCACGAAAAGCTCTCGTCCTCCTTTACCTTTACCTTCACATCCTCAAAGACACGCCCACTCTCACACGCCTCTATCTGTTGTCAACTCATACATATAACCGCTTCTGTACACCAGCAGCAAAACTCCACCTGTCGTACGACATCGCACCATCTCGTGCTTTTGCTACCACAGGACCTACCCCAGGATAAAAAGGCCGACGTTGGACCAGACAGCGCATACTCGTCGTGCGCATCTCACTACGAACAAACCTCTATCTACGCACTCCAACAATATGAACGCCCCGATCACTTCTCCCACTATGGCCCAGCGCCAACTACCATCCACAACGGCTGTAACGGGTACAATGACACAAGGCTTTGCACCACCTCCTCCGCCAGTTCAGAAGACGCCTGGCACAGATGCCTTCATCCAGAACCTGAACTTAGTCGCAGAGGCTGCGAAACGTGCACAGATGGCGGTGCTGATGAGAGATCTAGAGGGCATTGCCATCTCGTGATTTACCCCTACCCCCCCTACTTCCCCCCCTCTCTGCCACTTTCGAGAACCTTTATGTTGTGTGATGCGACAGTTATATTATACTACTTAATACGTCCTTCTTGCTTGCTTCTCATCACTATTCTGGAACCATTGGATACACAACCGAGATTGGAGAAAATCTATCAAGAACGGACAATCCGGGTTCATCACTACCTCTTTTTGTGCTACTTTGTGCTACTTTGCAAATTTGGCACCTGACATTGGCATCTTTGGGGGTCACGGATATAATGACGTTGGGCGTTTTTTTTTTCTTCATCTCCCCCTCCCCCCACCAACACCAAGAGTAGCGACCACGCAGCGAGAAACTTCGGTAACGAACTCCAACTCCATCGGTATAACCCGGAAACTTCCTCGAGACACGCCCCGTCATCATGATCATGACTTGTTCTACATAATAAGACTAAAGTTCGGCGAAGGGTTGAAGACCATCACAAGCAAAGAAAGAAGATAAACGAATTCCTACGAAGAAGAAAAACTCAATATCTAATACTTAATTTCTGGGTTATTGTTTAGGTACACCACTACGCTTTTTCTATCGTTCGAGTGCGGATTGGGGGGGTTACCTATGTCTATTGGCACCGTTGCAGTTAGGGCACGGCTGGATTCGCGAATCCCCATGCGCCGCTGCAATGCGGCACCACGCATCAGAGCGCACGCAGCAGCAGCAGCATAGACGGGTGGTGGACATGTCTGAAGGGAAGGTCGCAGCGATCATATTAAATTTTGGTTTTTTTTTTTTTCCCCCTTTTCCTACCTAATCTTCATTCATGAATGCATGCGCATGCGGACGGGTTCTTTTCCGGATACAATTGATACAATGGATGGTTAGGCTGGCGCTTCGGTTGAACCCAAGCCGCATGACGAAACGGCCGTGGCCCGGACAAAGGCGAAATGGGATCAAAGATACCTCAGAATAGAAATAAAGAAACTCCAAAGATCTCGATCTTATTTACATAGTCTCCAAAGCCAAGCCCACGCGACGCGGGCTGTCTAGATTTTAATTGGTCTCCCTCTGGCTTGTGGTCATGGTATTTTGCTGATGTGTGCATGTGAATAAGTGCGCGGGTAACGGATGTTGCATGCCTACCTACCAGATAGGTATCTACCTAAAGCATCCCTCTATTCTGCCGGACCAAATAGGTTCCTAGATTAATAGATCGATCGGATTCCATATAGTAGTTGCTATATATCTTTTGCTACATATCATTTTTCCAATATATATTTGTCATACATCGAATGCTTATGGTAAGTTTTCTCTAAAGAGCGTAGTGACCAATATCAAGTTTGAATAGCCTCCATGTCATCCTTACATGTGTCATGCACTCACTACGAGTTTAAATTGCTTACTACAATGTATCTGGCCAGAATCTCTGAATCTGTTATCTGCCTGTTATCTGCTAACTTGCGTGCTATAACGAATTCTATTCATCTATGAGCAGGATGACTTATGCCATTTTTACATTCGAGCATGGGCTAGGAAGCCCAGCTATCATCAACGCGGTTAGTCATGATAGGATAGACTAACTAACTACCTATTAAACAAGTGACTTCCAGGGAGGCGTTCGGTTCGATTCGATTCGCCCCGCTGTGTGTTATGCGCCTGGTTACCGGAAACCTATGATGAAAGCCCCCAAAATATGCTAGGAGTGAGGGGGATGATAAGACAAACAAACTTGTGCAACGAATACAGAAGAGAAGTGCTAAGAGGTAGAAAATGCCTGCCCGCTTCTCTTGCCATGCCATCCTCCTAAGTCTGCACCGCCATCGCCGAGCTAGTCTAAAAATAAGTAGCATTTCTTCCTCCGAGGAAGCTTGGTTTGGTGAAAGGCAAAGTATCGAGGGCAATATACATGAGTTTTGAGACTGAATATTTTGTTGGATGTTCTTCTATTGAGCTTCCGTAGGACATGAGGCGGGCCAGTTCTAATGAGGCTGGCACTTCTAAGTCTCAAGTTTTACTATGAAAATGATGGAAGAAAGCTTGAGGCCTCATTGATATCATCATATGAATTATGATTCGGTTATTGATGGGGAACAAATATTACGTTCCGCATCTAGCCACATTTTATCCGCCTTGCTCGGTTAGTGGACAAGGTCTCGGCGGGAAGTAGAGATACGTTGTAACGTCTTGCACCAAGTTACAAACCTCATCGTACTAGAACGGTCGAGGTATCGCGTCGACAACAGACTGAATGGTAATAAATGAACCTGGCCCACCATCTTCACGTAGGTAATCCAACAAGACGCTCGTTTGTCCATAGAGGTTTTCTAATGCTGATCGCGACGATTTTCCCAAAGATGCTAGTATATTGTTTAGTTACACACATGATTTCGTAGATGGAGAGGTGGACTTACAGAGTATTGCTGAGTTGAGCTCTTCGGCCACAGCTACTCTACCTTTGCGATCTAGTAAAGGCGCAACCTCCTTAACCTCTAGGGGATTAGGATATGCCAGAAGCGAGAATACCTCGTTGAGTGTTTTCGTGGTTTCTGGTCTCGTATCATCCCTGAAATCCTCCTGTAATGATTGCCCATATTGGACAGCTTTTACAAGCCAATCCTCTTGATTTGTTTGAGTGTCCAAGACGTCTTCTTCCATCTGGTCTGGGAAGCCATTCTCATCGACGTCCATTTTGTTAAGAGTGTCATCGTATGGGTGCCCGTTACTCTTTTTGGTATTCGAGTTGCTTATCTCAGCTGATTTCCGTACCATTTCGATGAAGGTTCGACACCTCAATTTGAAGTACACGTCGTAGTTTTCCCTCAACACATCCGGATAGTAAGTATAGGTGTACTTGACAGCCTTATCAATATCGCCCTCGAGAATGGCTCTCCGGATACCTGGTGTAGTTAGTATATGGTAGGCCAAATTCATAACTCGTACATACGTTGTCTATGGTGCATCCTCATCATCCTTAATGTTTGCCAGGTACAGGGGTTTGTTGATCGATTTGTAAGTCTTGCTTTTCTGCATGTATCTCCTCGGCAAACGCCCGGGCTGTCTCGACGTATCCATCGTGTTGTAAAAATTGCAAGACCTAGTACGTTTCGTTAGCTAAAATGAGAGTATAGGACATGTCTGCTAGCTTACGAGTTGTTGGATTAAGTCGGTCTCATTTTTAGGAGGCGATACTAATCTCTCTATGCTACATCGTATAAGTCAGCTCTCTTGCGACTTAATAGTTGGCTGGATTTTAACTTACCTTGTCCTATTTATGGCCGCCATCATTTTTTCTTGCTCTTTCTAAGCATAATAATTAGCCGGGCTGCCTATCTCCCGAGAGAAATTCATTTTGTAATATGGGGAAATACCTTTACCAAGTTATCGATTTGGAACATGAACTTTGTCTGGCCAAAGTTGATGCGAATGTGTTCCCCTGTTTTTCTTCATGCCAACGGTAGGGTAAATATCTCCTTTTATGTCCCGAAACGCAGTTTCTGTATTTAAGGTTAAAAACCGATCTAATCACGGCAAGGTTACGTGCTCGCATGCACTGGAAATACATACTAAACTGCCTTCCATTTTTTGTAAAAATGCTTCGCGAGTTCGGAAGTTGACTCCGCATCCAATGATGTCTGGTGGCCCGAAGTTTTTTCCTTCGTAGGGTTTCCCAATCTTATCCCCGGAATAGATATCACCGTCATCGCCGTGATAACCCCATGAGTCGGGCTCCCAACCTGGCGGTCGGCCAGAGGGACGTTCTTTGCCGAGAAGCCAATACATACTGTGGTTCTACGTTTACCCAAGTTAGACCTTACCGGAAGTATAGAGAATTATTGCTTAACACGTACTCGTCTCTTCTCCTAGAAAGAAGACTGACTTCAAAATAGTAGAGGCCTGCTTGCCATGGCATTGGATGGTCTGCACGAATCGCACAGGCTTCATGCTCTTGTTCCCTCGCGGTGCGACCTGAAGCGTACTTAACCTCCAAGCCGTCGGCTAAAACCTCTAGGGGACCTTGTTTATCGTCCTTATTCCATTTAGTAGGTAAAGGCGGAACTATGGTCTCATCGTCGACGGTCGGTGCTCGTTCGATCAAATCGTATGTCATTCCTAGGTGGGAGGCTGGTGGTTTACTTGCTAGGGCACCCGTTGTTGTGATACCAGCTGATAACCCATTTCCTGCTTGCTGCTGAGCCTCTTTCCGCGCCTGTTTAGCCTTGCGCGCTTCATCAAGCTTCCGTATGTAATCCGAACCATGTAAATAGGATGGTGTGAACGCGACCTCCTTATTGTGCTCTTCATTACGCATAAATGGTTCGAAGGCCCTCGAATATAACGGTAATTGCGGGAGACGAGTCTGGGAGGATATAACTCCATCCAAGTAGCCATTATTCATATCTGTGTCCATGCTGTCATTAGGTCTTTGGGAGGAAGGGTTTGCCGCGTAGAGATCCGAAGTTGGTTCGGATGGGGGATTGAGGAGATATGAGAGGCGGTTAAGCGGCGAATGGGGCGAACGTGTAAAGCCTGCACCGAATCTACTGGTTGGAGGGGGAGGAGGTAGATCTCTCATCTGAGGATAGGATCTTTGGGGATATGAATTCGTATACGATATATCTGTTTGGAAGCGATCATGGTTAAATGGGTTTGCCATAATCAAACTTAAGTCCGAGTTGTGTCGCAGTACGACTAAGGAGGACCAGGAGCTCGCTGAATACGCTTTGAGTCTTTCTTGCCCGTGGTACACTAATCCAAATAATGCGGAACAAGCGGTAGGAGCGTAGGCTTAAAAAAAAAGGTGACCTTTACGGAGAGAACTATAAACTCGTATAAAGCGATTAAGGGATGTAATGCTTAGATTTTGCGCAAGACGTGGTCGTTTTTGCTCGAGGAAAGAGGTGGTCCGTTTTCGTACCGTGTCGTAGTGCAAGGACACCTATATTAAGTGATTACATGGGTATATGTCATGACCAGCTTCTAATGAAGTCAGTAATTATCAGAAGCGCTTTACTACGTATGTATCTCGAAGGCGGTGTGTTAGATGTGCGTTAGATGGGCAGCAATGATGCTAAGGGTATGTCGAGTGATGATAGGTTATTGCGGAGAAATGCTAAAGGTAGTGGTATGTACAGCACACAGAGGTGTAAGTATGTAAGAGGTATGCATCAATCACGAGGTCACGGATGCTGTTGCTTTACTTAGTCCGACTTTCCCCAGATAACGTACAGCTAAGGTAATGCCAAGTTTGTACCTAAGTACATATTTATGTACTTACCTGGTATACATGGTGCACTTTAACATTGATAAGCGCCAATCGGTAGATAAACCCAGAGTTAAGGTTACTCCTATATAGGTACCTACCTACCTATGTATGTACAAATTGATATACCTACGTATAGGGTACCCCGTAGGTACCTATAAAAAGGTGGCTTTTGATATCTCATTTTCAATGTAAACATCTCCAAGTGGCTGACATCAAGAATGACATATGCGTGAGTAAGTAGATTCCCTCGTTTACTCATTTACTTTTTACAGCCATACCTAACTTGGACATGCTCGTATATAATCTTTTTTGGTTGGCTTATCCCCTTGGCTGGCATAAGACAGCAACTCCATAACTTTCAGTATTAGTACATAAGGCTTAACGTCATTCATTAACATAATAGGAAAAGGCCTTATGATTAGTCTCTAAAACCGCAACCCACAAATATTATTGGTCGATTCAGTACCGCACGAGCGTTTCTTTCTTTTCTAGCCAATCCGTATGTATTGATACTGAAAATTATGGAGTTGCTGTCTTATGCCAGCCAAGGGGATAGAACGCTAGGCTAGGTACGTACTGCGGTAAATACAATACTTCTCAAGAGTTATCAAACCAGATGATGCAACGATTGCCTTGCATTGCATCTTCTGGATGAGTTAATATATGCATTACAGGTTCGACAGACGATGAAGAGGGGCCGATTCATTAAAGTGGCACTTCCTCATTATATCAATTTCAGATGTATATACGGATTGTTGAGTGTAAATTCATAGCTGTCATCAGGTAGAGATAGGTACCGGATACCTAATAAGGGTGACGAACATAGTTCTGCATTATAAAGGGGTAGATCAGATACATACATATGTATCTTCTTCTGGATCGGCCTGATCGGGTTCTTATGAGATGAGCTTAGAATGCGCTATCGTTACTCACTTTGGTATGAGTATTTAGGAACGGAGTTTGAAACTAAAATATCTGAGAACCAAGATACTTATAAGTACCTGACTACCTAACCTAAGTCGTCTTATACGAGTAGAGATATGTACATTATATAAATACAAATATGATGTTAAAGCATATCCGTAATTCATCATAGGTCAGCCTAAGTTAAGTATACTAGAAAAGATTTATTTGAAAATTGTGACAGATATATTATATGCAGGGCATCACAGCATCACTAGGTCAACCAGGTAGTCTAATATTTCAAAGCTCATAAATTAAGCAACTAGGGCTCACAAGCCAGTCACACAGATCCTATGATCTCAAACACCTAAGCAGTAATAACAACATTGTATAAGAATTCATAAAAGCCATGACCAAGGCAACAAATGTATGACTTTGCTTCACCATTGTTCCGTGCCGACTCCGTATTTTTATAGTCGTAACGCCAGAATGTTAAGCATGGTGTACAATCCTCCCCTTATCCCTCTAACGCCAAGTAAAGCAAATCTGAATCTGCCATCTAAACCGAGACTGCATTGTGACCTGAGGCAAGCACCTCGCAGTCTATTAGTACGAGTAATGTGACCCCTCACCACCCCTAAGCTCGCATCGTAGCTGCAGTCCTAAACGCCTTGCTTTTTCGTCAACCCTGTAGACCCTTATCAAATACACGTGGCGGCCAATGGCGCCGTTATAATGGAATGCCAATGTAAGGCATCGCCTAAGAAGCAGCGGCAATAGGTGTAGGAGCCGGCGAGCTCGCATTCACGCTTGGTGGCATGCTTTGCTGTTCACCATCAGCATGGCTATTGCTATTATCGCTCTTTAACTGGCTGCCCTCTTTGTTTTCTTTATTGCTGCTCTCGGCAGAGGCGGCAGTCCCCTCTGCGGTGGGTTGAGGCTTAGGTTTAGGCGGGGCGGTCCAACGAGGAACCTCCCAGATGACACCAGTAAAGCTCTTCACTCTGAAGCCGCCCCTGTTCCACTTTCGGCAGGGGGCACCTGATCGATCAAGTGCGCGAAGCCCGGCGTTGATAGCACCCTGATTTGCCTTCGGTCCGAGTTTGTGATAGTTGCCTCCGTTGGCTCGTCCACTAGGATCAATAGTGCCGTCCTCCCTAATAGATATAATTAGTAAATAAACTTAATAGTAGTTGACATTAAACCAAACATTCTTTAACGGTAGCGCCGTAGAAGAGATAGAGTAACTCTAGGTAATGATGACAACACGTTATACATACAATCTAGGTTTCTTCTTAGGGCCAGGCTTGCCCCTAATCTTAGCCGTTGGGTCAGATCCATTCGCCATAGCAGCACTTCTCTTCACGCCTTTCTTCTTGGGAGCCTCTGTCGGGGGTCCCATAGGCACCTGCGACGGCGTTCCCGCGGCGGCTGGGGTACCAGGACTAGACGCTGAACCATTGTCGCCATTTGACGCGGCCGGAGCTGGCTCGCTGGGAAGGGTAGTCGAAGCAGGAGACTCCTTTACGGGCGACTCTTCCTTAACGGATGTCGGGTCGAGGAGCTTCTTAAGCTTGATAGACGGGACGCGCAGAGTAATAAGATTCGAAGATTTTCCGGAGGATTTTCGTCGATCCTTCTCTTTGGCAGAGGCAGACGCCTTGCTTGGAGTTGGCATAGCGAAAAAAATACGCGATGATTTGATGAAGTTGCGTTGGGATGATGATGCGTCGATGAGACAATAAAGAAAGGTGTGGAAAGATGGTAGGAATGTGCAAGAGTAAGATCTTTCTTTTGGGGGAAAACCTTTGGTGGGATTGTGCACTTTGTATTTAGATTGGGTTGGGTCAGGTCATCAACCTGGCAAAGTGTGAAGTGATCCACCCGAGATCCGACGTTTAAAGCGCTTCTTGTCCTAAGAGGCGTCGGTGCCAATCTGCCCTTTCGGAGATAGGCCCTGGGCGGTGCGGTGCCTGCGGACGCCTGCGATGCCTAGGGTTACGGGCGAGGCGGTGGTTTCTAGGCTAGGCACGGTCTGGCGAAAAAAGTGACGACGATGATGGGAATGGTGGTGATGATTTGGGGATTGCAAGAAGAAAATTATCATGGGATGGGAAATGGGAAATAGAGATGAGGGTGCGATGGCAGGGTCAAATTATGAATTACGGGGGCAGCCATTGTGCTCGTTGGTGGTATGTAATAAGTTTTTGGGGCAGTCTAAACTGTACAATCTTTTTTAAAACGGCCTCCCGGGCTGCTGCTCTCTGTCTGATGGCTCAAGATCCAGCTCGTCGCGAAGAATCTAAACTTGGTGGTGCACGCACCACATTCCATCCCATATAAACCTTGAAAGTCACGTGTTAATACTACTGTTAGTCACTCTTTCCAACCAGATCCATGCCGATTAAATAAATAAATAAAAATAAAAAAGGAAAAGGGGATTAAGTTAGATATATACATATAGATAGGTATGCGATTAAGTATATTTACATGTAGTGATGTACTTACATTAGGTACATATATACATATATGTACTCGCAATGGTAACTTAATTCTTGTATCCATACCCGACACTTACTGACCTGAAAGTTTATAATTTCTAAATTCTATTCAATTGAAACTTCTTTTCCATTCTTTTACCATCGTCCGTCATTGCGTGTTCTCTTTATCATTGACAGGTATACATTGCTTGGTCCTTAAGCTTAGGTTCCTAGCCTCAAAGTTTGAAACCCCCTGGCTATAACAAAACCCCTCGATTCTGCCTACATTGAGATAGTGACACAGGTAATCAAGAAGAATGAGAGGTACTTACTCAGCCCCCCCTTCCCCTAGTAGCCTAGTCTAGGTAATGATACTGTTTTGTATCACCCGTTGACGCCGTTTGTCCTCCTGCCATTGTAGTAAATGAGCCCAACCAAGTAATGGGGCTGGTGATCAGGAAAGGAACCCGTGAATGGTACCTTTTATTTACGCATCGCGCGGAGCGAAGGGGGCCGACCGTTCGCCAAGTCAACCGATGGATTTCTCTCAGGCTTATTCCGTACAGTTTGACCTTCCAAGTACTTTTTTTTAGGTGTCGTCACCTACTCCTAGTGCGCCCGGTAGAAGCGTTCCAGCTCAACGAAGATTTGAACTACGTATGCCCGCATGCTCGTATGTAGTCAGGACAGTCAAGCCCATCTTCACGTGCCTAAGAAGCAAATTTCCCCAGATTTCTACTCAACCTGCGAACCGGGTTACAAGTCAAGATGATTTTTGTTACACCGGCTGTACGTTTAGGTCTGACCACATACACTTTACTACCTAATATACGCATGATTGAATGCCTGATTTTTGCTTCATACATTAGGTACGCATGTATACGTTTCTTTCATCGGGGCTTCTAAGTCCTCTAGTGCTTGCGACTCTCCACACAGCCTTGAACTAAATTCAGATAAATACCTAAAGTACACTGCTACATGGGGAATTTGGTTATAATTGGAGGATGCATTCCTTATCAAAGCCCTTTTCCTACACAATGCTGCTACATTATTCCTCCGATCATAAGTTTGGGCTCACAAGGACGTATAGTCCATATTAAAATGACCTGCTCGGCAATGCAATATTGTCAGAATCCTGATTTGTGTTGTAGACAGGCACTCGGGGCTATCTACCAATATCATAATTCGGCCATTTGTAAGGATTTATCTGCATAAAAAACGTTAAGTTCGAAGAGCCCTACGACAGATAAGTATCAGGAACTCAGCATTTAGGTGTCTCTTGCCAGACCTTGTGCATCATGATCAGCTCTTGGTCATATGTGATGAAGGTCGTCATCACGAGTTATCTCTGAGACCATCTCGAGATCACGAATCAATCCAGGTAGCCTCAAGGATATCTTGTTATATACTTATCATTTCCAGTGTACAACTCAGGGGCCCTCCAAGCTTGCTATGAACTAAGCCAAATATATGAGTCAAGTTGATAGTAAATCATATAATTATATTGAATAGAACTTGAAATGCTTATAACCAGTGTTTGCAATAACTTTAGTTTACCAAATAAGTGTTAATTTTTATAAAAATGCGAAAAGGAGTGAGAGCGCAACTTTCCCAGGCATCATAAGGGGCATAGTGACCTAACAATTTGAAGTTGGGCTCCTTTAGATTGACTATCTTATACCACAAGTGGTCTTAACAGTAACTATCCCTAAGATCCTCAAATGGGTTCGACGAGAGTATCATTCCCCGTAGTATATGTAATCTATTAAATATTATACTATTAAATTCAATATTTTGATCTTGTGGATAATTGATATTATACTAAACAATATGTATCACTCAAGTTCTATTAGGATATACTCATAATTTTTTTTTATAGAAAAGCCCATTCTGCTATTTAAAGTAAAGAGCACAAGCATCAGGCTTATTTATACTGTTTCTGAAAGTTACTTAAGTAAAAACCCCTTTTTGTTGGTTGACTCACTGGGGACTGATCTAATAGTTTGTTATATAGCCAAACGCTATAATTGATTATAATATTGATTCATAATTATATGTTTAATTACCTAGATATCAAATCATATCTTAAGAATAAACAAGACTTTCATAATTGAAAAGTTTGCTAAAAGTCTTTTATTTGGCCTCGGTGTGACTATTATAGACTAATAACATAGAGGTAAATGTTTAGAACAGTCAGCCTAACAGTTCATTGCCGAATAATATTCAAGTATGCAAATACTCCAATGTGTATTGGGTACTTTGGACGATGATAACCACTCTTATTGCCGTAACTCTAAGATACTTCCATCAGAATGCAAAGCAGAACTTATACTGACCTTATCTTAGGTATACCTATGAACCTACAAATGGGAACGCCTGGTTCGTAAGAAACACATCAAGTAATTCAACCCTTCGATGAGAAGGTCATCCTACTCATTCTGTCCTCCCTGAAGCCGTATATGAAGGAAACGTGTCCTGCTTTAGAAAGCTAGTTATATTACAGCATCCTGCGTATCGTTGGGCAACAAAGTGGCATCATAATGCATGCTTTGGTCCGGCCCTACTACGTTTTAGTCATCTATAAAGGTTCGTGGAGGTTCTTGATGCCTAATACTCACCCCAAAACACATATCCTATATGATTGGCTACTTCGAGGTCTTTTTTAGTAATATACGAAGATGATGCTGTTTATTGGGTTTTTAATTAGTCATACACACATAGGCGTGCGCTCTCCTCGAGATATTACCAGTATGTCCTCCCCCACGCAAGGATGCTGCGATAATACCCCCAGATAAGCCGACGGATACCCACAGCACGTCCAGTTGGGGTTTCGGTAGAAGTATAGTCTATTATTTCTTGGCCACCTGCAACAACTTGCCTATCCGCGTCAGGTATTGTTTCGACCCGACCCACGATTGCCGTGTAGTGCATATAGAGCGTCACGCGAAAGGTCAGGAACAGACGATATTGAAACTTAGACACGCGGCCGGCTACGGACGGGCCGTAACTGCCAGGGGTTAAATTACATATCTCCTTTTTCTAAAGGTACGAAAACTCCAAAGGTAATATTTACCTTACTGATTGTCAAGTTCACGGGATCAGTTTGAATTATCCGGGGTTTCCGCTAGTCTACTATCACATTCTACTATACACGTATAGTAGCGCGAATACAATTTGTTGAAGTTATATTTTCAATACAAGCCTACCTATATACCTCACGAATCATGGGTTCTAACGACGTTGCATCTCTCGTCAACCCGTTACATCCTACATACAAACTCCCTCGGTGAGGCGCTACCCGTGCTTTGCTACGAGATCTACACATTCGCTACCAAGGTATTGGTTATCTTGAAGCTGCTTCTCTGTATATCATATTCGGTCACTTACTAGTGAGCCCACAGCATCTAGACTACGAGCTGATCAAGTTTCTTACGAAGAGTACAATCGTGACCGGAAGAAATACGACTTCCCGACAGCTAAAGTCGCCGGACTGGCGCCAGACGTAGCCAGCACCAAGATCTACCAAGTTCCCGTATCGAATCCTTCTGGTGAAATAGCTATACAGGTGTACGTGCCTACGCCGGAAGCAATAATCAGTGCTGGACTTGAACGGGAAGGCTTGCTTCCAGCACTGGTGAACTTCCATGGCGGGGGCTTTGTAATCGGAGGTCTAGACTCGGATGAATCTCTGTGCCGAAAGATCTGCCAGAGAGTTGGCTGTATTATAGTAAACGTCGCCTACCGACTTGCTCCGGAATATCCTCATCCAGTTTTCAGCAACAGATAGTTGGCAGGCGCTGAAATGGATATTTAAAAATACAGAGGGGTTGAAGATAGATCCCTCACGCGTAGGCGTCGGGGGACTTTCTGCTGGGGCGTGTATTGCGGCAGTTCTCTCGTTACAGGCTCGAGATGACCCGAGTTTACCACGTCTTGCGGTGCAATTGCTCATCGTGCCGGTGATTGACGCGAGATTCGTCCCGAAGGAGGGTTCATGCGACCCTACGAAGACGCCGTATAGGAGTTATGTTGACTTCGAATTCGCGCCGATGTTACTCTCAATCGTCTAGTATGGTTCTATAACTTGTGGCTGGGAACGGATGAAAGCCACGAAGAGAAGGCAAAAGACTTTCGTGCATCACCAATCGTTGCCGATTCGCATGCCAATCTAGCGCCGGCTATCATCCGTTGCGCTGAAATTGACCCATTGGTCTCAGAGGGGATTGCATATCACGAGAAACTAACAGCAGCTGGAACTTCCAGTAAAATTAAAGTCTATAAGGGACAAGGACATCCGTTTGGTCATTGGGATGGATCTAACCCAACGTCAAAAGAGTTTGTTACTGATTGTGTCAACGAGCTGAAGGCTGCCTTTGCTAAAAATTAACGAGATTTTCTTGCACCATTACTATTGAAATATATTACAATGAAGCACAAGTTACACGATATTTAGTCTTGTGGGATTTGGTTATATGGCTGGCAGTGTATGACTTACTCTTCCTTGATGTCGACTGTGTTTAATGGGACTTGCTAAGCATTTATACTTAGGAGGTACCTAACTATAGCAACTTGTCACAGGTATATGTCAAGTATTTTGATCAAATAAGCAAGAGCCTTTTATCAAAAACATTATAAGCGTCGATTGGCACAAAGACAACTGTATGTACCTAAGGTAGGTACTCTAGAAGATGTGTCTATAATTCGCCTATCACTTACAGAAGCCAACCGCTACACATAAATGAGATAAAACTATCCAAACCGACCACGACAATAGAAAGAGTTAGTAGAACATCACACGAAAGCTCTCCTCATCAACCAACAAGGATAGTTGGCTTATCGGCTCTATCTTAAACAAACCGATTGATCGCCTTATTATTTCGGCTAAGCACACGGTCTTCGCTACATGCGCAGAACCCAGACGAGTGTCTTTGGGTTGAATAGAAATCATCCGGACATTGGTTCCAGATCAATGTTTCACCGGGTTTCCTACTAGGTACTACATGCTCACCTACCTCTGGCAATCCTTGTCCGATTAGCAGAGAAAATAATATAGGACGAGTCCTACTACCTGTTTAAGATCTCTTTCGGATGCAAGCATCAGCCTCGCCGATAGTAACGCCACTGATGAAAAGTCCAGTCGCCTAGCCTAGAAGCCTCAAAAGTCCAGCCTAGGAAATAGTTCTTGAAGCAGTCGAGGTCTGTAATCCATCTGCCCCTCCCTGCCCATATATGTCACCCGTCTAACCTATCCTAGTATTCGAAGCAACCTGATGGTGATACGAGTAATTGCGAAGTTTATATTGTAATCAATACAATCTCAGCATTATTGAGATCTTGTTCAGCTATACCAAGAGAACTAAAGCTAAACCCCTTAAGCTTATGTCGTTTACTCCAGCTACAAGTATGGCTCGAATTTTATGCATTTCTCTTCGTCATTTCTCTTCAATGGCACTACATAGAGCCTAAAGTCCTCCTTTTATGGAAGAATCGATAATATAGACAACATTGAACACCCTGATGGTACTAATAGGCCCTACGCTAGAATATAAGCCTTGCCGGTGTAGTTATGTATAACTACCATAGACTTACCGTTAAGTTTTCCCGCGGTCAGACCTCTCCTCCGTTCAACATGCCACCTCTACCACTCTAAAGGGGGTTTCCAGCACCAAGAAAGGACGTGTTAGCTTACTCCTAGTCTCGCTTAAGGGAGACCCTAGGGTTACTGTAGGCGGGTTTTATATGCCTTTCGCGAGCCAGCAAGACCGGTTAATTGAGGGCGACTAGATCAGGGACGCGACACTGACTGATGGCGGCGTTGCGGAACATAATCTTTTAGGAGAGATGTTTCCGTTTGGATCCATGGTTACCAATATCGTATCGTCTCCCCTACGACGTGTTATTAATACTGCAATACTTGGAATTCTTCCAATAATACCTAATAACCACACCAAGGTTAAACTACTCCCCGATCTACAGAAGACCAGCCCCTTACCAAGCAGCACGGGAATTCCGAAAAGCGCGCTCTCTTCCTAATATAGCGGTGTTGCTAACTTGAATATAGATAACCCTGACAAATATTGGTATCGTAAAGGCTTTAATACCTCTTACGCGCCAATGCTGCACAAATTCGAGGCATGGGCACTATGGTCAAAAATGGTCCGACTCAGGTTTTACCTTGGGCATTGCTGGGCGCTGAGGGTAATTCTATCTCCGTTATAAGAAGTCGTGTTCGACAGGTTTTCCCCTGGTCAAAGTCGGCTACCTGGCGCTGGCGCTAACTAGGTAGAGTGATGCTATAGACAGGAAGTGGAGGATCTCTCATGTCAGGCGAAACTCTAGCTCTGTTTCCTTTGAAGGGGGTACTCTAGACTTCTAAAAGCGCCATAGATGCGTCGCTGTAGCTACCTAACTTATAACAACTAATAGACATTAACGTTCTCATCATCATCATCATCGAGGCGCGGGGCGCGATCCGCACGTCAATACCTACGGATGCTAGCAAGAAGGGCATGGAAGAATCCATATAGCAGGTAACACGTCACATATAGTCTGTTTAATACAGATACCTTTGGCCAGGAAATCGTCTGATATATTGTCGTGGGATATTACAGATAGCACTTGGGCGACGTTGGCTTTTTCCCATATAATGGCAACGAATCCGTCTGCTACGATCTCGTCGATTGCACCCATTTTAGTCGTTCTGGGTATAACAATCTCTTTGTCTGATTGGTTGATGAAAGCGATAGCTTGGACGGCGTCTGAAGTACATATACTATGAAGGGCTCTTGGGTAAGCAGGCTGGAATTGGTAATCTCTTCCTTCGGGGAGATTGGCGAATTGTACCGGTATGGTCATCATCGTTTTGGCTGGTACGATAGTCTTCTGTGCGGTGAGGACTCTACGGCGTAGGCTCCCGAGATTCCTCAAGTAGTTGGTATATGGCAAATAATGAAAGAGAATGAACCTAGATTCTAAGAGAAGGTATCGAATCTGGGAGCTTAAAAACCAGACAACGTATCTGAAGTCACATCCAAGGACGGAGTACATTGTTGCAACACATCACAATCGTTTGACAAATGATTGGTAGACATATCGGAAAGCTATGACCTATAGGAGAAAATTTGGGATCTGATGTTTTCCAACGACCTATTGGATCTCTAGCGTTGAAGTTGGAATACTATTTGTATTGCATAGTTACGTAGATAATGAATTAGTTGATATCGACTTAGTTATAATTGTATATGTCTTAGGACTATTGTCCATATAAAGCAGCTATTTTTAGCTATACCTGTTTATAGTGTTTCGACATAGTTTAACCTTAGAGAGTATTCAGATGTTATTGGGTACGCTTATGGGCACGCGCCATGTTGATTTCTTCGTGTGGACATAAAATCGCTAGGTACGTAACAGCGACTAATGGAAAGATTTTACTTTGAAGCCGATAATATAGGAGTTGCTCAATAAGGTAGGTAATTAGAAGATGGCTACCCCTAAGCTTTTAATGAAGAGTGGATTTAGATACCTCGGCGGTAACGCAACTGTCCTGGTAAATTGTTCATAGAAGAAATATTTCCTATTTACGTAGGTAACTAGAAAGCAGAATAATATATACCCAAGGTACCTACTTTCATTAGCTGTATAAAGACTATTGGACTTTTTTGTTTCGTGACTTATATTATACTATCTAGGTTCTGCCACTCTTTGAATATGTGATTCTTACTCTCTGATATACATCTAGAAGTTGAGAATTAATAACTTGCACGTACTTATATATACTCAGCCTACTGTCTCCTGAATTTAAGCTCTATAGGGACGTGTGTAGATCCTTAAGCCGCGTCAGTGTGGTCATCTGCCTTACTAGAATTAAGTAACAAAATCTAACCAAGGGGACGGGCCGATAGCTCTCAATCTGGAATTGCAAGTAAGTACACCAAGTTTCTATATAAAACCTCGGGAAAAACACATGTGCCCTTGTCGGATTTGGAATTTCTCCCCTGGGACGATCCAAACAGCGGTAGCCGAACAAGGGTCAACTCATGCATCTCATTTTATCCGGGGAAACAAAAAGCATCTAAATAGGATGCCGAACCAGGTTACGTATGCATGTAAGTCTCTACATATTTCCACTGCCGGTGCTACATAATCCGGGGTTGTGGCCTATATGACAGCTACTAATGCGCCAAGATCAGATGCAGACACATCCTATTATCACCTGATGATTGACTTGAGATCTGAAAACGTACCATTCAGCTACCTAACTAAGCTTTATCTGATCTTGACGGAGGCAGGCCCGTGAGAATTTTGCTGATTTGGTGCTCTCTTGGGTGTTATTTTTACCACAATGGTAGCTAACATAGCTAGGTAGTCTAGAAGTAATATGCCCCTACGTTGAGATCCTTGGCGTGATAGAGAGAGGGGGTACTTGGCCGTTTTATCAAAACTTAGAGTCGCCATCGCTTAACTCCCCCACGATTTTCCTACGGGTTTCCCATAATTACATAGTAGAAACTAAACCTAGCCAGCGGCAATACTCGTAATATTCCGCTGCGATGTCAGACACAACGTGACAACCCCCCTGTCTATCCCCATAGCGTGAATGCACATTCGCGGCTCGTCGTTCCCCATGGGAAACCAGAACCAGGGGGTGATCTCGGCTATATTCAAGATATTAACCGCCATGCTTCTATACGACGATACCCGTGACGGGACGGCAGCAGCATGCAAAAGGAAATGAAGAAAAATCTCCGGGCAAATCTACAAAAGGAAGATTTGTTCACCCGGCTACGAGTTTAAATAGGCGACGAGTTCCACATCATGACAGCGAGCCCGAAGAAGTATCTACAACGATCGCCTTCGCTCTTCTCAGGATGCAGCTGACCGTGAACTCGCTCGCCGCCAGCCTGGCGCTGCTCGCGCCCAGTGCCCATGCGCTCCTCCGTTTCTCGTGCTCGCAGCTCGTCGTCGAGCGTCTCGACCCGCTCGTCTTCCCCGGCGTCACGGGCTCGCCGCACGTCCACCAGATCATCGGTGGTAACGCCTTTAACCAATCTATGGAGTACCCGCGCATGGATATCCCAAGCGAGGCCACATGTACCACGTGTACCTTCGCCGAGGACTTGTCCAACTACTGGACTGCCGTTCTCTACTTCCGTGCGCGCAACGGCACTTTCAAGAGAGTCCCGCAGATGGCAAACTCTGGCTTTGAGGGCTCAAATGGCGGTATGACTGTTTTACACGCCTAGCTACAATAACGGCAAGGTTACTGCTTTCAAGCCCGTGAGTAAAACACCTGCCTACTAGAGATCTAAACTAGAGGCTGATCGTGAATCTACCCATAGGGCTTCCGAATGATCGTTGGAGACCCGTCATACCGAACTGAGGCCCAGGCCAAGAAGTTCCGTCAACTTACTTACACCTGTCTCGAGAACATCCTCACCCGCAGTGGTGAGACCCTTGACATGCCGAAGAAGGTCTGCAAGGCCGGAATCATGGCTAACATCCGCTTCCCGACGTGAGTACTCAAAACCTTTGTCTCCTGAAAATGAAAGTAATACTATGTATTGACCCCCTTTAAAGCTGCTGGGACGGCAAGAACCTCGACTCAGCCGACCACTCGAGCCACGTCGCGTACCCCAGTGGTACCTTCGAGAGCGGCGGTGCCTGTCCCTCGACTCACCCCGTCAAGATCCCCCCTCTTTTACGAGGTCATCTGGGACACACGCGCGTTCAACAACCCCAACGACTGGCCTACCGACGGCAGCCAGCCTTTCGTCTGGTCCTACGGCGACCCAACCGGATACGGAAACCACGGTGACTACATGTTCGGCTGGAAGGGCGACGCTCTCCAGAAGGCCATGGACTCCAACTGCAACATCAACTGCCCTCAGCTCAAGACCCAGTCCATCTCGCAGGGTAACCAGTGCAGCAAGAAGGTCTCTGTTAACGAGGAAATCGACGGCTGTAAGTAACACCTTTATTCGCTCCAACTCCACACATATCTTATTAGATAAATATTCTAACACTTGGTATCTAGGGCTCAAGGAGCTTCCTGGCGGGATGCCCGTCACTGATGCAACTGGCAAGGTCCTCTACTAAGCAGACGGTGTTTGAATGATAGTGTAACGGGTGTATTTAATGAGTAGAAAGATTAATGGTCTTGGTACAATGAAAACCGGCGATGTAGGCACGAGTTTATCAAAATTCCGTCTAATTCTAGCAAGATACCTGTCTAGCTAATCGACCATGAAACCATCAAAGTCCAAACACCTGATATTAGTTCATAAGAATTTATTCATCTTGGCATCTACGTGCTTTTAATATACACTATAAACATGACAAATCTCTAATGCCTTAGGTAGGTTAGGTACCTAGCTTGGCTACTATAGAAACTCGCTTCCTAAGATATTGAGAGATGTGTCATGGTAGTACATGCCCCGACATTAGAATGTTTTGACGCCGTTAAAGAACTCCAGTGCAGTCCGTTGTCGTATGTCAAAAGGGTCATGACGCAAATCGGTATAGGCACCAGAGTCATTGATTGCGGCGACGAGCCAAGGGTCTGGAGTGATATGTCAGACAGGGTTAAATTTAAATGAAAGTTATATTGACTTACACTCGTAATCGTCAGCCACCTTCATGAGAAGAATATCCCATTTGCGCGTGGCGATCTGGAGGCAACCTTGGAGAGTACCTTCCGGGGTGACGGTGCAATCATAGATGATCATGGCATCCCATGTGTGGGCCGAATGGCTCTCGGGCGGTCCCTGGAGGAACTTGAACTTGTTCCAGAAGGACCTGAGGAAACCAGTAGTGGCGTTGAACGTGTCTCGTTTGTCTTTCGGGATGTCGACCTTGACGTGGACTAGGAGCACGTTAGCAAGGGCGTGTTATATTTGTAGGAAAGGAATAAGAACTCACGTTCCCTTTGGCGATGCCTAGCGGCCAAGAAGAAACCTCCAGGTCGTTCTTCATTGCGTCTCAATTGTTCTTCATTCGTGACGAACAGTCTCTTGCCAGACTTGACTCTCATCTCCATCGAAGCGGTAGTCTATAGAATGTTAGAAACATGGGAATAAGTTCCGCGAGAAACTTACGATCTTGCGGAGGTAGCTTGTGTGGTCGTATCCGATAAAATCGACGGGACCGCAGCTGAAAAGATCAAGGTCTCTCTGAGAGCAAGGTTCGAAACCCATCCAGAGATAGGGGCGAGCAGCCAACGCTTCCCTTCCACGGACAAGTCTTACATGTACATCGTCGGCCTCGTCAGTATGCCCCTGTTCTGCCATGATGTCTAAATGAAGTAATAGAAACTTGAAGGATATAGATGTAGAATATCCGTATTTTCTAGTCCAATGGTAGAAATTACCCAATGGAAGCTGGAATTTGGTGGGAGAAGAAGATGAAACCAGGGGACAAGATATCTTTAAATACATGATTTTGAGGATAATTTATCTGCTCAGGGTGTGGCTTCCTTGAATCAAAATCAAAACAATCGAGAAATACGGGGATATACTGTGAGTCGCTAGGCGGAGAACTGTAATTTTTCTACTCGTGTTGCTTTCACATGATGTGGAGTGGAATCATGACTCTGGTTTTTTTCTCACTACGGCTGCCAACAAATGCAGTATTGGAAGACTAAGGAAGTAGCACGCGAGATGAAAGCTTAATGCAGATTCCTAACTTCATAGTTCGAGAACTTTTCCTTCGAACAATGTTCAGTTAGTCATATCTTCACCTATGCACAGTCGAGTGACACGATCCAGATACGGGGCTACTACTTGAGTAGATTTCTTTGATATTTATTATCTATATGAGCTCGATAGGTTGATATTTGTAAACTGCTTTTGATCTGTTTGTGTTGGTTGCGTAACTCGAAGAAATACTGCTTAATCCTGTCGAGCTATGGGCTGGAGATTCTAGGCAAGCTTAACTGAATCGAAAGTTCGAACCGAAATTCTATAGTTAATGATAAGTGACAATGCTTATCCGTGTCAGTGAGTACATACTTAAATACCTAGGTACCTAACCTAGGTACCTAACCTAGGTGTTTATGTTAACAAATCGTAACAAGCAAGCCCGCACTGCCTTTTATTAGGTCTTCTAAGATATGACAAAGGCTACCTAACTCATATCATCCAAAGTATTACTTGCAACCCGATCCGTGTAACCTACCTTCATGACATTCAAGTATAAATAGGAATTATGTTTTATAATATATTTTATATATCGTCAAACTAGAAAACCTCGCATGCGGCTTACCATACACACACTCTTTATTGTGCTCATCTTTATATGACTTGTTTATTCATATTTTTATTCTAGGATATACGTATATACGTAAGAACTTCATAGTGTTTACAATACAACTTATCTAGAGATTGAGAGGGTTGAGAGGGTTTCGATGGTAGTAGGAGCTGTAGTAGATATCTATCATGCATCAAATTTTCATGCTACCCTATTCAAGTAAGCTTTTTGTACCTATTTACTTATCTTTCGATATTAGTATTTATATATTCTTTCGTCGTTGAAAAAGCGCACAGGGCGGGAAACTGGTATCGAAATGACTGCAATAATAATGGCTGACACAGCTGTTCAAAACTACAAGCAATAGTTGGTTGCTGTATACAAAGGTTGAGCACCTGAATCAAGCGATGTGACACGCGAAAAATAATTATAAGCCAAACAGACAGACTGGTATTCATGATAACAAGCGAGATGGGACGGATCATTTTTGGTGGCTTGCTTGTACGCGATGGTACCTAAGTATCCAATCGAAGGCGTGGTTAGCGAGGTGTGACACTGGACTTATAGGATCGGGGAAAAAGTAACGCTCAGCTGGAATGCAAGTAGACGTGGTGCTTTTATGATTTAAATATTGTCTTAGTTACATAGATAGACTATTAGCATTTAGCATCTTGTATCGACTTTTTTCATTACCTACCTAGGTACCTATATCTGCAGCTCTTATAAGTATACCTCATAAGCATAGTTGGAGTAACTATTGGTTAATTTAACAATTAAACACGTTTCCCGTTACATTGGAGAATTACGTCACAATCTCTATTGTAACTGGGGGGAATTACTAGAATCCTAAGCCAATGGTTATGATTATCTTACTCATAGTAGGTATAGTTACTCCGTACGTGTAGTCCCCGTCTAAGGTATATAGTGTATATATAGGTAGTGTAAGGTTACACATATTGTCTCAGGAGGCGTGTCGTGCCGGACCGAACGTATGCTAAATAAACCTCAGGTGCTTGGTTAAGATAATGATCAAGATAATTAGTGTAAATAAATCGCTACGAGGAATAACGGCAACGGAATTGCGAATACACCGAGTTTGGGGTAGGCATCTCCCCCCCCTGCTCTGAATAGATATAATGGTTAAGTATCCTAGGTAGGAATGAAAAAGGGGGGCAAGCCTCGGTTCATAGCTACTACCCTAGCGTTTTTCTCCACTGCTCCCAGGGCTGATTTGCGGGGATAGCGACCGAAAAGGGACCACTTCAACCCAATCCTATTCGTCACCATCACTGTCTCTTATAAACCATACGTTTTGGAGCCAATGATAAGGCTCCCGTAGCGAAGAAGCTATGATTTGCATCACTACGGGCTACGGTACCAACGAGGTCATTCGTTCGGCTCCATATCCGCCACGCCCGAGCGAGTTCTATATTAATGTAGGTAGGTATGATTTCTTTTATACACGAACATGCAACTCCGACTTAATCTTATTTATGTCTGGGAGTCTGGGAGTCACAAAAATTGTGAACTCTAAGTCTTCGTGATAGTGGCATTTTGAATCGATACAGCTGCCTGAATCCCCTCTTTTCGGGATAATATTCATTGGCGGGGCGACGAAAAGCTGTTAGTCTAACTTTATTTCGAAGAAACTATTCGATACTTTTCGACACTTCATAGGGAAGTAAATTTGAAAATATTTTAAATCGTTTCCAGCCAACCCTCTTGTCATTCTTGCGATATCTGTTTCCGCTATGGTTCTTGAATCAAGATGGACGGTACCAATACCGAATTGCTCCGTGCCAAAATGGGTATTTGGATCCTCCTTCGACTCACTCCCAGATAATCCCCAATTTATTGATGTCGACCGGCCGGAGACGCATTTCATCACCCAATCTGATTTTCGGCTGTGGTCGAAGAGACTGGCCTTGGGATTGATACGAGCAGGCTTGAAACCTGGCGATCGCGTACTCCTCTTCTCTGGCAACTCACTTTTCACCCCCGTAGTTTTCATGGGTATCCTGATGGCAGGGGGTATTTTCACAGGCGCTAACCCTAGCTTTGTCGCTCGGGAACTTGCTTACCAGCTGAACGATAGCGGCGCTTCGTTTCTAATTGCAGCCGACGCTAGCATGGAGATCGCGATAGAAGCCGCTGACAAGGCTGGCCTTCCGAGGAGTCAAATATATAGTTTTGACATAAGCGCACTCGATAAGAAACCGGCTAATGCGCGACTCGGGACTCAGCATTGGACTTCTCTCCTCGCCCCTAAGAGCGATGCTGTCAAGTTTGACTGGGTTGAGCCCGTCGATGCGAGAACGACAGTGTGTGCTCTTAATTATAGCTCAGGCACGACAGGTGTGCCGAAAGGTGTCGAAATCACACATTACTCCTATGTAGCGAACGGCCTCGGGGTTAACTACATGGAGCGACTAGATCCTGAATATGACGAAAAGAAGAAACGATACCGCCGTTTAGGCTTCTTACCGATGTATCATGCATACGGCCAGACCTTCTTCGTCTGCAACTATCCGAAAGAAGGCGTTCCAGTATACATTATGCCTTCGTTCAATTTTGAGAAGATGCTACAGTGTATTGAGAAGTTTCGTATTGACACTCTCATCGCTGTACCACCTATCATAGTTCTACTTGCCAAAAGTCCTCTTAGCCGCAAGTATGATCTTAGCAGTCTCGAAAATATAGGCTCTGGTGCCGCACCGCTAGGAGCCGAAGTTAGTGATGAGGTCGCTAAGCTTTGGCCAGACGGCGCATTGAATCTTCGTCAGGGGTGGGGCATGACAGAATTAACTTGTACGAGTACAAGTTGGCACCCTAAAACGGCTGGTAAGTCTGCAGCCGTTGGCGAATTATTGCCGAATTGCAAAGCACGTATCATGAGAATCGACGGCTCAGGCGAGATCACCAAAGCCAATGAGAGGGGCGAGGTATGGATTACTGGGCCTACGCTATTGAAGGGGTACTGGAAAAAGCCAGAAGCTACTGCGGCTACCCTCCATGTCGATCCAGATGGCACCCGTTGGCTAAAAACTGGCGATGTTGGGTTGTGGAGAAGTATGAGCAGGGTGGACTGTTCCACATTGTCGACCGCATCAAGGAGCTCATCAAGGTGAAGGGTAATCAAGTAGCGCCGGCCGAACTCGAGGACGTATTACTCGAAAATAAGGGTGTCCGCGACGCCGCTGTCGTAGGCGTAACTATTAACGGCGAAGAAGTACCACGTGCATACATTGTCCCAGACCCCGAGGTGAAGCAGACGGAGCAGGAAATTGCCAAGTGGATGGAATCCAAGGTTGTCAACTACAAGCGGTTACGAGGCGGTGTGAAGTTTGTCGAGGCCATTCCCAAGAATCCGGTGAGTTTAACAAGACCTATATGCTTGACGAGAAGTCGATGACTAATAGTTATATGTAGTCCGGCAAGATCCTTCGCAAAATACTTAGAGACCAAGCAGCGAACGAAGTTGGTGATAGTAAACCAGGAATGGCGAAGTTAGCCTAAAGTTGAACTTGAACAGTAGCTGAATTGTTAGATTGCTTTCTCTTGAAAATGTACCCAATGTAAAGAGAATTCAATGGAATATAGAGATTCCTATGGGCTTAACAGATTCACAATATATAAGAAACTCTGAGGTATATTAGAAGTTGCTTCTCTTAGCATCGACGTCTAATAAACTAGGTATTCAGCATCCATAATCACTCAGTGTTTAAATACATATACGGGTATAATAGAGGAAACATCCTCGTTCATACTTATCAAGTGACTATTAAGACACCTACTCCTTAGACAAAGAAGTGTTATATATATGTATATACATGTATTTCCAGCCCGTGAGATCAAAATCTATAATTAGTTCTTTGTACACAGGACCTTATTCCTTATTGACATTGTTAAATTTCGTCATGAGAGGCGACTTTGCATAGCTTCCTTCCAACCCCAAATGACTTAGACTTAAGACAAAGAAATTGTTTTTAATAAATTAGCAACTATCTTACAGACTTGCTAAAGTGTAGTATCAGGTTGGGTATATTAACTATCATCTAATAAATATATCTTAGCTAATGGGTAATACGACTAGGTGTCCAACGGACTCCTTTAATATATCTATACTATGGCTCTCTATCAGCTACTTATTTTTCCCATACCATTTCTGGTATTTTTTGTACGGTACTGTGCAACCCTATCCTTCCTCCTCCATACATGTCAATTCCACCCTTGATGTTGAGAGGGTTGTCAGGCTCATCTGGGTATCCATAATGGCCCGTGTTTTCCGATTTAAATATCCAACAGCGGCGCATGAGATCATCTGCCTCCTTATGGAAAGCCTGGACTCCAGATTTCCTCTTAATTAACGGCTGCATCTTCTGGAGAACCCTGTAGATCCAATAGCGGCGGCCTCGACCGTTCACCAGCCTATAATTGGTTATATCTCCAGAGCGATCCGCATGGTGCACAATGTCCTTTAGTCTGAGGTTATTCTCGCAGTCGCGTCCAGTTACAAATACGCTAGTATTACGAAGTCTCTCAAAATCGTGGCTTGGGTCGCGACCATCAGTGAAGGCGCGGAAAAGAAATAGGTGTTGCTCGCCAGATCGACTACGTCGTAGCGTGCCGTCGCATATCTCAAGAGTTATCAATTTGCCGCCCTGAAGCTTCAGAGCAATCTTCCACGTATTAGGTAGTGGAAGAAAACGATCCTTCGATGGGAGGGCGAACAACCAGACGCTTTCCACGACCTCTTCCCAGAGGCCGGGCCAGACGTCAATTGGTGTGGAGGAGGTAAGGCCAAACCAGAAATTGAGGCTGAAGTTGTATACGGCTACGTCGAACTCCTCACGCGAGCGGGTGGTGAGGTGATCCGTGACGTGCTTGAGCTCCGTCTTCATCTTGGTACAATAGTAGTACGATTTATGATGAGTGTAAAGCAAAGTTGATGGTATTAGAATACCTAGTTGAAAGTATTAGTAGGCAAAGTGTCTTGATTCCGAAGTAAGAGAGTTGAGTTAAGCGTTTAGTTTGCTGTTAAACTTCTTTTATTTCTCTTGAATAGAGGCCGAACAAAATGGTTTTTATACGGCATAGATCCGATAGTTGACGAGGGAATTGTTTTCTATTGATATCTAACTATGTTGTAGTTTAGGAACAACACCAATGTATGCAATTGTTGGACATTTAATAATGTGTATTGTAACAAAAAGACTTTTGCTAAGGTGTGAGTGTATATTATCAATGAATTAGAATTTATTTGGGCTCTTAAGTTGTTAGTTACGATATAATAATTATTAACTTAGAACTTAAATAGACAGGATCTGAAGTTAGACTCACTTTAGGTGGGCTTAAACGCGTTTCTAATGTAATAACTATTCGTATTAAATTTAATCAAGTTTACTACAATATAGTTAGATAAAAGTCATAGTTGAAGAAGAACCAGTGCTCACTTCAATGGCGTATTCAGCACTTGACTTACTATCATGGTAACATATGTTTTTATATACTTTTAGAGGTTACCTTCGTCCTTATGAATTAAGTTAAGCATCTCCCCATGTAATATAGAAACATTGGAAATCAATTGTTTTCTTCCCATTTAATGAAATTTATTTACCGTCCATATGGCTAACGAAGATCATAAGACAGTAATGGGGTTGTTTTTACTTTTGATTACCTCTAGTGATTATTATTAATAACCATATATACCTATTATAAGAGTAATATGTAGTTAGTGCTATAAGTTACTAGGAGCTATTATTCTATCCATATAAATTCACGATTGGCTATAGTTGTCAACATTGACCCTATTTAAGTTAATCCCAATGCGCAATGTGCATATACTGTATAGATACACAGTATATGCTATGTCAACACTACAACCGTGGTTTAAGATATTGATATAAATCAAAGCATGGAGTGTTGGTATCGTACAAGGTTACCGAGATATCTTACCCGTATGCACGTATACACGTTAGACGAACACTAGGGTTTCCATGATGAACATAGATAGGTACCTAGGTTAGGTACATTAGGTACCTATACACGAGCAAGTTCTTGACATGTAGACCAATCAAGAGTAACCTTCTATTGATTCGGTTATATGGCCCGAGCGCCTAACCCCTTTTGACCACAAGAACCTATGCGAAGTGCTGTAGTATTATGTTGATAACGCATATTTAATTCGTATATGTCGGAGACCTGCAGTGCTTGCGCGTTTATCACTGATAGGGTGTTGATCTGATTGCACCATGAAGAAAAAAAAAAAGGTTGATTCACAGATCGATCGACAAGATAGAAACACCGCGGGAACGGGAAGGGTGGGAAAGGGTGTCAGTGTCCATCATTCAGCCCACCGATTTATTCCTGTTCCTGTTTCTCCCCCCCTTCCTTTTCCCCCCTTCTCCGAAAAAAGAGGCTGGGCCAATTGATAGTGGAGACAAGAATCGCGTACCCAGCCTCCCCTATGTACAATACGAACATTTTAGCTGTCATAAATCTGTCAATTTTCAATTGAATCGACACCGCTTCTAACATTTCCCAATTCCAATTTCAAATTCCTTTGTTTGTTTTCGTTTTTCTCACACTTGCGATAGCCACCAAACTATCTAACTTAACCTAACGCGCCTCGTATTAGCGCTATCAAGTATAGCTAACATTACCTTACATACTGTACATACCGCCACGATTTATGGAATGAAAGGAAATGAGTAGTAGTACATCTCGTCATCGTACCACTATGAATTCACCTTCTTCTAGGCCTCGTCCACGCCAGGCCCAACAACCACGTGATTACGAAGACGCAGCAGCAGCGGCGGCGTACCACAACAGCGGGAAAGCCCCGCGCTTCGATAGCCACGAGGACTTTTACGATTTCCTCGAGAGCAATCGAGGAGGTCCTATGTCCGGCCTAGGTGCCAATCCAGCCCCTAGCGCAAATCACGGTGCTGCGATGCAAGGCCAACCCTCACAAATATCCACACAACAGCTACAACAGCAACAACAGCAGCAGCAACAGCAACAGCAACGCTTTAGCCAGGGAAGTCAACCTGGTAATAGCCCATCGCAGCAGAGTAGGCCACCATTGACAAATTCATTTCCCCCTCAACCGCAAGGAGGAAACACGCCGAATCAATCGCGACCTCCGTCATATTCAGGCAGTAGTCGTTCCGAGGAGATGCTCGTAGCAGACCGTACCAGCGGCGACAGCAGAATCCAGCGCCAAAATGGCCGTCGCACCGGACCAGGCAAGCCTGTAGCAGGACCGCGACCGCCCAGCAGCTCTGGCGGATCGTCCCCGCCACGGAATTCGGCAGGATACCCGACCAACCATCCTCAGATCCAGCAAGCCCAAGCCCAGGCCAAAGCAGTAGCGGCGGCCGCCGCAGCAGCAGCAGCCTCAGGATCCGACCCCAGCTTAGCAGTCCCCAATGCCAACCTAGGCGCGTCCATCCAGCGGCTCAAGAGCCCCAGCGTGATGGATTGCGTGCTACAGCCGCTAGACCAGAAGGTACACGAGTACGCCGAAGTGATGCACCGCGAGCAAGACGAGATGGACCGCCTAGACGCCGAGATCCGGGCGCTGCAGGAACGACGCGCCGACGCCGAGACACGGTTCCTAGAGGCCAAGAGCAAGCACGACGACTACCGACGGCAGTATCTCGACGTCGAGCGTGCTATGCGCGGCGACCCGCTACCCCCTCCTACACCCCGGGAGCTCCCCCAACAACCGCACCAGGTGCCGCTAGCGCGACAGCACACGCGGCCTATGAGTTTCCAGGACGACGATGACGACGACGACGATGAGTTTGCGCCGCCGCCGTCGTCTCATCGCCGTATTAACTCCCAACAGTCATTTGGACGGACCTCGCAGAAGATGAAGGGAGGTCGTTTCCGGTTTAGTTTGTTTGGAGACAAATAAATCGAGAGAGTATCTAATTTGAAATCTAATGCTTGGAAGAAAATAAAAGGGAAAAGGACTATTGGTGTAGTAAAGATGGATGGACATAGGTACCTAATGATTTATGCTATAACGTCTTCCACTTCATCAATGTAATATGATGGGATAATGGTAACGACAATTAGAGCATGTGAACCGGCGTCAGGGAAAATAAATTTAAACTTTTTCAGGCCCTTGGCAGCTGAGAACCCCTCTATGCTACATCTCGAAGGGAAGTCGAATTGGTTTCGGAACAAACGATTGGGGAATAAGGAATTTTCCAAATAATATATTTTTACCCATTCATCGCCTGGGAACATTACATTTGCTTTGTCTCGTGTTAGGACCATGCCAGCTGAATCTCTCTTTACAAGCTCGCTAATTGAACTTAGCACATGTGTTATAGTTAACTCGTTTAGATCTTCTAGATACCCCTCCGAATCAGCCGATGCTATCGAAGCAACTTTGAATAGATCTACTACCACTCAACTCCCATAATACAGAGTCTTTCGAGTTGAGACGACCAACCAAAAGTCAGCGTAACGCGTGCGTACAGCAGTTGTTCTTCGATGTCTCTAAGCGCAGCGGTGCCGAGAATTGTCAGATCTTCCCACGACTGCTCCACGAGGTTGGTTTCCGGGTCATCCCCGGTTTGTATTTCGTTCGATGTGCCTCCAAAGAAGAGTTGGGACCAAGCATCATCGTGCCACACGAGCTTACTGGCCTTGATCATACCGCTTTCGTCGATCATTGATCCGATTATACGTGGGTTGAGTGCCAAATCTCGCCGCGCATCGCAATTCTTGCAAATTGCAATGGGTTTGTTGGCGTAAACTGGTATGCCACAGCTGAATAAATAGTTAGATTGGTAAGATGAGATGTTATGTTGGACTCACCACTCAAAGCAACAAAAGGAATGATTCTGCCACTGTTCCACCAATCCCATCTCGAGAATAATGACATTCAATTTCCCAGTGAAGTCAAGTCTCGGCTCGGGATTACGCACCTGATCTTCAATATCGGCGATCGTGTATAATATTCGGTTAGGGCCACAAATCGCAATATTAATATCCCAAGTATCATGAGGGAAGGGGATGTGTACGCTCTGCTTCTTGCTCATATTCTTCACTCTATCTCTAAGCCAGTCGGCATCTGGGAACTCAGGATCCACGTCGATCATTGAGGTATAACTAATACCAAGTCCAGATTGCGGACCGTCCTGTCGACAGGTTGGTTTAGATATAAGGAGAATAGTTCGATTTGGAATCCAAGTTTTAGCCGAGGGAACTTTATCCTGCCATAGCCTCAGAACGCAAGTTGCCGTATCGTCAAAGATGCTTACGTCCACCATATCAAGATCACATTGGCGTTTTTTCGAGTGGACAGTTCTACGCGGTCCAACGCTTTTCACGCAGACAAGAATCCTACCCTCTACCATATCGTATCCGGTAGAAAGATAAGCCTTTAAAGTCATGAGAGCAGGGAGATAGTTATACTCCTTTAAGTTGCAATCTAAAGGGCAACGAAATATACGGTAGCCATCGGAACCGGGAGTGTCGTTATAGAGGGCAATGTGTGTTGCAATATTGCGGCCAGGATAAATCTTGGTAGACGATGCGCAAAACGGTATATTACCCGCGCCACCCTGGACTGAAGCGGCAATATGAGTTGCCCAAACCGTGACTCTCTGGCCAAAAAGTAATTGGTAGTCGGAAGCCTTCGCATAGTAAATTTTAACCTATAAGATCTACTATTAGCATCAAGATATAAAATAGGTTACTAGATCCTAATAGCCATACTGCAATAGCCCCTGATCCATCAGATATAACAAGGAAATGATATCCTTGCTCTTGGGGGTACATAGAAAAGTTTACAATCCTCCCAGAGATTTCATAGTTAAATAGCCCTGTCTGGAGGAGTGAAATGGGACATTTTTCATATGATCGTAGTGGTTTCCAGGGTCTTGAAAGCGGTTTCGTCACTACTTCTATCTCGGATGGCGTGAAACCATCCCCCGGGATCTGAGAATCTAAGAAATGATCATTCACATCTTCGGAATTTAACTGTACTTCTCTTGAATAGAAAGTCTGGATAGATGGAAAAGAGGTACCCATGTTGGCGAGAAACAGCTTGGTAAGAGGTTAGGTGTTAAGTACCATAAGGACTGATGAGAGGTGTCGATAGAAAGTATTCTTCTTTCTTTTGCGATATTTCTAAGCTTCCCATGTCAGCATGGATGGTAGTTTAGCAGGTGTTTCCTACCGGTCCATTGGAACTTCCTTTTTTCAGTATTCTCATGTAAGAACGCACCTACTTCGTTACCATTTTCTCTAGAATACGCTTTGGGTAGGTACCTTATGTACCCCTTTAGATCGAGCACCAGTTACCTAATCTCACATATGAGGTAAGTACGCAGCAGTACCTGACCTAAGACGGTTCTGATTAAGGACACTAAACTTCCTATTATTCTACATGTAGGTATATTTACTATATTCTTCACAATTATTCATAGCCCCTTAACGAATACCCCCAGTATCAGATTCCTTTTTCTCGCCAGAACCTCTCTGAAAATAAGGTGCACTTCGTCTATCGTCACAATAGTCATTTAAATAGTTCCAGGGTCGATATTGATATTTGCCTGTTACTATGGCCCCAAGCTTCCTTTTTGTCGGACTATCGTTTAAATGACTTATAGGCACTGGGTTACATATATGCTTTAAGACTATACCTCTAAACAGCTCTTGGACCATTCATATAATATTATACAAAGTAAATAGGTACCTATTTAAGGTTTTAAAGCTCTTTAGATTATTGAAAATAAAGTTGCGGGATGATGAGAACCCTAATAGGAGTCGGGTTGGATATTTGGACAGTCTGGCGGAGAAGCCGAAGTAAACAACACATGATTGAAATAGTCAAAATACATTAATTTCTAATTTGTCCAGCTATATAGGTATCTTCGACAAATCCCAATCTAGAACTCTTCGACTGAACTACCTAATTAGGTATCAACCCCTAATGTTGTTGTACGTGGTTTATCTATTTCGCAGATCCACACCTTCCTAATGGGGTCGCTGCATACTTCGGGTCACATTGCATTGATGTTATAGCTTATTTCAACGACGGAAACTTTGGTATCTTTATAATTAATATTTATTATGGGAGATTGTTTAGAGAATATAGATAAATGTAAGGTTTTGCTATTGGTATTGGTATGGTGGCTGGTTTGTAGCCCAGAAGACGGCCCAGGTTATCTTAGGTACCTATCCAATCAGCCCAAGCTTTTATATTATATTGTGATACCGGTAAGACTAGACCTATAAACACACTTGTGGTGGCAAACTATAAGCAGCACGGTAATGGAGTCTAGAAAATATAGGTATGTTTTTGGGCTTATACTATAATCCCTTGTGGGTTATATTATAGAAAGTAGATGTACTTCCGGATAATAATTACATAAATTCAAGAACCCGAGAAAATATATATATTTCATAGCTTGAACTAGTACTTATATAATTATATTAGGTACTTTCTAAACCAGGATAAATAAAGTAGCCGCAGGTGGATTGCTTTGATAAATCTTGATCTGCCCCATCATCAAACATTGCGGGGATAGCTTCTTTATTCGCATCCCCTTTCGGCGATAGGCACTAAAGTCGAATCGGTAGTTACAATAAGATACTGATAGCGCTAATGGGAAAGTAACACTAAATTCGCTCATGGCTAAAGCGGTAATGTAGGTAATGAAATTCAATGTGTCTTCAAGATGCATTATATCCACGGCGGTGTGACCTACCTAACCTTTGCTGGTTCGCTCAATATCCCCTCCCCCGATATCGAGATTCTACAAACCGTTGCTGTAGTACAAACTTACGGTCTCGTGCCTGTGAGGTGTAGTTGGTAATGTCAGCACTACTTTAAGCTTAATTAACCATGGGGAACCGATATGGGGAAGATTCTTACGACATCATCTATATCCATATGTTGTGTGAAAGGGGCTGTAAGATCTCTGGGTTATGTAATGGAGATCGATCCTCTGGGCTTTGGAGTAAAGTCTCCTACTCTTGACATTAGGTATACGGGCACATTAACCCCAGCCCTAGATAACATATAGTTAATTTACGCAAGTAACATAAAGTATTGTTGTTCATAGAGTGCTGCAGTCACAGGGCCAAGCATGTAAGGATGTTGAGTGTGTTTTCATACCTTTTATTTTCCCCTCTTCTGACTTATAAGCTTGATCAACGTGGAAGATCTAGCCCACTAGCTCATAATCATTGCGTATTAAGATGGTTCAAAGTCGTGTCTAGTCTAGATCGAAGTCACGCGTATCGTAAGTGGAGCATCAGGAATAATAAGATAGGTATTGGCATGATGCTAAGCTAAAATGATCTAATAAGGCCGCTAATTCGAATCTTTCTAATTGGAGCATCATCGATAGGATTCACTAATACTCGAATCCAAATATCCGACAACATAAAATGAAGTTTCACGCGGATTACCATTTCAGGACTTCCTAATAGCAAGGAGAAATAATTTCGTCATAGTTAAATGGGCTATATATAGAACCGGGATAGTCAAGGGATGATTTATTAAAGCGGAGAAATCTATATTGGTTATAATTGGTCGAATATAACGTAACGAGACAGTTGTATGGTATTAACCAACCGATTTTGAGAGAAATGTAATATGGTCCAAACACACACTTTACCAAACACCTAAAAAAAGGTATAAAGCAACTGTGTACATACATGTAGTGAGTTAAGCTAGTTTTACCACGTTGTGTGTTTGCGTACCACAGTGAGAACAATAGCGGTTGTTAGCAATGGGCGAGACGCAAGCTTGCCGAATTAAGTACCTACAGCAAACCATACATTTGACAATTCAACACGTTTTTTAGTCATGCATAGGGAGGTCGACTCGGGCTTCGTCCGTCTTGCTACGCATGTGGATAAAGTACCTAAACTTAGGATAGGCCAAGCCGAACCACCGTTGTGTGTACGAGTTTTATTACCTAGCGGCGGAAGTATGAAGACATGGCACGTGTAATTATCAATTGAAAAATGTAGATATGAACTAATAAAGAAAACTTGATTAAATGGTATGATTTGAAGCTAGAAGTCAGGGAAGATGTCAGTAATAGACTCGAATCTTTCAAGGCTATAGGTTAGGTAGGTACATAAGACAATACTAAACAAAAGCCAATCTAGGCAGTACCTACCCTAAACGGTCTTCGTTAACCGTTCCAATCAGTGAAACAAACGTTAGGATGCGACGTAGATCTGGGGCCAATCTGGGGTAACTAGCGGTGATTAAAGTGGAGAGGCTTATTATCCTAGTCTGTTTCTAAGCGTATCAACGTCATCCCAGCGGAAACTAAGGAAGTTCCACCAAAGTAGCCGAGCTAGCTGTCCTCGCTAAAATGCTAACAAAATTTTCTTTTCTTTCGCGTAGGTATTACCTTGTTAGTGCCCGAAGGTAATTGGGTGTGCTACAATTTCAAGCTTAGGAAGAAGGTAACCTAGGTAGGTCTTCATACTTTATGTACTTCCGAACATGCAGGACAACTCCAAATACGCCAAGCTACTAAAACCGAATTAAAGAAAAGGAAAGAAAAACATCTCATTACCGATATCTAGCAACCAGTGCATTATAGCAGCCGAGAAAGGCCAAAATTGCGGCTTTTCTGGTTTCCATACTAGTATCCTTCTAGCCTTTCAGTCCTCTTTTTTCCCCTTCTCTCTTCTTATTACACATTACACGTATACCTAACGCACATACGGACATACACCAAATACGCAAATACAACTACACATACACAAGTCTTTGTGCATCCGTTTCCATTCCCCATCCTCCATCCTCCATTCTCCATTCTCCAGCTTCCCGCTACCTTCCGCTACCTTTATTTCTCCCTCGGTCCAGGTCATTATCGCTCACCTATGGCGGTCGCGGGGTAGGCAGTTTTGTCTGCCTCATTTACAATAGCTCCAGCTCTCTCCTCACCGCCACCAAAACGCATACTTTCTTACCCTCTTTTTTACTTTACTTTCCCTCCTCACTCTCTTGCCACCCTTCGTTTCCATCGACGTCTCTGGCCATTATATATACCCTTTAGTTGATACTTGGTTAAATCAACACCCCCTGGAAAGTTGGGATTCCTTACTCCAATCACGGCCTCGACGACAATTCGTTCTTGAGGTCCCACCGGGCTGCACTTATATACCTATCTAGGTACCTAAACAACACTGATTACGAGCCGGCCAGTGTTACATGATTTTTATTCACTTAATGTCCCCACGTAGTATAAATCTAGGAAGCACAATCGCCTTAACCTTAACGGGACCGCTTCGGTCAAATATACTATAATTCACGTTCCCTTAAAGGCATCTATCTCATCTCCTCTAAGGAGCGGATACGTTCTAATGGCCTTGCCTGAGGTACCTAGTCGCAAACGACATCCCCATACCAAATATGTCGTCAAGCGATTTCCCCAATCGCGGTCCTGCGGTCTTTGCTGTGACCATAGCGACGCTTGTCCTGACTAGCTGCATCGTTGCGGCAAGGCTGCTCTGTCGGATCCGTATTGTACGAAGTGTTACATGGGACGACTACTTCATTATTATTGCTTGGATTCTAGCCGTTGCTCTTAGTTTTTCCATCGATCTGGGTGCTAGTAAGGGACTCGGCCGACACGACGAGGACATACCTGCTGAAAATTTGAACACTCTGCGGCGTTCCGAATATGCCTTTTCAGTTCTATATGTAAGCCCAATCCCACAGTGGAGGTTACGTTGAGCTCAAATCTAATCATACTACAGAACCCGGCCTTGATGGCTACAAAGACGTCCGTTCTAGTATTTTACCTCCGCCTGTCTAAGAATACGCAGAGGGTATTACGACTAGCTTCGTGGGCTGTTCTGGTTATTGTCAACCTAGCTGGCACAGTATTGACACTGATCAACATCTTTCAGTGCCGCCCGGTCCAAGCGGCATTTGATCCATATCCCGATACGGCATACTGCATCCCATTGCTTACCGAGTTCATATGTTCAGCACCGGTCAACGTTGTAACGGACCTCGCCATCTTAGCTTTGCCATTGCCTGTTCTAACTAGCATGCGGCTTCCACGGCGACAGAAAATCATCTTAATATTCACGTTTGCTTTGGGTATATTTGTTACTATAGTTGATGTCGTCCGGATCTACTACCTCGAACAGGCCATTACTCAGGTATCCTCAACAGCCTCGAGTAACCCAGAGGCAACATTCGGAAATTCGTCTCAATTCGCCTGGAACGCATCCTTCTCCCTCATGTGGTCTGCTGTCGAAGTCAATGTTGGTATAATCTGTGCATGCATTCCGACACTGAAGCCTCTCATCCGTCGTATCTTGCCTGCTATGCTGGTCGACCCTAATGCGACCCGGACATACGACAAGGATACCTCGACAGACGGGAATGGAAGTTCGAATACTGGTCGACCCCCAACCTCCGGTATTCTAACTGACGACCTGGTCACGTCACCTTCCCAAACACGTGCAGCGGGTAGTCGAGATAGTCAGGTATCTGCCGTCGATTTTCTCACTACGCCAGAAATGAATTCACATCCAATTCCTACGCCAGATCCGCTTGATCGATCGCCTACTGCACTAACGAGCATCACGGGGACCTACTCGACATTCGAAAACTCGGTGTATTTTGGCTTCGTGAACATGCGTCGGCCAAAAAGCATGATTAGGACCTCTGTCCGGGACTCTTTCAAGTATTGCACTGTGGTCACAATCTTGTTTTTGTTGTGGGGGTTCTCATATGGCCTTCTTAACCAGCTCAACGACGCGGTCGCTTCGCTTCGTCTCAGGCATGTCAATCGCTGAAACGATAGGATTATCTTCAATTTACTTCGGAGGAGGTTATCTAATTGGTCCACTGCTCGTTGGCGAGTGGATCTTGCGACATGACGAGCATTCCCGGTCGAGAAGGAAGAAAAACGGCCCGGACCAGATCGGCGGCTATCGGGCAACGTTCATTGTAGGACTCTGTTTCTATGGCGTGGGAACAATTATGTTTTGGCCTAGCGCTGTTCTGACTTCGTTCGCCGGCTTTATGATTTGCAACTTCGTTGTCGGATTTGGTTTGGCGATTATTGAAACAGGGGCCAACCCATTTCTTATATTCTGCGGGCCGATGGATTACGCAGAGATGAGGCTTTGTTTAGCCCAAGGAATCCAGGCTATTACCACCGTTTTGAGCGGACTTCTAGCCCAGAAAATATTCTTCACATCCGACAACACGGAGACATTGTCACTACTAGACGTCCAATGGACGTACTTAGCCATTACGCTTCTCTGTGCGGCACTGGCTCTCTTCTTTTATTATGCCGTTACCGGAGGTTACTGACGCTGAGATGGAGCACTCCACACGTTACCTCCCCGTGGACCCCCAAAAGCGTAGCTGCGGCGGGCTAAAACTTCGGACCTGGACCTTGACGTTGGCAGTTTTGGCTCAATGGACATATGTTGCGGGCCAGGAAACCACCAGTATCTTTTTCCACGAAATTCTAACGCAACAGGACCATGTGCAAGCCCCACCAGGCTTTAGGAACACGACAAAAGAATCGTTGTACCCTCTACCGGGTCTCGCGCTTTCAGTTCCAAACTATCTTCTTATTGCTCATACTGCTTTCGCCCTTTCGCGTTTTGTTGCCGCATATCTCGCTTATCTATCACCGACTCATCCAAAGGTGCCACAGCCACGTACAGTTTTGAGCATCACGACCGGGCTCAGCATTATCTGTGGCATTTTAGTAACAGCCCTCCGTGAAACTAATCCGAATCTTATTGCTATTCCAATGATCCTTTTTTTCTTTTTCGAGGGACCTATGTGGCCTCTTATATTTACGCTTGGGCTTCGCGGACAGGGAAAACGTACGAAACGAGCAGCGGCGTGGATCACCATGGGAGCTTCTGGGCCGGCATTCTGGCCATTTGTCGTTTACGCGATCACCGAGAAAGGTGGCAGTATCCAAACAGCTTTCAGCCTGGTTCCAGCTCTTCTCGTTATTACTGGAGTCTTCTCTCTGTTTTTGGATTTGAAACGTGACGCCCGTGCGTTGGTTGATGCTCGAGTCGGCGCCGAGGATCAGTCTAAAATACAGGACCGAGCTAATCGGGATATGGACCTCGATACAATTCTTGCAGCACGGCGAAGGGCTTCGGTGGGTTTAATGCCTATCGACGAGGAGAAGTCTAATTTCCTCAAGCGCTTTTCGGTCGCTTTGAGCAAAGGGAACACTGCGTCCCCAGGGAGAAAAAGCTCCGACCCTGGAGCGGCCACAGAACTCCACGAGATGAATGGTAGCAGTCCCGGTAGTCCCAGTAGCCCCGGCAGCCCTGGTTGAGACAGAGTACAAAGAACCAAGGTGTAAATGAAATTCATAATAACTATTAACAACCAGCCAGCATAATACTCTTTCCGAGCCGACTTCTTGGTGATAAAAATTTACCGAACCGGTTCGGGGCGAGAGGAGAATGAGATGCGCCATGAGGTGAATTTGAGAGCCCTTGAGTTCTAAATCCAAAAATGGTTATTCTACTTATTCCCAGGATTTCGTTCCTTCGTTGCTCCAGCAGATGGGAATGCTCGCCGAAAATTTTCGATTTGCTTTACTTCATATGCTCTCGGAAATATTTCAAATCCTCATTTGGCGTATAGGGAATGAGTTCGCTAGAAACTGTCATTGCGAAGGTACGACCACATGTATTCGCGAGATTTCCTTTATGCTAATAGGATATAGACAGAAAATCATGGTAATGAAAGACTATATTCTATATATACTATATATCAGCGCTTGAACGTACTCGGAAAATTTGGGGCATCTAGAGCCCCCTAGGACTCAATCAAAGCTTACGAACTAAGTTGTGGTCCCCAATGGCGAGTCGCTTGCATTTAGGGGTTGAGTTATACGGCGGGGTTCCCCTTGCGCAATTGATATTGCGAAGATATAATAGATAACCCGAATGAGAACTTAATTCATGCCAGATGCAGCAGTGCGGTAGATAGCTCCAGTGAATTTTGATACGAGACGTCGACAGGACCTTTGAATACCTCCGGGTAGTCAAAGATAGCTCTTGGATAACATCCACTTAGTTGGGGACAATTACGGTGCCAATTAACCTACGAATATTTACCCTAAGAGTCAGTGCACCTTAGAGATGACCGGAAGCCTCGGGGTATTCAAATTTATCGAAATTTATGGGGTCGGAGTCTGTAAAGCAAATCCTTATTGGCTAATATATTCCAATGGCAATTCCCATCTCAAATCAACCACCAGATATCAAAGAAAGGGATAATGATCCTAGTAGCGCCGGGGGTAAATTACATAGCTATTCGAAGGCCGAGCCATATGATATAAAAGCTTACATGCGCTAAGAAGAAAGAGATACTACCCACCCCGGACATGACCAGTACTGGAACATGACTTATTATGAGCTTACCAATCAATCAGCTATTCCATAACAGGCATCTGAGTTATGTTTTCCATCTTAGTTTCTATCGTACAATATCATTCAACGCTTCTTATTTTCATATTTTTACTTCAGCCCTACTTTTATTACCGGACATTTACCTAATTTTCCCTATTATATTAGACTTGAATATAAAGGAAGCATAAAGGTGTGTCGGCACTTTGGTATCGTGGATATTGTGGGTCCGAGAGCCTTGATATTCTTGAAGCTATCATGACCCCCCAACTCGGGTCTTCCAGCAGCGGCTCTCCCTCCAAGGCTGGCCCGGGAGAGCCTATCGATTCTAAGGATTGGCCCTCAGTAGATGATTCTGCCACGGAGGAGACACCGCTCCTGCGCTCCGAGTCGAGTTCTCCGGCCGCGGGCAGTGTATCATCTGCCACCTCTGAAGTCTCGCAAGATGAGACTTCCCTGACTTGGACACCCGAACCAGAAAGTTAGTCGGGCACGAGGCCTAGCTATCATACTCAGTGTCTACCTTCTGATCTTCTTACAAGGTAGGCTCGACTTTAAGCCCCCATTCACTAGTAACTGCCTGCCTGGTACTAACGCAGTCAACAAATAGCAACCAACATGTCGGGTATTACCATGGCGCAGTCAACGATAGCAGCTGATCTAGACTCGTACGAGAACGCAATGTGGTTCACGACAGCGTTCCTCGTAGCGATGTCCTCGTCGACGCCCCTAGTTGGGAAGTTGGCTTCTATCTTTTCGCCTCGTACTATGGTATTATATTCGTCTACGCTCTTCGCTGCTGGATGCTTCATAACGTCGCAGGCTCGCTCATTCCCAGTCTTCATCTTGGGGCGACTCGTCACGGGGCTAGGTGCCGGCGGTTCCACGGCTTTGGCTATCGTCCTCATTCTCGAGCTAACAACGAAACGAAAGCGAGGGCTGTTCGTTGGACTGCTGTAAGTTATCACATGAATTGATTTAACCACACCTACTATATATCTCTATATATTTAGGGTATAACGGGTTCTAATATTTTGGACTAGGAATGCCGGCTTTACGACGGGTGTCTCATTAGGGGCTGTCTTATCCGGTGCGCTGATATCTGTAACTGGCTGGGTAAGGGTGTCATCTCCCCCGAACTGAAATACATGAACTCACATCGTCATTTAGAGAGTTCTCTTTTGGGTCCAAGTTCCTCCTAGCTTAATCGCTGGGCTTGGGATTTACTTCAGTATCCCACATACGTTCTCGTCGGGACAAGGCTCTAAAGACGGTTTACTATCTACAAAGCTGAAGCGGATCGATTATCCGGGCGCTTTGTTCTTGGTAAGCTTTAAATTTAAATGCATACATGCAAATCGACATCCTGCTAACCTCATGCAGACCGCCACTGTTGTGCTTTTCCTATATGGGCTGTCTGGTACCATCCAGGTCGTTCCGCTTATCGTCTCGTTAGCAACACTTATCATCTTCGTGTTGGTTGAGTACTATGTTGCAGTTGACCCTATTATTCCGATTAGTGTCATTCAGAACCGAGGCGCCATATTGACATGTGTTTCTCAACTTGGTTTCATGGCAGCTCGCTGGACGGTGTTGTTCTATGCTCCGATCACAGCACTCGCGGTGCGTGGTTTCACCCCGGCGACCAGTGGTAGTATTCTTATACCCACGAACTTAGGGTTTGGCCTGGGTGGACTTCTTGTTGGTGTAAGTTATTCCTAAATGACCTTATTAAATTTTGACAGTTCATTAACAGCACTCTAGTGGTTGCACGTTCGCCGCATTGGGAGCTTCTGGGCTTCTTGCATCATATCTTTCATCCTCTTCGCTGCAAGCCTCTTTGCGCTCTCGTTGGCATCTACTCCAGATATCCCGATTTCCCTATACATCATTACTGTGTTTTTAAACGGTCTCTTCGCTGGCGCAGCGCTGAATTATACACTCGCGCATCTACTGCATCTAACCTTGCCGGATACTCACTATATAGCTACCAGTCTGCTCGGCACATTTAGAGGATTTGCGGGCAGCTTCGGTAGTGCAATCGGTGGTGGCATCTTCTCCAGGACTCTACGAGCATCCCTTGAGAGAGGATTCAAGTCAATCGATGGCTCTAACGGCCCTGAAGACCGCAGTGAGCTAATAAGGAAGCTTATCGGCAGTCCGGCTTTAGTCTTCAATGGTGGCCTTGGAGCCGAAGAGCAGACAATCGCAGTACAAGGTTACGTTGACGGTCTGAAGGTTCTATTCCATGCTGCTGTGGTTTTATCCATAATCGTCTCGGTTGTCCAGGCTGCTACGGGGTGGAAGGGCCCAGGGGATAAGACGAAGTACCAAGAGAGCGGAAGCAGCAATGCTCTACGTGACGAGGTGAGTGAAGATGGACAGTAGTTGTTGGATAATAGATGATTGATTGAATAAAAAACTAATGATACAATTATTATTTTTTTTTTTTACAAACACTCATCTATGATGAGCGTTTGGATGACACGTGACCGAAGGTCACGTGTTGAGATGTACTTAGGTACATCTCACAGTAGTTCAGTTGATAGATTATAGACTTTCGTTAGACGACTCCTAAATAATAAAATATTCTTGTCAATGTTAATTTCAGTGCTATATTAAATAATATATCACTATTAAATAGGTAAAATAAAAAACTCGGTCGTATTACCGCTCAACCAACTTTCGGATCTGATGTGACGTTCGTACATACCGAACAACGGACAGTGCAAATACTGTACGACTTCGTCATTCTATCATTTAGCTTCTGTCAGTTTGGAGAAAGAACTCCAACAATATCATCAACCAAGCTCGCAATTGGTGGGAGATATTGTTCATTACAACTTCCCCGCCAAGCGGAGTTGTGTAAGCGATACGGGACTTGTTTTGCATAAAGGGGTGTTATATATACTAGGTGACTAGGCACTGTCTATAGTTTATACTATCAAGAAGCTGGTTCTCGATTCTTATTCTATTTATCACGTAGTTAGTTAATTGAACAAGTTCACAGTCGCAATATGTCTACCACGGAGACGATCACCAAGACAACCCCATCCTTCTCCATCCCTGAGAGAACCTCGGTTAATGGGTCCAACGGAAAGGAAAGGATTGAAACCCCTCCCCAAGTCCAAGTCGCCGGTACGACGAAGAGCGGAAAGAAACTGAGCATCAGGACTTACCCCAAGTTCGAGAATCTAGAAGATGAACGGCTCTATCGGAAACAGCACCTAGCGGCAGCATTCCGGGTCTTCGCCGACCGTGGCTTCGACGAAGGCGTTGCGGGGCACATATCTGTCCGGGATCCCATTTTAACCGATCACTTCTGTAAAGTCCCAAGCTGCTAGGAATTCATGTTTCTAACTCCGTTCTTAGGGCTGAACCCGCTCTCGATGCACTTCTCCCTGATCAAGGTATCCGACCTGATCCTTTGCGACGAAGATGGCGACGTGGTCGAAGGCGACGAGCCGGTGAACGCAGCCGCTTTCGCAATCCACTCGCAAATCCATAAGGCGCGACCGGACGTGCATGCGGCGTGCCACGCGCATAGCGTCCATGGCAAGGCGTTTTCGGTCTTCGGCCGGGAGCTAGAGATGATTACCCAGGATGCCTGTCGCTTCTACAAGAGTCACGGGGTGTACCGGGACTTTAGAGGCGTAGTTCTCGACAGCGAAGAGGGGAGGAGAATCGCCAAGGCCCTTGGAAATGGGAAGGCTGTCATTCTCCAGAACCACGGTCTGCTTACTGTTGGCGGCAGTGTAGACGAAGCGGCCTTCTGGTTCATTAGTCTTGAGAGGACATGCCAGGCTCAATTACTTGCGGATGCTGCTTCGGTTTCAGGACACAAGAAAATTCTCATTGACGATGATGAAGCCTCTTATACTTCTCTTCAGGTTGGAGGTCCTGAGAAGGGGTGGCTTGCTTTTCAAGCCATGTAAGGGTTTTGCCAATTGACATTCGTCCACATTCAACTGAAAGCTTTATCCCCCTTCCCCTCCCCCCCTTTTTGTTTTCACAGCGCTATCATATTAGTCGATTCTCTCTAACATGTACTAGATTACGATGAACAACTCGCAAAAACTAAAGGCGAATTTTTAAATTAATACCCTAGCTCTTATCATATTCTACCACCTATATACCGGCCTACCTAACTGGATGACGAAGGGGGAATGTCACAACCTCCTATATTTCCCATCTACAAGCTGCCTATTGGAAAAGTTTTCATAGAAAGGCAATTGCTTAGGTACCTAAATTATACTACCTACCTACCTCCTATATAGGTCTGTACGTCAAGTATGAAATATCTAACCGATACCAAAGTTCCATAGCTTTTACTCAAAGTGGAAAAATAATGTGCGCAAATTTGATCAAGTGGTTAGATTGATATGAGCATGTGTTCATACAATTCATCCCTTGTGGTATCATGAGCTGTCATTATGACTTGTCTATGTATAACGTTGCTTAGCAACGCCGCCGGTTCCCATGTCATAAATATGATCCCTATCTTCACACTCTGGTATCTATGAAACTAAAGATTTCAGATCAAAATCCGACCAAGTCACACACAACCGGTTGAATCTCTCCTTCAGCCATCCTAACGCACCTAGATCGAAACCACTCACCCACTCTCAGAAACATCTGGTTTGTTCAAAATATTATCAGTAGTTTCTCTTATCGAATCTTATTCTTGTGTCCCTCCCTCCAAGATGGCAGGAAAACAGAAACAGGCAGAAAACGCTACAGTCAAAGCTATATCTAATGATATCGCGGAAATGTACAATAGTGATGTCCCGCTATTCACAAAAAAGAGTATGCTACAAACTGCGATGCAACTTGAAAAGTACAGAGATAATGAACTAGAAGTTATCGAGCTCCATTTCACTAATATGAAGGGAGAAGATGTCGAAATTACCCTCAACCCAAACAAGCAACCAGTTTGGGTAGATAGGCGGTGCAACCATGGTTACAAGCGGTAAGAACTCTATAAACCTCTTTTCTTTTCTTTCAATTTAAAGGCATATACTAACTTCTCAAAAGTGTTGGCCCGTACATATACTACCGTTCAATACAAAACGTCCTTGCTCAGGAAGATATGACGACCCCTGACCCCCAGAAAGCTTGTCTCGGAATAGGGGTTACGTGGCCAGGCCCATGCCCAGTGGTACATAACCATAAGATGCCTTCACTCGATGCAGCTCTATCCACCGTCTTCTCTACCGCGGAGCTAGGTCAAGTATTCAACAGCGTAAGACAGCAGTGGGAGACGAGCGATCAGTACAACCAGCTCAAAAAGTTACTCAAGCGAAAGAGCGCAGTTGTCGAGCGTCAAGAAAATTGTCGCCTTTGCCTTAGGCACGCTAACTACTGGGCTCAAGAATTTCCAACCCTTCGATGGTCCAGCACGCGCTTGTCCTAAGTCTCCAGCAGATGCTATCGAAGACGAAAGGAGGCGACGGCAGGATCTCCAGAACACTCCAGACCATTAAAGGCTCCTTATCGAAGAGCAGGGCGGCTGAGCCTCTAATTCCATGTTTTGCGCAAGACCCAGCTTACTTGCTTGGAGACAAGACGGTTCTGTCGGAGGTAGGAATCACAGTTATAGAGGACCCCTGGGCGTTTTTGGAAGTAGACCATACGAGCCTCGTGGTATCTGTTGATCCTAACATTCCCGTGCGACAGATCATCGCTGATATCGCACGCCCTGTGGCGATTATCCAGCACAGAATGATGGAGATGAATGGGCCAAATTCTCGAGCTTGGTAAGTTTTGCCCCTGGTTTTTCGATATTGTAGATTACTACTGATGACTTACAAATATTTATAGCGCTGATCACTCATCTACGCGGGTCCAACGGATGCTAGAAGATGAGTACAATGAAGAACATATAGTATATCATGAATCTTTACACGAGGTCGTCATGTACATCAGAAAGCCCATCCGCGAGTAAAAACCATATAACCAACTTTTCAGTTCAGTTTAAACTGACTACTTCCATTAGAGCTAATTACTCGATGCCGCTAGGTATAGCTTAAAGCCAACAAAAACATATACATGCCTATTCTATCGTGCTATAATAACCCACGCTCTTAAAGGGGAGAATACCTAAATCCTGAGAACCACTCTTCCCCCAAAAAGAAAAAACCAGACCAGATTCTCAACGGTCATAATACTATACGGAATTCCAAAGTTAAGCGCCACGAGAATGGGTACCAATAGTTTAAAGAGCGTGATACTGTTTTTCTGCAGTTTGGACCGTTTTTTAGCAATCACTGCTCCACCTCCTGGGCCAGCAACTAGGGGGGTCGTCCGCGCCCCGGCTTGATTTTCAATCATCATCGCCGCAGCAGATCTTGTTGATCCAATATGCGCAGCAGCCGCAGGGCTCTCTAACACAGTTTCCGGTGTCTCCGCCGCGGAATGTGAATTCGCTGCTCTCGCTTCCATCCGGCCCCGCTTGGGTGGCTCGCCGCCTTTGCTGCTGCGACCCCTGGGTCGAGCTCTGTCCCTGCTGATTATCCTGGCCGGTCCGCTCGGTGGTGACCTTCTTAGTAGCAGCCGGCTTATTTGATGCTGGTTGACTGACTTGTACTCCTCTAGTCAATATGGCGAGCGGGACGTCCTCGTACTCCGGCTCGCTACTATTGGTACCCTTTTGAGCTGCCGGGATATTCGATCCTGACTTTTCGGAGTCGTGTTGACACAAGCTGCTAGGACGTCTATTAGAGAGATATAGAGCCTCGCGGATGCTTGATGATGATAGGGCTAAGGAAAACACACCCAAAGAATCTTCGTAGATGCTTAGAGCCGCTGACATTCCCGCAACTCCCGCTTCTGGCATTTCCGGTGCTATCACCTTGAGAAGCCTTTTCGTGTTGGGGTGCGCTACTACTACTACTGCCTTGAGCAAGGTCTCCTTGTTGAAGTTCAGCAGTCATCGGGAGATGAGGTCGAGGTCCTTGTTGAACAGTGCGATCCATTTTTGCCGGTATATTATATAGGTGGTACAAATTAAATGATAGACTGTGCTGTGTTTTATTTGGCAATATTCGACGGGATACTTGATGCTTGGGTCCAAAATTAAATGATAATCAGCTAGATAATTCGTCAATGTTATAAGACGTAAGAGAGAGGAGAGAGGTTTTGTAGGCATAAGCCTCTCCTCTTCTCTATCTTTCCCTGACTCGGCCATAGCTTCCATCCGCAAGTGAGTGAATAAGGAAGCCATGATGAAGATATTCATTTTATACTCAATATCAGGCAGGAAACATCTGACATTCAACGCGTTAGGCAGGTATACCTAATGACGTGTATCCCCCCAGTGGTGCGTCCTGGTGAGTTCATTTCTGTTAGCGACCCTGGGATTCGAGGTGGCCAGCTGAGGCCAACGTTTCACGAAATGCTGGCATACATGTAATCACACACACCATGATCCCTTCTATTAGCTCACCATAACGGGAATTCATAATCAATACGAAAAGTAAACGGGGGCGTAATGAGTTGATAGGAATCGTATAAGTAAATTAATGCTTGACTTAATGTTTGACCTAAGCGTTTCGCTGCGAGGCCTTATCAATGGGCCAACGGGCATAACTAATATGTCTGGTTCATCACCGGTTTCAATATTAAGCGCTGGTGATGCGGCATGAATACTCTTCATTTCCAAGTAAGCGCTAAACCCATGATACGATTTACCTCACCGAAACCGCCGTGGCTAATGATTTATTCACATTTAAGCCTCATTTGATTGAGCGATAGGAGCAGTTAATTTTAACATTTTTCACCGAATTTGCCGTCGTCATCTTCGATTTCGATTTCGATTTCGATTTCGTACAAGTACTTGCGCGTATTGCTTAAAAATCGCGCCGCATATCTTACATACCTGGTACCTTGGACACTTCATTGATCTACTTTCGATAAATGCACCGGATATTACATTGTAGGAAATGACTAGATATTTCACTTAACTCATCCTGGATCTACTGTAAGTTCCTGATGGGGATATATTTGTGAGTCGATAGACTGCCGAGGTAGCTTACCACTTCTCAAGCTTCAATGTCCTACATATGCCCATACCTCCTCCCAAATGTAGTTTAATAATCATATCTTCTTCAGCTTTGCTTACGAATAGTGCTTCAATTATAGCTACAACATACAGTGTTTATTCGTTAATATGTTACCGACTTGACACTGTTCTACGGTTAGTAGTTAGTAAGTCACCTACCTAATGTATAAACCTGGTATACACAAAGACTTCTTAGAGCCTTGTATTTAAATATTTTATGTTATCATCTTCAAACTTAGGTATATAATCCAGGCCTTTTTCACTTTCTAGAAGGTAGCCGCCCATATCCTAAATAAATGGACCAAAGTCCAGGTTTATCGGCAACCCAGAAATAATGTCAAGGAAACTTTCCCTGATTCACATGGTCAAGAAGCCGACCCCATAGAGGAGAACACCGAAGTGTCTACAGCCGGAAACGAGGGAAACTCTCAAAATTCCCAAAAGGGATGAGAAGGGACCCAAGCAGGTGGAGGCAAAGGGAAAAGGGGTGGCAGAAGTGATTTGAACCGGAAACGACAGGTATCCAACGCAGAAGTGGAAAACAGGAAGCGATTCCCGGCGTGTTTGCTCTTCTACTTTCTACCACATTACTATGCATTCTCAACAGAAGTGCCAGTCGAACGGAGACTATCATTTCCTCCGCAAGAGTTGGGAAAGTCAAGATTGAAGAACAACCCAGGTTCAGAGGAGGAGATATCTTGCTTGAAGAAAGACATAGAAATATGTCAGAAAAATTGACTCTATAAACGGGCTGCCGGGAAGGTGAAGGCATCAGTTGTGATTACACATAAGGCGCATGGAACATTCACTACCATCTTTTTTCCATTCAAGAACTCGTCCATGTTGGATTCCGGAGCTACGCTTCATGTATTCAACATGATCACTCGTTTATTGAATTTCAGAAGAGCTCTGTAAGGGGATTATATCTATGCAGGTAATGTCTAGATACCTATTCTAGGATACAGAGAGGTAGATATCAAGGTTCAGATCTCTTAAAAGGCACACATTATGCGATACTTTAATACGTATTTTATATATATCTATAAACCGACAGCCGAGAATCTAGTTAAATCGTTTAAAATTATTCTAGGTACTCTTGAGAATTAGTATCAAATAAGTATAAAAGTTCTCAAATGCAATAACAAGATTATCACGGAGCTAGTCTTATGGATCCCAGGCAACAGTGATTCAGGCAATTGCTGCCTGCATTCTATGCATATAAAACATAGCTAGATCCTAATCCTGTAATCAATAGTTAACTTAACAACGATGTCACCACTATTCTAGGAATCACAGCCTCCACAATTAATAATTACCCCTGAATACTTTAGACTCCGTATAAGTGCTTTTACATTTACCTCACGTTTAAGAATAGAATAATAGTTAAGTACCGAAAGCCAAATCATGCTCACTTATCAAGGTACGGTAAAGGGAACTGTTGTTGCACAAGGAGAGAAAAGGGAGAGCCCCTTATATAGCGGTGAGCCATAGCCGCGCTGGCGCTCCACTATGCTACAAGCATGGCTACTCAGGAAGAAGATAAAGAACTTAGCAATCTACAGACGCATCAAAGCAAAGACGTTGAGGAGATATCCAGTGGACATGGTCCTGAAAGCCAGGCGTAGGTTAGAACACGAACTACTTGCAGTAGAGGGGCTGAAAACCCCTATACTCAAGCTAGATTCGTGTCACTCCTGATCACAGGTACTACTCCACCGCTGATGACAGCATCAATAACGGCTACCATCAGAGGGCTTACGTATCGTCAAGGGTACATATATTACTAACAAGATGAGGTTAATCGCACTCGGCAGTTAGAGGATAGAGAAAATCTCTGGATTATCAAACAATATCGCTCAAATTGGGAAGCAGCTTTTTAAGGCGGATATAATGACCTCGTCCCTTAGCAGGTATGATAGCAAGCGGGGGTCAAAGACGAATTCCGAGAAACTGCTGAACCAACCGTCTAGACACCCTGATGGTGAAAAGTTGGGCCAGAAAGGGCTAGCCAGAATATAGCAAGGCAGATTACACAGGCAGAATATTCCGCTTCCGCCGAAAAGGTATATAGATATAGAATCGCGCTCTACGAGACTGGGGTTCCTACAAGCTAGGAAATCACATCTTCAAAGTCATATAGAGTACATGAGAACACCTATGCATCCACACTAGCAGGATTATCTTTCCGAAAACTAATGGCTATTGCTATTCGCTTTGTCCTGAAGTTTATCTGGTGCGATGCTATAAGTGCATTCATCAACACTCCACTGTGCCACGATGTGTTCATGAGAATGCCACCAGGGTATAGGAAGAGAGGATATATTATTCACCTAAAGAAGGCCCTATGTGGATAGCGAAACCCTTCTCTAGATACGAAAAGGAGTCTTCGTTTTCTTCTATGTGGATAGCATAGTAGTAGCCTACGGGAAGAGACAGCGGGAAGAAGTCGATCAAGTCATGAAGTCACTGCATGGAATCTATTACTTGGCGGGTGAAAAAGACCTATAGTGGTTCTTAGGATCAAAGTGATCCGAGACCACAGAAAAAAGGCTGTTTTGGCTTTCCCAATCTAACTATATCGGCAAACTAGCTAATCTCGTCTCTAAGAAGGATAGATCAATTCCCGAGGCCTCTATGAAGCAGAAGAAACTTGTTCCCAACAGTGGCAAGACTACTTATAGCTCGATAAATATGGATTAGCATCGGATCAGATCAATAACCTATGCTATAGTCATCACCCGACTTTCCCGACTTAATATAAATCCTAGCGATGAACATCTCGAGGTCGCTTCACGAAAATAAAACCGAAAACGAGTAGACTATACACATACCAAGAGAATATTGGCAGATGGCTTGACCGAGACATTGCCTGCAGATGGATGTAAGAAATTTAGGGAATAGATTAATTTGGTGAACATTGCGGACCGGCTTCGGGCCCGGAAGGAAAGGAGCTAACACGGGAGGATATCGAAGCTGCGGCATAGGGATATTAATTGCACTATGATGTGTTCATCCACTACGGTTAGATACAGCCAAGAAGCCCGGAGTCGATCATAGTCCACTCTCATCAAATCATTCTTTCTGATTATAGCTTATCACGCCGCATGATTATTTATGATGCATTAATTAAACCGCCGTACCCCCATTTTTAATGCTCCTAGATTCCCGACCGGCCGTAGAACTCGGCATCGCAACGAATTCTGTGGGCTGCAAGTAACCACGAGCTCCGCACTTGTCGCCACAGAGAAAGCACCAGATGAGCTGCGGATGGTATGAAATACAGGACTCCTATAGACTTCACTTTTCTACTTAAACTCGGCCTCCTTTCCTCCCAGACTGCAATACTTCTCGACCAACATTCCATTTTCAAGAAGCAGTACTCAGAATTTAGCAACTCGCCCGTTCTTCCTACCGTTCCACTTCTCGAAGGAAAAATGCAATTCGCCATCTCATCTATCGTTTGCATTCTAATCAGCCAACTTGCTGCTGGTGCTGCTGTACCTGGTGGCGTTGCTGTCCCTGTTGTCCCTGTTGTCCCTGCTGGTGCTGCTGCCCCAGAAACACATGACATCGTGTTCGAGACAATCATCCATCACGACGAATCTGAGGGAACCTCCGATCATCAGGTCTTTGATATTATGTCACAAAAGGGCGACCACAGTGCCAACGGTGAGTTTCATAGAACTTTATCGAAATATCCCAGAGAGTAAAGATCTGCCACTAACTATCCAATTTTAAGCCGACTGTCAGGAATATGGTCATTCGTGTTTACCTGGCCAATGCTGTCCGGGTTTAAGCTGCATAACCCTTGTCTTCGGTTTCGGTGGATGGTGCTGGTAAATTACTAAGTTGGACTTTAATTGAGCTGATTGTAGCCTGTGAGAATCTAGAATCATGGATGTTTCTGATGCAGTCTATAAGCAATCCTCTAACGAAGGAGTGCAGGTATCTATCTGGCGGTTGTTAATTGGTGATAGGGGTATAGGTACCTACGTAGTTAACAAAAACCATGTTCAAGAGCAGTTAGTTTATCTTGTGAACACTTTATATCTCTTTGCCTTTGACGGACGAGCTATGACTATTGCTATCTCATATTCGAAGTGATCGAGTTGGCATGACCATTTGGACCACTGCCCACCTCCTAATGAGAATTCTGTCGGCATAGTCTAAATCTAGCCAAACTCTTCCCATTTGTATCTCCTAAAGCTGTAATTCCCCTAGGATCTGTCAGGATTCTAGATGAGTCATCTAGAACAAAGGACATATATAAACGTAGAACCTCATAGATTAGGTAGTTTATAGTTCCTTGCGGAGCAGCTTTGTTGTTTCCATGCTGTTTAGTTCCACCTCGTAGCTAGATCTGCCTCGGTGACTGCTCTATTGAAGCTTCCTTGCTTCACCGGAAGACTGCATACCCCCTCATATACAAAAGTTCCTTACTCCGACTTCGCTGCTGCCCGAAACTTGAAGGTCCCATATTTGACTTGCATAAACATTGAATAAGGCATTGCAGCTTGATATTAACTACATGTCACTTACGGAAGAGAACCGTTATATTCATCTACCTCGCATGATAAGATGTAAGTAGCCGCTTCGAAGAGCGAATCACGACTGATTTACTATATAACCACCTAGGGTAGGTGCCATAAGCCACCAATATAAAACTTGGAATGGTGGAGCCAGCAGATGCCATGGCAGTAGTCAGAAATGAAGCGAAGGAATACAGGGGTGGTAGGAAATCATTCCGGATCAGGACCTGGTAAAACTTGTATAAAACTCAAAGGTCGGATATATCAAGTTACCATGTAGTCCTAACTGAGTATACTGTTCAATGATGACCAGAACCATATCACACCCCTGAATTTGATTATTCTTTGATTACTTTATCCTCACTATGTTATTCTACCTAATTGAGAAACTAAAGCCATTTCAACCCATTTATCTTCATGTTGAGCCCAACGAACAAACTCAGCCAAATTCAGCTTACTGGCACCTTCAACACAAGGAACTTTACATCAGTAAGCTGAGGAATATTCTCAAAGTCATTACTTTATCAACGATAAGTGTCCTGGTTGGACTAGTGGTTGGATACCAATGGCGCAGCCCGAACACTATTGAAACCACAGATGGAAAATTGTATTGTAAGTAGCTTGGATGAATCGTACACTCCCTTAAAGGTTTGACTTCAAACTGACCGAGTGCTGCAGCCCCGTTCGTTGAAGGGCATCAATCTGCTACTCGCTCTCGTCTAGTTCAATTCGACGCTCGAATACATCACCCAACACCTTACGGAGGACCTGCATCCCCGGCTGTAGATCGGTTGTGGCAGGATCTTGCTGTAAATTGTGAGTTGGATCTCCCCAGAATCCATCATCCCCAGAATACCTACCTCGCTATACTAAACTCGTGGCCCTACAGGGACTACGGTCTCGATACCTGAACAACTTGGTAAAAAGGCGAACCTAGGTGGTTCGGCGCTTATAAAACGCAGAGATAAAGATGGAACCCCTATTCTTGAATACTTTGCTTCGGTTGAAGTCTTCCATCAGCTTCACTGCCTCGACTTGCTTCGCAAGGCCGCACAGCCCAACTACAACTACTACTCTCAGCTGGGGGAACACATGTTTCACGATAATGAACTCTACCAGCTGAGCACGCACATTGGTTAGTACTACAAGCCTCTATTTACCTTTCAATGTAGGCTCAAGGCTAACATGTATTCTAAAAGGCCACTGCGTCGACATCCTACGTCAAAGCCTGGTATGCAATCCGGATTATGCTCTGATAGGCTACGTACACGTTGATGGGCAAGACTTCCCCGTGCCAAACTTTCCAGCGGTGAAGCATCAGTGCCGCCCGTTTGAGTCGTTTGAGGAGTTGCGAAGATGGACGAAGAAAATGCTGTAAGGGAGTTAGGATTGGAAGATCTTCTGGATAGGACCGATGAACGAATCACTGTACTAAGTGAAGCTCCTTAGGAAAAAGACTACATGAGTGATGCACCTGTAATCAGGTACTTAAAACGATTACTTAATGGCTGATGGTGAATAAGAAGGGTTACCGTAGATTTTACTATTTTCAGAAAAGGAGGTAAATGAAGATGCAGAACCATCAAGATAACGGAGCTCATCCAGCCGCAGCTTAGCGTAATCATTATGATTTCATTATGATTATTTAATGCACATACCTAGCTGAAATAAATAGAACAGCGTTATTATATAAGCCAGTCAATTCGTTTCTCACACGGCGAAGGATTCAAGGTGAGCGAATAGACAGCCGTATAAATAATCCGGGATATTTAAATGGTAACATCGTTGGGTAGTAGTGGCGGTTCGCTACGCGGGCAAAGGAATATTCTGGTTTCGCCGTCAGCTCGGCTCGGTCCCGGGGATTTGAAACATTTTATTAAGCTGGAGAATCTGCAAGGCCGGCAGTTCAGGGAACACAGGGGGTTCACGCACATGGTAGTATTTTATATAGTATTTTATAGCTTGTTACTAATCTTGGTTTACCTGCTTGGGTCTCTTATTGAGGTGCGTCTATAGGATTCTGGAGATGCAATGATTATCTACCACCTATTAATACTTTGGTGATGGCAAATGCTACGCAACTATGCACCTCTAAAACCGCGTTGATTAAAAAATATAACACTTCTTAAAATACTGGAAAGTACTTAAGCTCAGCTACTAATTGAATCACTACAGACACAAACGTGTAGCCTAGCAGTGCTGCTATATTTGTACTTCGGCTCCGTTACCTGATACCATATAGGGGTTGATCTTTCAATATTGGTTACCTAGCGATAAGATATTTTCTGTGATCATTATTAAATGTGATAATTATCTGAGCAGCGCAGAACTTTGTGATACCCTTGGGGAAATTGAATCGACCGTAGATGAAGAAGTGATATTATTGGAGCGATGCTGTCTTACGTTCGGAATGCTATACGATTTATTGAACATGGCTTATGGCTTATGGCTTATGGCAGTCTGGGCGGTGTGGTATATTCATTAAGAGTCACAGGCGAACTACTCGATCATGATCAAGACCTGTCTTATTTAGATACTCCAAAACCCGCGTCTATATCACATTACACAGACATGTTATTCTGTAGCATCGTTCCCTTTCCCCTCACGTGTGACACGCAACGGCCACACCGGTTCGCACTTATTGGATGTTACCCAAATTATAATAAGCTACTAAAAGTAACCAGTATATTTATGACAATTTCCCAACCATAGGACCATCCTAGTTGATGGCTCTGCTAAGTTACACGGGGGAAAAAGCATTGCCACAAGTATTTATCAGATAGGTAGGTGATCAAACCCTTCTCGCAAATAAGCCTATCTTAGGTAGATATGTAGGTCCCTACTTTTCCATTTAAAGGAACCCACACGATTGGATAGAAAGACGAACAAGCTATTCTAGCCCCGTACTACGAAACAAATATGGTTTACACGATGATTCGGTAAAACATAAAACTTGGAGTCCTAGAGAGATCGACCGAGAAGGATTTCCAGACGGACTCAATAGACTATTTTATGTAGTATCTGCAACCACGATTCTCACCACCCAGCCCATATGCGTACGCATCGGCACATGTCTCAATAATCTGACGGCACGAAGCGGCGGTACCCAGATGTAACGCACCCCCCGTCTACCAGTAGTCTGGTACCCCCGCGGAACAAGTGGCGACGTGAGCAAGCTATGCTTGCGCGCTGCAGCCCAGGACGCGGCAATGCACATCTTTGCCCTATGCCGTAACACTTCCCGCGTATCAACCCTACCACACCTCTCCGACCGACTGACACGCATTTAAAGGGAGAAGGAATCCTTCAGCATTACATGCAGGTCTCCGAACAGGATGGGAGAGGCCCCGTCAATCGCATTGGTTCCCGTCTCGCCCGATGTGACTTCGCCGACCCATCAGGCGGAGGCTGACTGAAGCAGCGAGATCTGTAAGAAAATTTCTTTTTTATAACTTCAGCCTGGGCTGTTGTCTCCCCCTTACCCGTCTGACTTTCTCTTCGATCCGCCTTTTTTGCCTTGTCTTCGATGTGAAGACAGTCGGCCAGTCACCTATGCCTATACTTCTGCCGGGGGTCGTCGAGTCAGGATGAGCGAGAACGCAGTGGTGCCGAAGCTGCCCGCCGAGAATGGCGTACACGTATGGAGGACGGCTATAGTGATGCCTTTCATCACTTTTATGTTTGTGGTCGCGAGATTCTATTGTAGGATCTACATAGTAAGACGGCCGTGGGCTATCGATGACTGTAGGTCTCGTCTCCGAAATTCAACTGGGATTTCTCTTATTAGTTGGAATAGATGTGGTGGCAGCGACGATGGTCAGTATTATCGTCCACGCCATACTCATGGGCGTCGCCACTTATCACGGCATGGGCCTGCACATATGGCAGTTTACACCGGAGCTCAACTCGGAATATTATCTCTGGATCGGCATCTCCTCCGAATTCTACGTTACGAGTCTAGCCGGCTTCAAGTGCGCTCTACTCCTGCTCTATCTGCAGCTCTTCGGTATCAATCAGAAGTTCAGGATAGCATGCTATCTCACCATGTTTTACACGCTTGGCTATCTTACTTGCAACGCCCTTACCGAGTTTTTTGGTTGCCATCCCATAGCGAAGAAATGGAATGACGACCTTCCCGGGTGGTGTATCAACAGAGTTGTAGTGAATATCATTTACGGAGCTGGCCATATGACAAGCGACCTCATTATCGGTATCCTACCCCTGGTAATGGTATGGAGATTACAGTTCCGAACGACGAGGCAGAAGATTGGGCTCAGTCTCGTGCTTAGCTGTGGTCTTATGTGAGTGAACTATGATACCCCGTATAAAATACTGCTGACGGTAAGATAGTGCCTGGGCTGTGGCCTGTGTCCGCTGGGCGTTCTCGACATATGACTCGTTATCGTATGACCGGCCTTGGTACGAATCCAACGTTTTTCACCACTAATCCCCCAACTGCACTTCCTATTTCTCTAATTTTATTGATACTATACCAAGCCACAATATGCCCAATCACTGCTAACTGGCATTATAGGTGGTCCGGTATCAGTTTCACATTCTCTATTCTTGAGGTGAACACAGGTCTTATTTGCGCTTGTACAGCGACATTCGGTCCGCTATTCAACAGCTTTTCTTCACAACTTAGATCATGGTCCGATCGGGCGACAACGAGTTTACACAATAACTCCCAAAAAGCAACGGCGAGCTGGCGTGGTTCTCGACACGACAGGGACCACCAGTCTACTTGGAGGCACAATAGTCTCTCCGGCGACCTACCCCTGATGCCACCTATTGCCCATAAAAAAGACCACAGCAATAGCTTAGAAGAAGATTCATACCACATGGAGTCAATTGCCACCTCGAATGCGATGCCACCGTCAAGTGCCAGGTCAGATGACGAATTTACTCGGTTTGATCTCCAGGGACTACAAGCGCTGCACCCTGACGATGGGAAGATGGTGTAAATGATCAAACATCCCCGTTGACTAAGTAATTCATCCCATGGCTAGGGATCTTACAATTTCATCCGCTGGCGCATGGAATATTATAGAAGAGCTGTGGCACTGTCCCGTGCTTCGCCTCAACGCTGCTATGCGGTGTGACATAGCTAAGCCGGGCCGTGCCGTCGTTGCCACCTGTATCTCACACTGGCAATTATTTTTAGGGGTGATATCTGGTATATTTATCTGCTACTCAATCGGACTGGCGTAGTGAGGATTAGGGATAGGCTCGGAGGCGCTTATAGAGAGGAAAGTAAGGAATCATTGTCGTTATGGATACCCCTTTTTGTTAGTGGATTAGGGAGGTAAATTCTGGTTAAAAAGATATACAAAGTGAAATGGTAATGAATAATATTATGCTCAATATCCTCATGAATTGAAGGTTTTAATTGCTCATGTTGCAGAGTGAAATTTGCCATTTCAAACGATTTGAACGAACGGTGTGTACGAGAATGAAAATGTACTGTATTAATACAACGCCAATTTAAACAGTACAAAAGAATACATAGCATATTAAGCAATACAACAATTCAAATCGGATCTTGAATTAGGATACATTGAGATAACATAATACCGAATAACATTTGAATGTTTTTTTACAGTAAATTCCCGGATTAATATGCATTCCCCTATCTAACTTGAAGGCCATTTCCAATAGGTAGCGTACAAAACGGTACATGTTGCTATGCGTGCCAAGAATTTTCATCGTTAAGCTCTTTTCTCACAACTCACTTAATTCTCAGTTGACCTGAAACTCAACAACCTAATCACCACGATACACGTTTGATTATAAACGATGTTATCGCTTATTTAAGAGTTCAACTTAACTCGAATAATTTAATGTTTTTAAGAACTCACTGAGAATACGTATATTTCCCTATTCTATATATTCCGTCTACCTTTTACTAACATCACATAGCTCACTCCTAGATCATAGCTTCTGACTTATATGAACGAGGGGAACTAAGAACCCTAGCGGTACACCTGCTGTTTGACTCTGGTGTACTTCCAACTCATAAACCAAGGGCCTCCGAGGCATTGGGAGACATATCAACCAGGGATATTGAGATGCGACCACTGTTGCGACAAGTCGCCACGGCGCCTTTCCGTTCCAAACCATGTCGCGAACTGTTGAGGACACGGGAACTCGATGCCTTACTACTACGGTCTAGCAATGCGCCCATCTCCCAACCCGCAATGCGGAAGCCGACCCAGCTATCGAAGATACGTAGTGCACGTCGCCAGACACGACAGTACAGTAGCAACACTACAACTACCACTAACCCACTAAAGGGGGGAGCGAAGGAGAGAAAGGCGAAAAATTAGATCCTCTACCATCCTATTCTGCGGCTCCGATGAATTCAGCTGTGCCTCCCTCGAAGCACTGCACCAGGAGCACTACGCAACCCGGAGCTCATTCAGTCTATTGATGTTCGTAGTCCGGCCGGGTAAGCGCACGGGGAGGGGAAACAAGATCATCCAACATCGTAAGTTGCCATCTCTCTGCTCTCCTACCTATTTCAATAGATATGTTCAACATAGCAGGCCATACATATTAACTAAGAGATCTTAAATAGCACCGATTAGAGACCTAGCTACTAGGCTGGGCCTTCCGATCCACGAGAGGGATACTTTACAGGATGGGATGTAAGCTTAGTATTCATATATATATGCAGATACACCCACCTTCCAATCATCTATATACATGACATACACCCCATGCTTACACGTCCCAGATGCCCTCTCACACCAACCTCATAATCGCCGTATCCTTCGGTCTCTTCGTGCCCCCGCGTCTCCTCCGCGCAGCTCAATATGGAGGTCTAAACGTCCACCCGTCTCTTCTACCTGACCTACGCGGACCCGCCCCCCTACAACACGCCTTGCTCGCCGGCCACACACACACCGGCATCAGCCTACAGACACTCGACGACCGAGCCTTCGACCACGGCTTAATTCTCGCGCGCACGCCGCCCCTGCCGATCCCGCCTGATACTAACTACGCTTTTACTCGGTTACGCAACGCCCATCGCCGCGGAGTTATTGGTGCAGGGGTTGAGGGACGGGGTACATGTCCCGCCGCTAGAGGAGGAGGCGGCGGCGGCGGACCACGGCCATAGGTTAGAAGAGAGTAAGAGTCAGGGCCGAGAGATGATAGAAGTACGTGGGAAACCAGAAACCCTCCCCACGCGCCCAAAATCACAAAACAAGACCGCCAGCTCCGAGCCAGCAACCTACCGCACTTATGGCGACGGTACCGTGCGCTAGGCCCGCTGTGGTTCTGGGCGCGCGATCGGCAGGGTGTGCGGAGGCGCGTTATTGTTAGCGGGTTGCTGGCGAGGACGCTACGCTATCGGATGTAGCGCTTACCTTTACCCTGCCTATAGACGCGAGGTCTGGGTCTGGTTTGGGGTTAGATGAGAAGCAGAAGAAGACCTTGGTCCTTGATGCGGCTGTATATGCTGCTGCAAGTGGAGTCGGACCTAGTGTACCGCGGCTGGTAGCTTTTGAGCAGGATGATCGCTACTGGCATTGACCATGGAGGTATTGGTGAGACGGGCAACAGTGCCGAGCAAACTCATCTCGTGCTATGGTTTCCAGAGGGAGATAGTGGAGTGTGTTACTTAGGACCCTACCGCATCGAGATGCTAAAGGTTGAGGGTGACAAGGCGAGGCCGGCGGCGCGGGCGCTAAAGGATTTCCTTGTCTCATTGGAGTTACCTGAGATTGAATGATGGAAAGATAAAAACAGGTTAGTAAGTAGTTGTGAGTAAGAAAAGCTTGTTGTGATAGCGCTTGCGAACCCGTATAGTATATCAAGCAAATCACATAGCAGAACACAGAACAAGGGAACAGATATCAAAACGGAAATTTATTAGTACATGACAAATAGTCTAGTTCCTTGTAGAACTAATGTCGACACATAGTAGTAATACATTAGTGATAAGTTCTTTCCATCAAATCACCATCATAACAGTTGCGCCGCCCGCCGAATCTTGTCCCGGTACATAAGGTAACTAACACGGAAGGAGACGTACTCATGTCTCATAACCCGCCAAAATCCCGTCCCGAGTTCCAGCTAGCTTTACAGCAAGATGGCTTTCATGAAATATCCTTCATAGTAGTTTCTTCATAGTCACACATGATAATAGTAATTAGGAGGGATGGTTGTAGTAGTGGCCGGAGTCCCGATGGGACACTCCCCCACTTGTATACGGTCCGAGAAGTTTTCTACTTTTGCTCGTCCGATGAGCTTCCCGCGCTTGAAGAAGTCTCGGTCTTGCTGAGGATATTGTCGTCCTCAACCTCAGGCCCGTGAAGTCTTTCCTCGAAGACGGGTTCGGGTTCGTTGATCTCAAACTTAGACTTGAGATCCCTGAGGTGGGTAGAAAAGCTACTGCTGTTGGAGCGGCGACGAGCATTGACAAAGTTGAAATCCTCGTCGACGACTTCAGCACCCGCTGGGCCCCTGGAATTGTTTAGTTAGTATAGTTGCATCAAAAATTTGATATCATGTTCTGTCTATGGTAACAGCAATGATATATATAGGAGAGATGGGCTTACCAATTACCCTTGCCTCCGCCGTTCTTCTTGGTCTTCTTTGGGTCAACTCCATCGAAGCCGTTCTTGGCGAAGAACTTGGGGACGTTTTCATGAGGGACAACAGTTCCCTCAGCAAGGCCAGCGTGGTCCTTGTCGTTGAACTTGTGAGATCGAGTCACTGCAACGATGACACAGGTTAGCAAATAGTTCATACAGCATGAGAGATGTTCAGTTGTCATCGTAGATAGGTTATGTGTCTTAGGTTTACTCCTTAAGAGACGTTGGCGTTGTTTGTCGATTGACATACACCATATAGCAAGTGATGGAAGGGCACGTCACACAAGTATCATGCGGGGGTTGAGAAGAATAGAATATGTAAGCTGGATTGAACCTACTTTTGATAGAGAGGTTATGAAGATTGTAAGATGGGAGGCTCGATGATGAGTTAACAAGCACAGATGGATGGATGCTGATGATGAGCTCTGATATGGTTCAGAGAGAGAAGGATCAGAGAGAATTCGAGAGTAGAAAGAGAAGTAGTATGAGATGGAGGAAGAAAGTTTGAATAGATGAGGAGAGAGAAGATCAAGTTTAGGTTGTCCGGTTTGAAGCCTAGCAGTAGTGGTACAGCTGGTGAGGATCAAAGAAGAGTGGAGGATTTGATGTGATGGTGTGGGTGGTTATGGTAGATAATTAGTTCAAGGAGAAATTGGGTTGCATTAATATGTCTTTGGCCGAAGTGTTTATATGTAGGTGTGAGTAGGCAGGTAGGTAATGTAGGTATGTATGTATATATGTATGTATATATGTACGTATATACGTATATGTACTCAGTTGGAGACATAAGAGAAGTTCAATGGATGGGCAGGGTCTTCCCTTTAAGACATCGGAGATCAAATAGGAGGACTCTCTTGAATTCAGTTCTCCGATGTGTCCTCCTGTGTCCCGTCTCGTGCCCCGCCCGCCCCCTTTGAATCGAGTCAGAATACATGCTCATACATATTGCTCATAGTCAATACTATGTCAATACTATGAGGTGGATAAGATAGATGAGGTGGAATAAAGTGGAATAGGTACAAGCTGTTGCAAGATTTACAAGGGAGGCACGCGAGTTCTCGAACGACCTTCATCGATTGCGAACCACTACATTTACTACATAGGACTAGGGTGAGCTGATCTTTTTTTGATGGGGCAATTGAAAGTCGACCAGTCGCGTGACCGATTGACGCAAGCTTTAATGTAGTTTTAAGGTGCCTTAGCGGATGATGTGAGCGAATGATCCTATTGGACAATTCATTCGCGGTCTTCGCCGTTGAAAGAATAGCAATTAAACCGTCTAAAAGAAAGTTCAAGAATCTTCTCCAAAAAGGGGGTCTGCTGCCCATACATATGTACCTCATACTGCCATGTTATATCTATTATGTCAGTAACGTATTACACTTTAGTATTACATTTTAAGTAACTACATACTTTCGACTGTTTCAATTAGCTCACAGGTTCAGCGACCGGGAACGATTACCGAATATCTTAGCGGGGTGAAGTTACAAGGGTAACCCTGACTTGCTTTGCAGGATCATTGCGGCATACGATATAACAAAATACATACATAGAGTTAAGAAGCAAACAAGGACCAATAAGAATGTAATCGGCCGTTAGAATTAGGTAAGTTGAAACATTAGCAGAGTAATCTTCGCAATCTTTACCAGTTTTTTGCCAGTCTTCTCAAGTCTTGGGTGCTTTTGTCGATCTCGAAATCTCGAGAATTTACCCGCTCAATCCGGCCCCAAAAATTACGGGTGCCCAGCCCAACCAAGCTACCAACTTCTTCAATATGAAAACACAACCGGTTCAATTTGTGATTCCGATTACATCATACTATTACATCCCATCTATTTTGTTGGGAACCTTTTTACCGTTCCTTACCTCCTTCCAACTCTAGTAATTCAGCCTCAGGCACGCAGACATAACTACCGTAACGAAGGAAGCAAGAATCCAGCCCTGAACGGAATGAGACATACGAAAAAGAACACATGCAGGTTTATGTCACACGCCCAGAAAACGGAATGTAAAGATCCACTTATACCCCAGGTATTTCCACAATACTATACTCTGTACCGGGTACCCTGCGTAACCTTCCCTACCTTTCTATCCCAAGCGATGATGAGCGGCTGCGTTATAATGCGGGGAAATCCACATTTATTTCTTATTCGCAGCTCCCTTATCCGCCCCCTTTGAATTATCTGACTGTGCAGCTGCAAGTCCTTTCTTTACGTCTGTAGCGTAGTCAGCAGCGACAGCTCAAGGACAAATAATGCATGGTAGTTATGATATCTATATTGCCTACCTCAGGACAATGATATTATTTGTATGTCTGCCAAGTTGATAAGAAAATTGGACTTCTACTAGTACATTACTATTATCATCTCTACCTACATACCTTAGGTATGTATTGACTTCTCTATCGTCCCTTTTCTATACCCTTCATTGGTTAACAAAGCATATCTTCGATCGGCAATACATACCTAGCACAAGTACCTAAGGCATATGTATATATATTAATCATTAGGTACATAGGAGAGAAAGGTGAGACCAATCAAATTCGAGACTAATGTTTGTATTTATATTTACTATATGAAGACTAGCTCCTATACCTATCTCGAGTAGTAAACTGACTTCTTATGTCTTCTCGCCCCCCTTGAAAGTTGAAGCTGGTAAAACGACATCGGATGTACAATTTGGTCTTTTAGCTTAAGATGGCGAAGAATAGAAGCGGGAAAGCTTGTACCATCTATTGGCAATTCCATATCGCGGAATCCAACGTTGTGATGATAGGTATTCTCATGCACCGTCTTAGTCCAACACTGCATAACCCTTGGCTCTAAATCAAGTTCCCAAGTACCCCGCCACGTAATAATGCTAGTGCTTCCATCATCATAGTAACGAAAAAAGCAACCGTGGGTTGTTCTGAATCCATTCCAAATCTCCATCACTCGGAGAGCAGGCATATTTCTCGCGGCGATACCCGCGGCATAAAGTAAGTCGTTAACCTCTTCTAATGGTTGATACGGATTTAGAAGTTCTGATGTGAGAACTATAGTTTTTAGTTTATCCCAGCTCCAGTTTTTATAAGGAGGTAGGGTTGACGGCCAGAATGGTTGAAAGAAGTCCTTAGCATCCACTATGAAAGATGCAGACAAGTGCTCCAGATTTCGACTCTCTCTAAACAAGGTCATAGTAATGTCATGATTATTCGCAGTACCCATTTCGTTCAAATCCATACGGGAGTTACGGTGAGAAGGGTCTTCGAAAATGGTCAGTCGCTTGAGTGTTTGCGGAAGGTTGTAATCGGAAAGAAGCCAACGACCTACACAACTAAAGTTAGAGACTTATTACTTCATAACGGAGTAAATTATTGCGGTATTTAAAAGGAATAATGCCAACTTACGTTTCTCCTTGTAAGTTTCAGTGTCGTTACCTGCTCTTTCTGGTAGTTCGTAAATAATTTGTTCTAACCCAACCAAGCCTCCGAGAATTTGGGCGATACGGTCTGAAGATACTTGGGCATAATACTGTCGACGAAGAAGAAACGTAGTGACTACATCGACTTTAGGCATTCTTCTGTTGCTGTACCTTCCGCTTTCATCGCCAAGTCGTTACTAGAGCACGATGAGGTCCTCCGAGAAGGAAAGCCGTGGTCATACGTCGATCGGGAGAGCAGATTGTGAGTTGTTGAGGGATAAATATAGAATTATTGAAGGACTCGAGTACGGATCATGCACAAATGCTAGGTCATACCCGTCATCGCACAGAGACCGCGCGGACAGCTCAAGTGTCAACCCTTCCTTGTTCAAATCGCCGGGCCTTTCCCAGGTGCTGAGTATTTGGAGGAGCCTCTCGATTGTATTGACAAATTCGGGTTCATCTATAGAACTTGTAGGGATCGAAATCCGAGATTACCGTCGTCAAGTTCCGCTTTAACCAGATATGCTTCACCACTTTCTCCTCGAACCTTGTACAATCTGAGCGAAACTCTCCAAACGCTTAGACGACAAGAGAATCCGCTCGAAATGCTTTCTCTCGAAGACCGACTGCCACTCTTTAGAGACGGTGGCGTATTCATTGTCCTCTCCGTCGAGGAATCAGCCACAATCTCTAGTATTGACAGCCGAAGTTCGACTGGGAGAGCTATGAAGTTCATTTTATCTTGCTTGAAGTTATTCCACCTGGATACAATGTTGGATTTAAATCACAGCAGGTATTGAAGAGAGTGGCGAGGAAGCAGTTTAAATGGGTAAATCAAAACGGCCGTGCGTAACGAGTAAAAGATGGTGTGTAGGTGGATGAATGAAATAAAACAAACGTTCCACTGCTTATTGTTTAGGTCAGGAGGTAGCTATCCCTTTACATAGCGGGAGTTTCGTATATACTTCCTCCTAAACCCATTTTACTAACAACAATAGACTTGTGTTTAAGAAAGAAACCTCAGAAAGCTTCCATCTGAAGGGATGACCAGAGCTTAATCCAAAGCCCAAGAAACGGGGGGTGGTCATTACAAGTAAGTAAGGTAGTTAAACCAGAATATTCTTACCAGCTTACTTGATTTTTTTCCACCTTGATATCTTCCGAGTTAGTTATATAATCTTAATCATGGAAGTAACTCATAAGTATCTCATCATATCGTAGCTTCTGCTTATAAGGTAGGACCGACCAAACTTGGTTAGAGGTTGTCGCGGCATTTTTTAGATCATTCGTGTTAGAATGGAAGGGACGTCAAAGGGATTAGAGTTCAACACCAATCAGCCCAATCAGCATGTTGTAATCAGTTCCTTGCCAATCAGCTCTTAGAAATTACTACCAAATGTTATCATTAAAGTGGGGTAAGGTTGCAGTACGAAATACTTAGCGCCGCAATCGGATCTGATAACAGTTTGCGCGGAGAAACATTTCGTCACAGTTGATAATTTTCTTTTAATCATCAAGGCTAGCTTAGCAAAGACGTTCCTCCCCTACATAATTTGTATTACCATACCTTACCATACCTGACTCAACCTGTGAAAGCCTTCGACTTAGGTAATCCAGTAAAAGAACTTCTCAAAAATCAATTTGTAATCAGAACACTAATTCACCTTACCGCCAAATAAATAATTGCAAATCCGATAACTTGAAGAATTTCTTATCACAAAGAACCTCAAAAGCCTAGACTGTCTAGTTGCCCCTCGCCCTTGCCCATAACCGTTTTGCCCCGCGGATAAGGCACGTAACATTACCTATTACCTCTCACATTCATTAAATTCACCAACACAACAATCCTTCCACAACAATTCTCGACTTGGAGGCGCACCAGGCGCATACAATCTCCATCATGTCTCCCTCAATCGTCACGATCGATAACACATCAGACTTCGATGTATTCAGCTCAACCCCGACCCAAAATGGCTCCTCAGGCCCCCGAACCTTACTTCTTGCCCCTCCGTCTATCGCAAGTCACGAGGAGAAGTTACGAAATGTCTTAGCCGCCCACGACCAGTCCGTTACCAACTTGCAGATGCTTGACCGTCTTTCTGCCGGTCTTGTTAACCTTCCCGACGCAACATACGACCTAATCTTAGTCCTCACAGACGCCGATGGCACGCGTGCTGAATCAACACTCCTTCTCAATCGCGATGTTTTCGCTAAGATTGTACCGACTCTCAAAATTGGAGGAAAGATCCAAGCGCAGGACGGCTCGCTAGCACAGAATAGTCAGGGACCTGATGCGCGAGAGGCCCTCCTATCCGGCTTGTTGCCTGGCGACGATGGATTCTCGAAGCCAGATGATGGCGCTGCTACTGCAGTTCCTCTTAAACTAGGACTAGGCAAGAACAAGAAGAGAAGTGCCGCCGGCCCTGCCGTAAAGAATGTTACTGTCCACCAAGCCAACGGGAAGGATGCAAGACTCAACATGGTGCCTCCCACTGTGAAGTCGACCCCTGCAGGTGTCGGCTTTGTGGACCTTAGCTATGACTTTGACGCTCCTGAGGACGATGACGAGCTAATCGACGAGGACACCTTGTTAACAGAGGAAGACTTGAATAAACCCTTAGCTATTCGTAAGTAGTCTTTTCCCATAAGCTTCGTTCAGTACTAAGTCCTAACCTATATCGCAGCTGCGGAATGCGTACCGAAGGTTGGCAAGCGAAGACGTGCTTGCAAGGATTGCACATGTGGTCTGGCTCAGAAGCTCGAGGCTGAAGATGCTGCAAGAAGGAAGCAAGCCGACGAGAAACTTCAGGCTCTAAAGCTCGACTCCAACGATCTAACCGAAGTGGACTTCACCGTAAAGGGCAAGGTTGGATCCTGCGGAAACTGCTCACTAGGTGATGCTTTCCGATGTGACGGATGCCCCTACATAGGACTGCCAGCATTCAAGCCTGGAGAGGAAGTCCGACTACTGAATAACGTCGTTCAACTATGATAGTATTGTGAACACTGCAGCCATTTCCGGCTCAATCATTTGGTTCATAGGACATACCGTCAAGCTATATCACGATACCGACTTGATGAAGCATATTGCCTTAAGCATTGCAGGCCGCATGAATCTTGGTTGCGTTATATCCAAGGGAAAAGGTGTTTGGGGGGACTAAAAAACACGGTTTTATACAAGGCATGGTCGATATCATGACAAAGCATGATGCATCCACAAGGATGGTGATACATGGATTTATAGATGAATTCAGCAGCTCGTTTGCGTTTTAGCCTCGACTCTCCGAGTAGCTTGGCTATGATTTCTCGGAAATCCTCTACCTCACATGACTCTTAGAGATTCCTTTGAATCCAAAGAATATACGAGGATCCCTAAGACATCTCGGTGAATTAGTTTTAGTAGTGTGATTCAATAGAAAATGTATAGGTATCTAATGCCTGCCTCAATTAACCATATGTCCAGTCCTTCATCTTAAGATACTAGACTTAAACATGTCTATGGAATCTATGAGGCGTGTAAAACCTATAAATGGCTTCCCCAGCTTAGCCGTCCAACTTTCCAACTAGAAAATCCCTTTGAGTTATCGACAATCTCCCCTCCTGAGTATCTGTGAGCTGGATTCAAAGACTGTGACTATAAATAGCTGTGTTATTCCTGGCCTTATAAAGAATCAGCGCCAATATGCCCTTGATACCCTTAGCCATTATAATTCGAGCTGACATTCAACAGGTACTTCCAAGTACGAGAGCAAGGGAGGAGTGTGAGAACTCACAGACACGACAATATATCCTATAATAGTAGTAAAGAATAACCAGATTATGAATTGAGAGAAAGTTAGGTAGTGTAATGATAAATTATAAATCTTTCACACCTACTATGATTTGTGTACTTTCTTGGACATATCGGGTTTTATAGCATTTTATTCTAGACTTTCGTCAAGTAGAACAACAGAGGCTTTAGTTCAGATCAGATCCGAGGCCATTGGTACCGTGTAATAAAAAGCTATAGGAGAAATCAAAATCGTAGGACCAGCTCCAATTCCACTTCTGTGCCTTTTCTATACTAGTGGTTACCCCCGGGTAACACAATAGCGTAAGGTTTACACCGCATCATAGATATTTATCAGATATTGTACCCCTAGTGAATATCAAGATGGATTAAATTACAGATACCTGCTCTTTACCTTTTTATATGCCCTCTCACGAGGGCGCTACTCACATCTTATATACTCACTCATTCCTAGTAGATCAACTCCAGAACCCACCCCTAAGTTAACCCCTAAGTCATTTATACCCTGATAAAATTCTACCTCCTTTGTCGTTTATTTCATACTACTTCCTGTAACGCAGGAAAAACTCGCATAAGGTAATAAGGCATGTATACCGAATAGGAAATATTTACTCGCATTTGGCACAATACCCTAAGGTACCTAAAGGTAAACCTTAGGCATATGCCAAATATTCTAAGACGCCACTTCCTAGTAGAATTATAACACTGTAAAAATGAATCGCGAATAGGATTCGGCTTGCGTTGAACATGAAGTCAATCTTGTCGATCGGCTGTAGATCATATCAACCTAAGGATGTAACTCTAAATATCACGGATTCTCATAGTAAGTATTAATTATATTAAAGAGCTTAGATAGACTGCACACTGGCGCTTTAACTACAAAATTGGAAATGTAAATGAGTAAACTAGGTCGAGGATCATGTCTATCATCGATCGAATTGTGTTGGTAGTATATGCCTAGATACCGGTAGGTAGCTATTGATTTCATAAGCGGAATATATACTGACCCTAGAACAGTAATATGCATGAATGATCTACTTAAGTGAATCTTGCTTGCTGTGATCTGTAACCCAAACATCTGATCAGACTCAAGGCATATCGGCTAGCTTATTTTTGAGGTCTGAACGCATTCCTAAGTCATCTTGAGGGTTATTGTTGCTGGGCAGCGCAGCGCCTTCTGTTAGCCTAAAGTGTCTGTTTTATCATTCCTAAGCTTTATATAATGAGACAACCGTAACTCAACTTCTCTAGTTAAGGATTAGACGGGCCCTCTTAAGTTTTAAAGGACATCTAATCTTGAGACTAGTATAAGGCAGAATATAAAACACGCCACCTGTTCTAAATACTAGGTCAAATGATTGTATATGGTGGTGTTAATCTTTGGAGTCGAAGTTTTTTTTTGTCTCTCAGTTACTTTTCTCTTTCTTGTTTTGGAGCTATAAATAAAATGACTTGGACACAAACAGGGCTAAACAGGTAGCACATCCCTTTTTCTCTCTTAAACCGAAGTTAGCTACATGTCTTGTATGCAGTGCTTGTTTTACAGGCCCGCTCTAAGACACACGGACAGCATCTGGTGTCTTTCCCTCTTCCGGCGGGATGCAACCTCTGACGACGCAGTTGAAACGTAGGAAGTGTCGGCATTGAATGCAAATTTATCATCTGCATACTCTTCTTGTCATTGAACAGGAACAGGTTAGATATATTCGCGGAATAGGATGAAGTCGAAACAAGGAATCGGGACCGCATATATCTCAACGGCTCGGGACTTGCGCCACTTAGCTCTGATCCGGACAGGGAATATGTTGGTGGCTGAGTCTGAAACCCCTGCTTACTTGCTTACAGGTTTTTATGTTTGCTCCGATTTCAGCTCTGCTTCGCTCGGAAAAACTCGGCACCAATGGTGAGGCTGTTTTCAGCTATGGGGTTGACAAGCTTGGCAAAGTATTGGGTAGGATTCGACGTGTCTCTGACCTTGCGCAGCAAACTATTTTCTGTGTTGCTACTGAGTTGTCAGAGAAGATCCACCTGTTATGTCGGCTCTGGTGTAAATATACACGTATACATGAGATAGGAAATTGGCTCGTGTAAGACGACTTTGTTGATGTATGAAAGTTTTCTCTTATTGGACATTTTCGCATTATCTGATGGCAATAACAGTTCGGGTATCCTCGTCTTAATATCTTGATTATTAAATAAGCAGCCGCCCATGATTTATGAGTGGGTGTATGCCAATTTGGAGAGCCTCAATATCATGAGTTTGGAATGAATACCCACCATATTAAAGCAGTCTATGACGCTGTATCCGGGGTAAAGAAGTTTCTTATCCATTACGAGTACGCGGGTTTATTGTTCCTTATGTACACGGCACTTATATCTACGTAATGTAGTTGTTGAATCGTCTAGCTAGCTATTTCGCTTAGGAAGCTCGCAATTAGAGCACGGAGGTAAACTGGAGATAAATGCAAGCGGATCGATCGGATTCGAAATCTAGTATGTACCTTACTTAGATCGGCGATAACCGCCTTACCAGCTGAAATATATAGGCGTTATTTCTGAAGAGAGTATATACGTATAACTAAGTCATAAATATCATAGTTATGTTTGGGATGCTCATGATATGTATATGGTGAACTGGTGAACTGGTGATAAAAAAGAAACATACATAAAACTGGCTGGAGTCAGCAGGTATTGCAAGACGAGAATAATTGGAGGAATATAACTCTTGGCTTTGATATAGATCTAACCAACTGGGGTATTCAATTCTCTAACAGCCAATGAACTCTTTCAGGTACAGAGCCTTGATTTGGGTTTTTTTTTGTCTTTTCTTTTCTTCGCAAACCTGGAGAAAGGCAATTGATTAGTTAGTAGAATGACCTTTTACGATATTGTTAAGATCCTACGGTATTGTCGGATTGAGAATAAATGCATAATATGTAGCATACCTACATACGGATTACACATCCACAGAAACCTAATGCACCTTTGTCAGGTCTGGTTCGGATCACCCCAATCTCACGCCCCCTTCATACATTTGTACTGCAAAGTTGTTGGCCCGTGATGATTGATCGTCAATGCGATGCTTTGCAACCATTTTAACCTTTTGGAAGCCAGCAATTTATTTGCTCTGTAATAATCTAACTTAACTCTATCTCGATAAGAACATTGAAGATTTGTTAGATGATGTGAATGCGATTTTAAAGATCGGTTTAGCTGTCTAAAATTCTGGACAAGAAAATGCTTCTTTTGGGATTTACAGCCAGGGGCACCAACAATTTTGCCGAACAACGAGCATAGCTGCATGGGAGGTACCAAGGTTGGGATAGCTCCTAAACTAATAACAACTTCCAATCAAGGGTCCAGACCATGTAACGGACAGACCGATATTTTGTATTTGTTTCTCCCCTTTACATATAGTTGCAATAAATATATTTGGACTCTTTTGTAAAGATGCTTTATAGTAAAACATTTTTTAAACAAAGACGGTCACTGTAATAACTAAACTAACTGTACATTTATTTACTTCTAAAGAACGCTACTTATAATTCGTCGATTATTATTCACTACAGCAACTGACAATCGAATTGTTGCGCCGGACTTGTCTTGATTGGAATTTCAAGACCCTGGCCGGGTGAGTTGGAGCCATGGCCTCAATTGCCCCAATGCCCAGCCTTTTACTGCCTGTTTTCAGTAAAGCTTCTGTTCCGGTGGTGATTCAGGTGGCCCCCCCAGCACTACCTAAAATTACCTAGACCCCGCCCAAAATACGCTGCAATTTGGCTAGTACGAAGTACCTAATTGACCCAATTGTATTTTATGTATGTATCTTTTTATGTACCTAGGTACACCTTGAATCAAGGCTAAAGGGGTCGCGGCGCAGTTGGACCACCTGCAACTTCCACTTCCTTAGCCACTCTGCTGCCACTCTAGCCACTGCCGTTCCCCGACCGCTTTCCCCAAATTCCTCTCTTCCTGATCTTCACTTTCTCAAGTCACTTTTCAATCCATCCCGATCTATCAATTCACTCAACAACCACCTACAAGGATTGACTAATCCCGTCAGTTCAGCTGCTCGAGTCATAATTAATTTAAACACAACTCGAGGGGATGAGCTTTCGGTTTTTCTGAGTCGTTTCGAGTATCTAGGATACTCGTGTCGGACCAGGCGACATTCGCTCTCCTGTAACCCCCTTCCGACCGTATCGCTCCCGTCTCCTGCTGGTCCCCGACTCCCAATCGACAACGGCTTCATACATCCACAATGGCCTCCTCGTCGTCAAACGTCGTAGGCGTCCACTATAGGGTGGGAAAGAAGATTGGTGAAGGATCATTCGGTGTCATTTTTGAAGGCACCAATTTACTGAACAACCAGCAAGTCGCCATCAAGTTTGTAAGTAAATATGACTATTTTCATTCGCTCTCAGCAAAGTTTCTATGCTCCTTGGTCAATCCTCAATTATCGTAGCATACAAGGCGTCCAGTTCTAACCACATACTCTTGATAGGAACCACGGAAGAGCGACGCGCCGCAATTACGAGATGAATATCGTACATATAAGATTCTTGTCGGATGCCGTAAGTTAACTAATGTGTTTTATCCATAAACTTCTTGTAACTGACAAGCTTGGTTTCTTAGCTGGTATCCCTAATGTCTATTATTTTGGACAGGAAGGTCTGCATAATATTCTTGTCATAGATTTGCTTGGACCCTCGTTGGAAGACCTGTTCGACCACTGCAACCGAAGATTCACTATCAAGACCGTTGTAATGGTAGCGAAGCAAATGGTAATTCATCCAGGATTTTGAATCAATTACGCGCAGAAACTAAACAAGATTCTAGCTCTCCCGAGTGCAAACCATTCACGAGAAGAATCTCATCTACAGAGATATCAAGCCCGACAACTTCCTCATCGGTCGTCCTGGGACCAAAGCCGCGAATGTTATTCACGTCGTCGACTTTGGTATGGCTAAACAGTACCGAGACCCGAAGACAAAACAGCATATTCCGTATCGAGAGCGAAAGTCCTTGTCCGGAACTGCCCGATACATGAGTATCAATACCCATCTTGGACGCGAACAGTCACGGCGAGACGATTTAGAAGCTCTCGGCCATGTGTTCATGTACTTCCTCCGAGGTGGGCTTCCGTGGCAGGGCCTGAAGGCTGCGACGAATAAGCAGAAATACGAGAAGATTGGTGAAAAGAAGCAGACCACACCCATAAAAGATCTATGCGAAGGTTTCCCAGAGGAGTTTAACAAGTACCTTACTTACGTGAGGAACCTCGGTTTCGAGGATACCCCTGACTACGATTACCTGCGTGAGCTATTCACCCAAGCACTCAAGAACACTGGTGAGGTGGAAGATGGCGAGTACGACTGGATGAAGATTAGCAAGGAGTCATCCAAGGGCTGGGATGCTATGCACAAGCCTGGACCTTACCACAATCCCAATAAGCAGCCGGGTGTCTCTGCCAGAGAGATGCACAACCAATCTCGTATCAATGCCCCTGGCGGTTTACTCACGAGCGTTTAAACGCCGCGCAGCCCCCACCTCCGTCTCCAGCCAGACCGACGGACAAGCGCCGGCAAAACGCCCTCGCCGCCACGGGAGCGCAGCGAGGTAGCGCGGGGGGGGCCTTCGGGACATGGCTACACCAACTCCTTCAACCCAAGCCCAATTCCAGAACAGCAACCAAAACTTACCGACGAGGATGGCACCCCAAACGAATATGGGATCACCAGCTGCGGGCAATGGAATAGCATCAGAGGCCCAACCGACAGGATTCCAGAAATTCATGAAGGTTCTTTGCTGCGGTTAGTTCAAGCGTTGCCCATATTAGCAACGAGCATAGAGCTGATAAAGTGATAGGTTAAACCCAATCTAACGTGGCACACTGGCGATCTTATAGACTAGAACTGATCCTGGATGGAGTTCCTGCGCCGATTTTTATTACTACTAATGCATCCTGGCCTAAGGTGTTCATCCTACTAAGTCTTGGTCGTTGTGTGTCGTTCCATAGTTGTCTTCTCGATGGATTTTGCTTGCGTGGGCTAAGAGCCTCGATAGTGCTGCTACACTCGATGTGTGTGTTTGAAACAACAGACTTATCAACACGTTGAATCGCAGCCTGGATCACCCTACGCAAATTTGCGGAATAATACCCCTACAGAGCCTCGGGAAGACGGCCAATCGAATACATGATTTCTTATTAGGATCAAGGCTTGGCGTTACCCGAGACACGAATGAATATCTTTTCCTTTCACGACTCTCGTTTTCATGAGATAGATACAGGCCGTTTAATTAGTCGCGCGCAGCACGGCGCTGGTGGGATTTGCACTGTTGGCGAGCATTGGGATCGGGTTTAGTTTTTTTTTGTTATCCCATCCCTTTATACACCGTTCATAATTAAGAAGCAGGGGGAGGGGGCCCGAGGGTTGAGACGGGTTTTGTATTAAGCAGAAGTAGTATATGAAAGAGGGCAAGCGCAGAGTGGCTATAGTAGGAGGGGATCTCGCAGTCGGTGCCTGAGAAGCATGGAGGTGTTGAGTCGGTAGATGGGAGGTATAGGGCAGAAAAGAAGAGATTCATAATGATTTCGGTGCTGAGCGTTGCACCGTAAGTTGATTCAAAGAGATATATTGGGACTTATGTTGCGTTTGATCGATACGTGATGCTAAATTGTGTTGACTTCTAGTAGTACTACTGTAATCATTAATATGCACTTGTCACTACTTGATGGCATCCATCCCTTGGAAATACACATTTTCATGCTAGTCTATCCCTAAGTTCACAAAATTTTATCTGTAAGATTCTTCCAATGGGTCAAGTGTGTCCATCTAGTTAGTGGTAGACGGCCTCCGTTTTAACATGGTAATATAATCAATACATGACGGTCGGTCATAATTATAACACCCGAAGTATCATCACCTTCGTAATCCTTCTCCCGTTTACCGTAAGCTGCGTTAACCGTGACAGCTTTCGTACAAACCAAAACTCCCCTTGCCTCCTGATAACAACATGATGGTCGCGGACTTAAGTAAGCTTCTGCTTGATGAAGAAAGACCGGAGATGAGACAGCTGCCAAGCGCATGTAATACCGAGAACGACAAGCTGGATAGTCATCCAGCGCACAACACGTGAGTTAGTAGACTCGGATTGATCTCGGAACTCAGCTTCTCGTTCCTATAGGTTTGAAGAGACTGTTAGTATTTCGTTGCTGGATTCTTGGGCTATATTTAAACCGAATCTGTCACGATCTATGAGGATAGTGAACTCCCCTTTTCTACCATCCCGTCTTTTCCTTCTACTGAATATGAAAAATACCAAATGAGAAAGAAAAAGAATAATAATAAACTTACCCGCTGGAAGATTTGCTCACGGCGGATATCCTGGAGGCGGGCGTTGAGATCGCGGATGCGCTGGGAGATGTCCATGAGCTTGGTCTTGTCGGTGGACTCGATCTCGGAGGAGCCGATGGCGAGGTCGAGGGTCAGCTTGATGCCGCCGTTGGGTTGTGCGGCCGAAAGCCAGCCTGGGCGTCCGCTGTGCTGCTGCTCGGCGTGAAGCAGAGCTTGTGCTCGCCCGACTCGGCCGCCGTGAAGGTGAATTTTCCCGACGAGGATCCCCGCTGCGAGACTACCCGATGGTCGTTGTCGAAGATTTCCTGGGGAAGAGGTTAGTGTGATCACTATGGTTGGGGTTGTTTTGCGCATCTGTGCTCTTGGCTGGAGGAAGAACTGATGTGATGGTAAGGCGGGAGTGTGAGAGTAGGAGGACTAACGTCAACGGAGATGTAGATACTGATGCCGTCGTGCTTCGCCCAGGCGTGTGTGTTGTCATCCCACTCCTCAGCCTGGTAATGCCCGAGGACTAGTGTGTCCTTGGGCAGCTCTTCGAAGAAGCATTTCGCGTTCGTGCCGTCGAGGAAGAAGTAGAGCGCGTGGGCGACGGAGCCCAGCATCAGGAGGGGAAGAAGCACCCTCATCGTTGTTCGGTAGCGTACTTTTTGAATTGATTATATTATTGTCAATTGATTGTATCGGGATTTATTTAGGGTCTGCTCAGGTCGGGTCGGGTCGGGTCGGGTCGAATGGTGTTATTTGGATTATATTGTCAAAGCCAGCCGTGTTATGTGAAGCTCTCGCCGACTCTAAATTCCAATGTGCCACGTTCGAAAAAATGGCCTGTACAGGGGTTAGACAGTGCTGTAGTGGTCTAAGTGCTATAGTAACGCTGGAAAGGAGCCCCTAGCAGTAGCACTAAACTTGCAGGGGTATACGGATCCGTATTGATAACTTGATAACTTGATAAACAAATCACGTGACTAAAAAGCTAGGTGAGGTGCATTAAGCTGACAGGTGAAAAGTATGATGTGCCCCTGTTTTTCAATACTCCTCTTTGACGCATAAGGTTCAAATAATTTTTTGCAGTCTCAATCAATCGGTTGCACCACCAAAAATCAATGCGCGATCCTCTATTTCCACGGTAAAAATAGCGTCATCCACTTCAATAAACGAAACATCAAATAGACGCGCCGAGAAGTCCCCACTATCTCGAAGGATCTCTCTTTATTATTATTCTGCCATGTGTTATTACGCGTATATAGTTTAATATCTCCATCTTTGGCCATTAAACCGCCCTTCCCATCTCGTACTCCCGCCGCTTCCACCAGTAGTCATCTCTACCATTTAATAACCAAGTAAGGCGAAAGTTACCGAAACTCCAGTAATAGCATCATAAAATGGCTTCCCATGACGTCCGCGATGTTCTCAACCTGCCGCTTGATGCTAGTTCGCGACCAGCCAAAAAACAGACGAATGTCCCCCGACCGAGTTTGAAGGGTTTAGCAAGGGAGGTACAAAACTTAGGAGGCGATAATCCTATCGCAATTGTTCCCGAGTTATCTTCATTCAAAAAGCGGCGATTTGGAAGTAGGAAGCCGGCTGCGCGATGGGAATCACGGCCTTTCCGCAACTCAGCGCGAAGCGATCAATCACTACATCTACGGCATTGGAGGAAGCAGACGGAAGATCAGACAAGACCGCAGGATGAGCAAAATGGAGAGGATGGGACTAACGTAGGAGATAAATCAGCGGAACTCGAAGATTCAGGGTTTTCTAAGTTTAACGTACAAGTGGACATCCCTCAGTACAGCGACGACCAATACAAGTCTAACTTGGAGAGCGATGAATGGACGAAGGATGAAACAGATTACCTGTTCGATCTTGCTAGAAACTTCGACCTTAGGTGGCCTTTAATATGGGATAGATATGATTATCAACCGAAGCTAGACGATAATATAACGAATGGCGAAGGGGCAGACACTACCGACCCTAAGACTGCCGTAGTCCCGGCACCTAAAATGCGGACTTTAGAGGATCTAAAAGCTCGGTACTATGAAGTTGCGGCAAAGATGATGGCTGTCCAGAAGCCTGTTCAATACATGACCCAAGCTGAATTTGCGCTTCACGAGGTCATGGCTAATTTCAACCCCGTCTCGGAGACAAAACGCAAGATTTTCGCAGCAGAAGCCTTGTCGAGATCTAGGGACGAAGCTCAGGAGGAAGAATTGCTACTTGTTGAAGTACGCCGAATACTTGCCCGCCAAGAGAAGCTCAACCAAGAACGTCGTGAGCTTTACAACCGCCTTGACTACCCGCATACGGAACAAGATATCAATGCGTTCAAGTCCAGCGCTGGATTGCAAACGCTTCTTCAGAATCTCATGAATGTGGACAAGACTAAGAAACGAAAGTCACTCATGGAAGCTGGTGCGAATACGCCTGCATCAGCTCATCCCTCGGCGCACCCCTCTAATCACCCCAACTCTACTCCAATATCAGAAACCCGCCGGGAGAGCATCGCAGCTTCGTCAACGGGTCATCGTGATTCTATCGGAGGCGGCGAGCGTCCCGAACGTCCTGCCAAGAAGGGGGCCCAGCCCGAGAGAAAGAAGCTCACCGAACAAGAAGAACAAATCTACGGTGTATCACACCACGATCGTTTGCCCTCGGGGCCAACGTTCCGTTACGAACGAATAAATAAGATCCTCACAACAAAAAGTAATGCTCAGCATCAACGTATTACCAATACCCTAGCCGAGCTGGATATCCCGAGCAGACTCAACATGCCTACGAGGGCAGTAGTGGAGGAAATGGAGAAGTTGCTCAATTCTATTGGCATACTCCTAGACATGCGAAAGATGAACGACAAGATTGACGCCGAGATTAAGCTCGAGAAAGCTAAGAAGGCTGAGCGTGAGAAAGCCCTGGCCCCTTCACAACCAGAGAGTGAAGTTAAATCTAGAGAGTCGGAGGGTACTGCTACGACGAATGGTGAGGATAAGAAGGAAGATATCGTGACTGACGGAGATGCTGCTGGAAAGACTAATGGCGAGGCATTTGCGACTAATAGTGCAACGAACGGAGATGTTAACGACGAGAGTGGAGGAACTGCAAATGCAGATGATGCGGAGAGCAAGGCTGAGGATAAGGGACTGCGACCGGAGAGCAGTAATGGGCACAAGAGAAGTGCTAGCGTTCTGAGCGCTAGTAGCGATAAGAGCGCTAAGAGACAGAAGAAGTAGGGCCATATGCAGTGTGAAAATAAGGCTGAGATGAGGTACGAGGAAGAGAATACCTAGTGATACGGCTGACTACGATTACCTACGACTGGGTAGGCCGACACGATGAATTGGCATCAGGGGCAAGCCGGATGAGGTTACGATAGTAAGACAAGTTAGTTAACATTAACTAACATAACATACTTACGCATAGGGCTGAGAATGCCGTATGCCGTTTGTCACTCCTCTCCTTACAGCTCGACGATGATATGAGATGATGAAGTGATTAGTACTGATTAATTCCTTGTAAGCTGTGTGTTTATAAGTTGTTTATTAAGCCTGCTAGTGTTGTAGCCTGTTAGCTAGAAGCTGGTCAGTCGGCCTACGAAGTTGATAATGAAGTGATATTGAAGATTTCAGTACGGATCTTTATGTTAATAGCCTTGTAGTATGGAATAAGTATCCTCTTACACATAGGTTAGGTAGGCAGTCTTCAGAAGTAGATATGTTGTAGCAAAGTAAAGGGGCTGACCCTTTGAGCGATCTCCATTTCCATCCATTTACAATACATACTTCATATTTATATCATGTACCTTAAGTTAGGTACCTACCTACCTCCTAGGTATTCATATATACAAGTACATACTGACCTACCTAGCCTAGGTACCTTCTAAAAATTAGTATCTAGTGCCACAGAAATATACAAGTTAATCTATATACGTCTTAATCAATACGATAATACATTAGATATACTTTCAAATTATGTTAAGAAATTGCATGCTTCCTTGCTTGCTTGCTTACTTTGCTATATAATACCTGAGTAAGCTACGTTTTACTCAAAACGTCCATGTCGTTAAAATCCCACCGGAGGAATATACTCGACCCAATACAAAATACTAGGGAGGCTATTCCCGTAAAAATAGAATAGCCTATGCTCCGTTGTTTACAAATCATTCGTCGGGGGCAAATGGAATAACATGTTTCTGGTTCGGATCGTATCGTACCTCTTATAATATTACCTCATTGATCCTTCATATATATTTACGCATCAGTTCAAGAAACCAAGTATTAGATGTTTAAATAAAGTATCAATTCCCCTAACAATATAATATACAAGTACAGTAGTCACGTCCTTCCCGCACAGTCCTAAGTAAAAAACTGCGACTGACAAACCATAAACCGGGTATCTTTAACATAGATCTCTCTATAGTGCCGTATCTCTCTTTTCGTCGAAATCATCGTCTTCGCGTAAGGGCGCAACTTCGGCCTGCCTTCGTAAAACACCATGCGTGTATGACGGCCGTGATCTCGTTAGTGAAGCCAGTTCCTATCCCCCCCAATATAGTCCAAGATATATGACGGTAGGGGATTCGTGAGATCCGTATATATGCGCCCCTGGAAACGAATAAAAAAAAAAGGAATTGGCTTGCTTCCAACACCTAAATCTACCAAATAGCTGCCAGAGCTACTTGATATCCTTCTATTAGATGCCCCAATCCATCGTATATATACAAATGCGTCGTCGTCCCCATAAATTGCTGCCGATATCTCATCTGTTTTTACGGAGGGAAGCCAAAGCTGAGTTTTAGGTTCTGCCATTGCAGAACCACCCATCGTATGCTGTGCGAAAATTCCCATGTCTATATATGCGTGAAGACGGCGCGAGTGGTGGAAACGACAAGGCGTTTGTATAAACAGCAACTAGCAAATTCAGATATTAAAGCCAGTATCAAGAAACTATAAGCGATGTACATAAGCATGATCCATCATGCCCTGTCAGCTAATAGCACCGCGCGTTACTCGAGCAGGATTGCCTGCAACGACCGTAAACGGAGGTACATCCTAATCTTTCATCAGTACCGTGTCTATAGTATAATGGAGTTGCCGAGCGAAAACTCACCTTGGTGACCACTGCGCCGGCAGCGATCGTTGCTCCCTTCCCGATCCTAAGACCGAGAAGGATTATGGCGCCGCCTCCGATCCACACATCCTCGTCGATGTAAATGGGCGAACCGAGATGGGGGCTTTTACTGCCTTTCCGTTTTTTGGGGTCTGTATGCAGGGTACCGCCAAAGAGGCTGACGTTCGGTCCGATGTAACAGTTGTTGCCAATGATGATCTCCATAGGATCGATAATTGTGCAATTCCGACCAATAAAGACATTATTTCCAATAGCAATGTTGTAACCATAATCACAGGTAAACGGCGCCTCGACAACCACCTCTTGCCCAACGCTACCAACATTTGTAATAGACGATTGCAACTGCGGGTTCATAAAGATAGGCTCCGTCGGGTGTAGGATTTCTCGGAAAAGCCGAGAACGCTCGGATGCTGAGACTCCAACACTCGGGTTGGTGGAATTGTTAAACCTAAAACATGCGGCACTACATCTTTGCCTCTCAAGTACCAATTCTTCGTCAAACGGATAGTATTGATTTCCTGTAAGCATCTCTTCCTTCTGCGTTCTCTCCCGGTCAGGAGGTAGGTGTTGCGACAGGGCAAGACGTGCTGCTTCTTGAGGGTCAGTTGCGGTTGCAGATGGAGGTGGAGGAGGTGGAGGAGGCGGTGGCGCAGGTTGGCTTTGATGACCTTGAGTTGGTGGGCTGCTGCTTCGTGTTGGTGGAAGAATATTAATCTGTGGGAGCGAGCCCGAATGCGAAGTGTCATGCTCAGTACGGGTAAGGTCGTGTAATGGTGGCACCCTCTGGTAGTCTTTGTGCCGGTCAACACTGCTTAACGGCGTTGGCAACTGCATAGTACTGCTCGTAGCGCTTATCGGGGTAGGAAACATGGTTCCTGGGTTGGTATATGATATCGAAGATAGTTTGTTGTTTTCCGGGCTTGTAGCTGATGGGGTAGGCGTAGGAAGGGTAGCGGAAACAATTTGCCGGCTATCATCCGCAAGAATCGGCCGGCCCTGTACCGGTTCTATCCGGAGCGGTTGACCGCGGTAGGCCTGAGCTGGCTGATCACGCTTTGGAGGCGGTGGGGGTGCAATCGGGTAACTATTCTGCTGAGGCATTCCGTAGGCACCTGGAGGCACGTAGCTAGGGTCCTTAGATTCGAGCGGAACAGCCGCGGGCTTGTTCTCCATTTTCGGGTAACCTCGCTGGTTGGGGTATCCGTGGCATACAAAACCGCCTCGGACGCAGTTGGTACCTGCTCAACTCATAAGTAAATGAGGATTTGGTTTCATCCAGGGGAAAGCTCACATTGCGGTTTTGTTTCATCGCACTTCTTCTTTCTCTTTCGACAAGTTAGGCAGCTATAAATGTTGGTACGGAGAGCCGATACCTCGTCCTTAAGTGCCGAGGTGCCTAGGCACCTACAACACGTAAGAGGACGCGGAGCCGGCCGCCATACCTAAAAGTCAGCAACGGGATCCTGGATGCAATGCGTAAGACGGGCGGAATGATGGGGTCCTAGTTACCCAGTCTTGGTCCGATTACTGAAATTGCGCTTCCTCTTCTTGGGGTCAGATTGAATCATAGCATCTCCTTTTCTCTGTTCCTGGCTATAAGAGCCACTGCCATAGAGTACAGAACTGTCGTCACCGTCGGGGCTCGTCGCCGCGTAATCGTGTTGGGATTCCATATGGGAAGTTCCTCTTCGAAGTGTCTCGCCGAGCTGCTCATCGGTTGGCGAGGGAGCCATGCCTGCGGAACTTTGCCGGTCGTATGCGCTGCGTTCATCAGCGTGCCCTTGTCGTGGATACCAAGATTCGTGGTGCTCTCGACTCTCTTCACCATATTGTCTATACTCGCGCTCTCTCTGCGGAGTTGAATATGATTCACGTGACTCTACTTGAGATGGCTGTTCTCGCTCTCGAGCAATTAGTCCCTCTCTACGCGGCTCATCCGATATTGAGCGTTTGCGCTTGTGCGCACTTTCAGCATCGGGATAATTGGTAGGTTGGTAAGAGGACCGTTCATGACCTAGCCCTGACCAGTGCTCTCTTTGGCTAGTAGGGGTTTCTCCGACTTTGGGTTCCTGGGTAGTTATTTGACGAATGGGTTGCTCCTCGGAGGCAGCGCGTATTGAGGTAGGGCTGCTTCCAGGCCTCTCGACACCTTTTTGCTCGCTCCCGTTTAAAGCCGTAAAGGTCGCCATAGTTCGTCCAACAATATCTTCAGCCCAACAGTCTTGCGTGAGGTGCATAGGAATTTGATGATTCAGACGTATATTAGTGAGCGATAATTACTGTACGATGAAATTCTTTAACCAGCCGGATCTGCATTTAAGATCCAGTAAATCCGATGCAGGTGCCCTTTGAGAACTATCAACTAGTAATTGACGGCACGGCTCGGGTCGCAGCCGAAATATGCAGCCTTGGTTGACGTATGGCCTGGTTGAAAAGGCCTATAAAAACCCTAGAACAGGTGCTAAAGGGAAACAAAATAAGCCAACGAAGTCGTAAACAAAACCACCGGAGACGATGATGCACACAGCGATCACGTTATGATCTAGCAAAACTTTCGAACTAAGATTCCTGGAAATGAGTGTTTTGTGAGAAGTCAATATAAAGGCCTAAATCTGACAGAATTCAGATGTTTAATCGATGCGCGCGTCGTGGAGCTGAACAATCGGGTGATCTGCAAAAACTCTAGGTTTTGACTGCGATGAACTTCAAAAGTGAGTGCGCGGGGAGGCAATTTTGTGCAAGCGAGCGGGATTGAGCCAGCCGCACCTCGTTCTTATCGAATCCGGCAGCGTAATACGACGGTGATTTACAAGGGCTGATGCGGTACGTTGCGTAGTGGTGTTGTGGTGTAAGCAGCAGGCAAAGCTCGCAGGTTGCTGCGCCTAAAAGACTGCACGTTGGTCTGCGCTGCTAAGAGGATTCCTATCCAGGAAACGTTAATTTTTGTTAGTGATAGTTGGGCCGAGTATAGCTATCTGGGTTTCTGGACCGCGTGGAAAAACTCCAGACTATTTTCTCGTGAGGTCCGGCCCACGATACAACTTGTCGAATTCGAACCAACTATAATAAAATTCCCGGCTTCCCACTCGTTTCTCGTGTTGGG